TCTTTGCAGTTTTTCTCAACAAATATTAAAGAAAGGAGAGAATCTGTCCTGGAGAGTCTGGCAGCCTGGGTCCAGGTGGTCGCACACAGCTGCCCTGTTCTAAGTGGTTTTCACCCTAACTGTCCTTGGAATCAGAAGTCAGATCTGCACCTGAGCTGCCCAAGCCCGAGTCACCAGCCATCCAGGACTGTTTAAATGCATCAAAATGAAACTAAAAATCCAGTTCCTCAGACTCACTGACCACATCGCAAGTGCGTGGAGGCCACACATGCTGGTGGCTGCCGTACTGGACATCGAGGCTGTAGGACATTTCATCTCAGAATATTCTAGTTATCAGACAACACTGGCCCAGAAGCTTGATGATGGGCACATTTTTATGATTTAAATCCTTTGACATTTAAGATTTTCCCTGTGGGCCAGGATAATGTCAACCTTTGTAAATGTCCTGTGTGCTTTTGAACTAAAATAAGTATTCTGGGGTTTGTCAGGTCCAGTGTTCTTCGGGTGTCAGTTAATTGTGGTGTTTAGATTTCAATATCTTGCTGGGGGGTTTGTTTTTTTCTTTTTGACCTTTGTTTTCTGCCAATTTCTATCAGATCCCTCACGATGAGACCACTTGAGTAAACTGCAGCTCAGTAAGTACAAATAGTGGAGTACTATGCAATTCTGAAAAATAACGAGGAATGTCTCTAATCAACTTCAAAGTGATATCCGAGATAAATATCCCAGTGAAAAGCCGAGGGGAAAAAAATAGCATGTAGAGTTTGCAAACATTTGTCCTACAAAGGAGGGAAGCAGACTGACACAGGAATCTGCTGATATTTTTAAAGAAACAATTCTTAGCAATTCTAACATTTTTAAATGGTCGTTCACAGGAGGAGGGAAGGAATAGAGGGGGAAGGGTCGGGGCCGATTCTCTAAATTCACCTTGTTTTTTGGAACCATTGAATGTTTTACATAATAATAAAACAAAATTACCTTTAGAAATCAATTTCCCAAAATAAACAGTACAAGGAAAGAAACGGACCTCAGTGGAGTGTATCTCATTTCTGGAAGAGCTCCGTGGAGGTCAGCTCTCTCAAGGAAATTCAGAAACGCGAATCCATGCACCGAAGCGTACCCTAAGGACAAGGAATTCAAAAACATCTCCACGTTTTGCCGTGATCGTGCAGGTGATGGGGTCGATGTGGTTGAGACTCTTGTGTATTTGGCGTGGAACATGGCCAGTGAGAAACTGCTCGTGTCACTGAATTGGAATTGGAATGGAAGAAAGGGGAAGAGATCAAGGAAAATTTAGATATAAACCTCTTAGAGATGTATCGTGTTGCTAGAATCGGAGGGAACTCGTGTTATATTTTAACAAACACCGGCTTGGGCTCTTACTGAAAACACCTAGAAACAGGGACCCTCCCAGGAGCAGGGAGCCCAGCCTCTGTCTTCCCACCCAGAAACCAGAGCCGGGATCAGAGGTCTGTGAACACGAGGCTCGGTATCCTTAAAGGCACGTCCAGAGGACTTGATATCCCCCTTCACAGGTTCCCAGCTGCCCAAAATGGCAGCCTCAATAAAGCTAACTATTGTCATAGAGCCATCAAATACACATAAGCCCACGAACACACAGAATGCTATTGGAGAGCTCACTGTCACCTTGGAACAATGAGTCACTCTGGGCCAACTCACTCTTCTGAGATCTACCAGCCAAGCATTGACTCTGTCTTCCCTTTATGAATTCCACTCCAGGGCCACCAAAACACGGACAAGGAAATCACCACCTCATAAACACGGGACCCAGGACAGCTTGGGAATGTCACTGGTTTTGCAAACTCCTAAGTCTGGCATCTTGGAAAACGTGGCTTGCCCTGCACGCCTCCTGCGGGAAGCGCTCCCCGCCCCCCTGCCTGTGATAGGCCAGATCCATCCTGGGTCTGCTCAGGCCTCGGCATCCAACTACCCCTTTTCGGGGAAATGTAGGAGAAAAAGGAACCTGTTTGGTTAGAGTAGGGAGACATCTGGTGGCCGGTCTGTTTCTTTAAAAAAAAAAAAACATTATTATGAAAATTTTCCAATTTGCACAAAGTGAACAGGAGAGTATGATAACCCCCTCCCCGGGCCCATCATCCAGTTTCAGCAGTTCTTAACAGGCTGCCTTTGTACTCTCACTGATCCCTGCACCCACCCTCCAGCCCTGGATCATGGGTCTTCAGTTCAGTGTTATTAAACACATACCCACGGGCTGGGCCTGGGGCTCAGGGGCAGAGCCCTGGCCTGGCGTGTGTGAGGCACTGGGTTCGATTCCAGGCACCACATAAAAATCAATGAATATAATAAAGGTCCATCAACAACTAAAATATATATATATATATATATATATATATATATATATATATAAATAAATATATAATTTTTTTAAAAAGTACACACCGACACTCACCAAACTGTCCCCAAGGATCCTGGCAGACAGCTGCCCTCAAGACTTATCAACCTACAGGACGTTTCCATCGCTCCAGAAACATCCTCTGGGCCACAATCCCCCAAGCAGGCGACTACTATTGTGTTTTTTTTTTTCACCGTAGATTAGCTTTGCTTGTCCCCAAATGTCACACCAATAGAATCACACAGTGTGCACGCCTTTGTGTCCGGGTCCTTTCAGCGGGCACAATGTCCAGCGAGAGTCATCCGAGCGATGACGTGTCTGAGTTGTGTCCCTTCTGTGGCGAGCTCCTTGTGTGATACAGATGTTCCCCTCCATTCTCCGGCTGAAGGGTATCTGGACCATTTCCAGTTGGGGCCATTATGAGCCAAGTGGAGCATGGGCCGAACTTCATGTTCAAGTCTCTTTGTGGCACGTGCTCACGCTTCTCTGTGTAAATTCTTGGGAATTCGATTGCTGGATCAAAGGAGAGAGGCCTGGGTTAACTTCATTAGAAGCTGCCAGGCCTTTTTCTAGAGCGGCCACATGCCTTTTCCATTCCTGCCAGCCATGGACGTGCACTTCAGCCAGCTCTGCATACTCACCCGTGTTTGGGGTGTAAGTATTTTTGGGCGGGGGACCTTTGGAGATTGAACCCAGGGGTGCATAACCAATGAGTCACATCCCCAGCCCTTTTATATTGAGACAGGGTCTCACTAAGTTGCTTTGGGCCTCACTATTGCTGAGGCTGGTTTTGAACTTACAATCCTCCTGCCTCAGCCTCCCGAGTCCCTGGGATTACCAGCATGCACTACCACACCTGTCCTGGTGTTGCAGATTGTTTTAATGTTAACCGTTCTGGGGTATCTCCTTGTGAYTTCAATTTGCACTTCCCTGATGATAAATGAGCTGAATACTTTTCAATGTTCTTATTGGTCATTTACCTTCCTTTGTAACTTGTTCATTCCTTTTTTAAAAATTAAAAAAAAAGAGTTGTAGATGGGCACAATACCTTTATTTATTTTTATGGGGTGCCAAGGATCAAACCCAGTGCCTCACATGTTCGAGGCAAGAGTTCTGCCACTGAGCCACAGTCCCAGCCCTGCATTCCTGTCTTCTGCCCAATTTTTATGGGGATAGCCTTTTTATTATTCAGCCATAGTTATCTTTACTCAAGATACAGATCCTTGTAGCTATGTACTTATGAATATTTTTTGCCTTTTTATTTTCTAACAATGCCTTTCTGATGAGAAGCTTTATAGTTGCTAAAGTCTATTTTCTTTAATTATTATTTCTTCCTGTGTCCTCAGAACATTTTGTCTTTTTCTGGCTGCAAAGATATTCCTCTTGTTTTCCTCTAATGGCATTTTAGAGTTTACATTAACATTTAGGGCTAAGATCCATCTCAAGTTTATAAATATGTTTATCTTATCTATGTATAGACCCATGGTGTCAGGTGAGGATTGAATGCAATTTTTCTGTCTGTCTGTTGTTTGTTTGTGGGTCTGCAGCGGTAGCTGAACCGTTGCTTGAGAAGAATTTTCATTTCTGCACTGAATTATTTGGTAGTTGGGTCAAAAAACACCTGGACTATATAGGAGAGCCTTTTACTTCCGTCTTGATTACTTAAAGCTGGGAAATGTGAGTCCTCGGACTCTGTTTTTGTTTCCAAGGCTGGGTTGGTTGTCTAGGACCTCTGCCTGTCTGCCCCGGGGGTCCAAATTCACCCTCAGCCCCTGCTTTGCGATCCTGTGATGTGGATTCAGCCCCTAGAGGGCGCTGGAGGGACGGTGCCATGGCTCTTCCTGGCTCCCCTGGCTCGGCTCTGCTTTTCCTGGTCTGGCTGGGCAGGGGTGGGGGGGTGGAATGTGCCTGCGTGCCCAGAGCCCACAGTCCCTTGGTGACCTCGCAGCCCTGGCCTAAGGCCTGATGATCACGTGGCCACAGTCCTATATACTACATGACACAGGTGTGGTAGGTTCCGGGCCTCACACCTACAGCTGGCCCCTCCCAGAGTGATGGCCCTTCGCCCTTAGATGGTGGTCATGGCCCACAACATTCCTGTGCCTCGGTTTCCTCGTCTGCACAGGGGCGTGAGCACAGTAGCTCCTAGGGTCAGAATGAGGGTTACCTGAGAGGATACCCGCCCAGCCCTCAGCATACCATTTTACGGTGTCAGTAAGCCGCTGTTGCCATTGTCACACACACACACAGACACACACACACTTGTGTGTCACTGAACGATAAGGAGGTGTTGAGAAATGCATCCTTAGCCAGTTCTGTCCCGTGAATGTCACGGGCCTCGATGGCAGAGCCACACACACCTGGACTCTAGAGGACGGCCCTTTCCTTCTGGCTGCACATCCAAACAGCAGGCGGCTGTCCAGACCCCGCAGTCCGCGGTACCCCTGTGGCATGTGTGAGTCCAAATAGCCTATAGGAACTTTCTGGCTGCGGTTGAACCCTGGCTCGGGGCTCTCCCAGGGCCGAGCATGAGACGTGGAGTAAAAACTCTGAATGGAGGAGCAGCTGAGGAATGTTCTGTCTCCTGTAGAAAGAAGAGGTGAGGAGGGAGCACATCCGCCTGCACATGGAGGGGACGCTGACGGCCCGCGACAAGGTCGGGGTGCAGGACTTTGTGCTGCTGGACGCGCACACCAGCGAATCCGCCTTCGTGGACAATCTTCGCAAGCGCTTCAACGAGAACCTCATCTACGTAACTAACCCCTCCTCAGCTGAGCCCCGAGATTGCTTGCTCTCCCCCCCCCCTTCACAGCCTCCATGATGGGAACCGGGTCACTCTGTCCATCAGCCATCTAGAGGAGGCTGAGGGATCACTGCCAGAGGCACTCTGATCCCTCATGCTGAGGCTTTCCGGTGGCCAGTGACAGAGTCTCGACTCACACTGGCCATGGTCGCAGAATGGAAGGGACCCACCTAGCCTTTAGGGTCCAGGAATGGATCTAGGATTTCAGATGGTGTCCCAAGGCGTCCTCTCCCTCTCTCTGTTCTGCTGTCTTTGGAACCTGATTCCGTCTTGGGCTGCCTCTCTGCTTTGTGGCATGATGGGCGCCAGCTCCAGGGTGACATTCTGTCAGCTCAGTATTGAGAAGGGAGCTCGTCCTCAGGAGACAGGTTTAGCAAGTGTCCCAGAGCTGGTGAAACTGGCTCTGATGGCCGCATCTTGGGTCACTTGCCTGTCTTGGCCAGTCCCCCTGGCTGGGAATGAGGAGCATCCAGAGTGGGCAGCCTGGGTCACCAGACCCAGCCTGAGTGGGAGGTGGGTAGGAGCAGAGCCCCCCGCTCTACGGAGTGAGAGCTGGAGAAGAGCGTTCCTTAAAGAAATCTGCTGAAAGAAAGGGGACATAAGCCRGGCGTGGTGACACACACCTGTCATCCCAGCAACTCGGGAGGCTGAGGCAGGAGGATCGTAGGTTCAAAGCCCCCCTCAGCCACTCAGTGAGACTCTGTCTCTAAAATAAAATATTTAAAAAGTTGGGGATGGGGATCAGTGGTTAAGCCCCCCTGGGTTCAATCCCTGGTACCAAAAGAAAGAAAAGAAAAAGATCCATCTTGCACAGATGACCCAAGAATAGCTTAGATGCAACTACTTAAAAAAAAAAGAGAGAGAGAGGAAAATAAGAGATGTCCAACCACATCCTGTAAATCTTCAAAGGTCAACACTGTGACGTTTTTCAAAACCTCTTCTCAGATTGATCTTGTTGCATCGAGTAGTGGCCAGTTTTTATTACCATTTATGATCACACCCAATTTGATTGGCATTCCAAGTGAATTCTCCCTAGGTGAATTGATAGAGTCTCTGTGTGTGTCATGGTGTGCTAATTTTTTGGAGATTTTATTAGCTTTTGTTAAGAGTAAATTAGATAATCAGAAGAAGTCTAAAAATAATGTGTCTCATAGCTAGTTCGTAATGGTTCCTGTGCTGTTGAAACCAAATTTTTTCAGAAGAAATGAACAAGGTGTCCCTTAGAATATATGTTCTATAGCTTCCAACTTTCAGAATTAGAACCCTTAATTGTACAAAAGGGAAMAAAATCAAGCTAATTTTCTATAAAAGCAAAGGAGAAATAACCTCACATGAAGGACAAATGGGATGATAGAATCTTCATGACCAATTTAAACGGATAGATTCCAGGACAATCTTCCACCCCTGAGACCAGGTTTCTATGATTTGAATGATGCAAACATTAGTCGGAATCCTCTTCTTTGTTTCGGTTCTGTTCGAGTTTGTCCTGGAGATGAGAAGCGTCGGTTAGAACCCTTGGAGCCGGGTCCTACCCAGAGCTTTGGTCCCTCCAGCGTTKACACCAACCAACTCAGCATCTGAAAATACCAGATGCATTTTCAAAGGAGCCCAAATAGTCATCTTTTCTGTAAAAGATCTTAGAGCTTTTTGGTCTCTAATTAGTCTTAGGTCAGTGGCTACCTTGAAAATGTAAGTACTTGAACATTGGGGTAGGGATAGAGGCTGACACCCAAGTCTGGAGAAGCCTGGTGTAGGGGTACCTCGCCCCGTCTCAGAAGGCTGGTGGGTGCTGGCCTTCCTGAGTCTCCACGCCCTCGTTTCCTACCCGTCAGCCACCTTCTCGACACTTCCCTGTCCCCAGCTATCTCCCAGCCCTCCCCAAACAGACCCCGGGCAGCTGAGGTCCCAACTGTCCCATCTGCCGTGCCCTCGCCCCAGCTCCGAGCAAACATGGGGCGCATAATGTGCGACCGTCTTTGGTTGGTGGAGCTGCTCACTTGTCCTGTGGTCCCTTCCTCCAGACCTACATCGGGACGCTCCTGGTGTCTGTGAATCCCTACCAGGAGCTGGGGATCTACACCGTGAGCCAGATGGAACTCTACCAAGGGGTCAGTTTCTTTGAGCTGCCGCCGCATGTGTGAGTAACAGCTGCACGTTTCCCCGCCCCCCCCTTCTGCCAACCCACCGTCCATCCTTCTATCCGTCCACCCACTGTCCACCCATTCAAACCCTCCATGCCTGTCCTGAGGTTCTTCCTCCATGGTTGTTAACGTGGGAAATAAGTCAGAGCAGTTGGAATGTCGCAGCCATTTTGGAATCTCAGCTTAAAGAGAGATGGAATCTTTGTGTCAAGGTTGGGAACCCCGAGTGCGGCCAGAGCGGTGTCTTCTCTGGACGTGGGCTGCTTACAGGGCCATCTGTGGGTGCCTGAGAATCAGGGTGGCTAAGGATGTCCACTGGGAGGGACCTCAGCAGGCCACCCTCATCCACAGATGAGCCGTCTCCTGTCTGCTCTACAGGTGCTTGCTTGCAGGCTGGGCTGAATTTCTTCTCTCTCTGGCCGACTTCTGGGCTGATGCTTCTGTTCTCCCCCCACTTGTCTTTAATTCAGTTTTCCGACTTCCCACGATGCTGATAAACCTTTCTGCCTCCCCCACCGCGTCCAGCTCTTGGGAGACCTTCCCGATCTGTGCTCTGATTTTGGAGATGAAGGCTCTCTGATTCCTCCACCTCTTGTCCTAAAGTTATTGCCGAAGTTTGCAGACCTCACCGGTCTCCTGTCTCTACATTCTGACTACTTTAGGCTTCGAGGGAAAGAGATGATATTCTATCTATTGAATTACTTGATATTCAGACAAGATCCTATTTCCACCTATAGTTATTAGAACGTCTCCTGGGGACGTCACGTAGTACCTGGCTTATTCTTATACAAACTGTAGGTGGATTTAAAAAAAAAATAATTAAATTGGTGGGGTCAGGGTTGTAGTCCAATGGCAGAGCACTTGCCTAGCATGCATGGGACCCTGGGTTCATCCCCAGCACCAGATGAATATACTTGGTAAATGTGGGAACACATTCCCACCACTGCCAAGATCCTTCACTTTAACCCTTTAGTTGGGTGAGTTTTAAAATTGACCACTCCTTGTGTTCGATCAGTCACTGGATCATGACTGTCCGTCTCAGCTCAGTGTCCTGGTACCCACAGCAGGGCGTGGCTTCCCGGAGGCAGGGTCCTTTGTCACTGCCAGGGGATAACAGCACCGAAACCACCCTGTCTCTGCCCCTCCCTCTCCAGCTACGCCATTGCGGACAACGCTTACCGCATGATGTGCTCGGAGCTCAACAACCACTTCATCCTCATCTCTGGAGAGAGCGGGGCGGGGAAAACCGAGGCCTCCAAGAAGATCCTGCAGTATTTCGCAGTGACCTGCCCAATGACCGAGTCGCTACAGATAGCCCGAGACAGGCTGCTGCTCTCCAATCCAGTGCTGGAGGTAAGTGACCAGTCTCTGAGGACCACGGAGGGGAGTTCCAGGCAGAGTTCCTCTACCTAGGCAGGACAGTTGAAGTGGGCAGGTCACTGCTGAGGAAAGGGCTCTCACCCGCAGTGTCACGCTGAGGGCATCTGGCCAGCTTGGATCCTAATCCAGGGTGGACAGTCACCAGGAAGCTTCAGCAGGGATCCCAGGGCCTCTCACCCATCCATGGGACGGTCCTAGTCATAGCACCTGCCTCTTAAGAGGGTTTGAGGGTTACACAGTTGAATGCACAAAAAGTACCCGCAGAGTTACCAGTGGTCTTTGTTATTAATATATTTCTTTTTCGGGGTTGAGGATTGATTTCAGGGGCACCCGGCCACTGAGCCCCATCCCCAGCCCTATTTTGTATTTTATTTAGAGACAGGGGCTCACTGAGTGGCTTAGGGCCTCCCTGTTGCTGAGGCTGGCTTTGAACTTGATCCTCCTGCCTCAGCCTCCCAGCTGCTGGGATGACAGGTGTGCATCACTGCGCCCAGCTAATGTTCCTTACCACAGCYGTCATCCCTCTGATTCCATTTCCTGCACTTGCTAGGTGATCTCGTGCACGTCCATCTCTCCTGTGCTTTTGATATAAGAGACGTTTCTGGCTGCGGGAATTTCCCCGTAGACCCTTTGAGCCAAACAATTTTGTTATGAGAAGGGGTCTGGTGTTGGGGAATGTCAGCTGAACAAGCAGGGCCCGTGCACCCCTCCTTAGGCCATTTTTAATGTATTCTTGGGTGGGTTCTGGACAGACCTTTCCCCTGCCATTGCTGGCATGAAGTCCTCTGTGTGTGGCAGTTCCCTCCTAGAAGGAGACGTGTGTCCTCCCTGCTCCCCTCCCACCCCCCCTCTGTTTTCATAATGAGCATGTTATTTGGGGCCAGGAATTTGACAAGCAAGATGGGTTTAAATGACAGTGCATGACACTCTGTGTCCCAAGGCTTTTGGAAATGCCAAAACACTCCGGAACGACAACTCCAGCCGGTTTGGAAAATACATGGACATCCAGTTTGACTTTCAGGTACGTGGGATTCCTATTAYGGGTGGGTGGGGTCCTCTTATTCTGCCAGGAGGAGACCCAACCTTGAGGTGGGAAGGCGGCTCCAACAGGTGAAAGATCTAGGGACAGTGCTCGCCCGTCTGTCTGCACTGCTGACCTGCACCCTCCGCGGGCTGCTCTTCTCCATTCTGTCATTTTGCCACTTGAAATACACATCCGTGTTACCCATGTGTGCCAACCCTTTATTTATTTAGTTAGTTTTGTCTTTTGGATACCAAGGATTGAACTCAGGGGCACTCTGAGTGTCTACCTGTGAGGGGGCGGGGGGTCAGCAAACTTTCTTGGGGCCAGAGAGGAAATGTTTCAGACTTTGCAAGTCACACGGCTTCTTTGGCCACGATTCATCTCGGAGGTTTTGCCAAAGTCGTCACTGATGGTACATAAGTGAACGAGCATCCAGAACGAGTATGCTTGCCTTGCACCCAGAATTGACATGGGGCTCTTGCACAGGGGTAGACAAGTTTCTCAAGGACCCCAGCTCTCTGGGGGTGCAGGTCAGCCATGGAAACACCCAGGCTGCCCTTCCCCTGAGGCTGGTGYGTGGTCCTGCCTGCAGCGTGCGCAGACTTTGAAAGACACTTGATAATTGTGCATATTTTAAAATTCATAACAGCCCAACACACATAGGCCCTAAACTGGAAAGGACACGAATCTTGGGGATAGCCCCATGAATTTTTGCATTTCTATCTAGCCGTGTATTTTCCGGTCAGATGAAGATATTAAAATTTCCAGCATCCAGAAACTTCTCCCATAACAACCCCCTTCCCCAGGGTGAACAGTATCCTGACCTCTAGAATCACAGATTCATGTGGCTGGTTCTTGAACTGGATATCAGTGGAGTTATACAGTATGTTCTATTTTATATCTGGTTTGTCTCAATCACATTCTATAGATTTGCCCRTGTTCTTGCTGATAGGAGTTGTTCATTTTATAATTGTACAAATATGTTGCAGTTTGTCTGTTCTCCTGTTGATGAACTTTGGGGTTGTTTGCAATTGGAAGTTATTGCAAACAGTGCTCTGAACATCCTTGACAGTTCTTTTAGTAAGTAGAAGAACTTATTCATGTTGGTAGATATTCAAAAGTGGAATTATTGAGGGTTTTTTGGTTTGTTTTTGGTCCTGAGGATTGAGCTCAGAGGTTCTTTACTACTGAGCCACACCCCCAACCCTATTTTATATTTTATTTAGAGCCAGGGCCTCACTGAGTTGCTGAGCACCTCACTTTTGCTGAGGCTGGCCTTGAACTCCCAATCCTCCTACCTCAGCCTCCTGAACTACTGGGATGACAGGTGTGCACCACCACGCCTGTTTCAAGTATTTAGCTCAATTTTATTTGGGCTGTTTGTTCCTTCTTATTAATTAGCAAGAATACTATATATGTGGTCTGAAAAAAGAGGCTTTATTGGATGCATTACTTAAAATAATAAGTATGACAATGTGGATAATTAAGACATGAGGATGGATATAGAGGCCAGTGGACTAGAATAGWGTTCAGAAAGATCTCCCCCCCACACATACTTGTGGCCAAAGCACCTTGTGATTCAGTGGGGATAGGATCATCTTCCCAGTAAATGATGCTGATCGACTGGGATATCAATATGAAAGGAAGATCTTAGACCCCTGCCTCACTCCATGCACATCAGAATCCAGCAGTGATGGGCCAGGGTCCTAGACACCAACAGGACAGCAATCATGCTTCTAGACTAAAACAGAGAATGACCTTGGAGTAAGCAGAAATCTTTTAAAGTAGAGCCCAGGAAACATGAGGCTGGAGAGCTGGGACTTTCTCCACATTTAAAACACCTGGGCACCAGCGGACACCAGTGGCTTGAGTCGTCATTGTCCCATTCTGATTCCRTTTCCCAGGGCATTCCCGTCGGCGGGCACATCATCAGTTACTTGATTGAAAAGTCCCGAGTCGTCTATCAGAACCAGGGTGAGCGGAATTTCCACATCTTCTACCAGCTGCTGGCCGGCGGAGAGGCYGATCGCCTGGCTCACCTGGGCCTCGAGCGAGACCCCCGGCTGTATAAGTACCTCTCGCAGGTTGGACGGTCCAGCGCCTGGCTTTGGGGACCCTGTGGACGAGGGGACTTGGGGTGTCTGTGGGGGCTGCTGCAGGATGCTCAAGCACTGTCTYTCCCCCTCTGGACGTGGCTGCGGGCTGGTTACTTGACATTGATCCCAGCGAGCTACCTACGGCTAGACCCTCGAGTCTGGGCCAGGGCTTCTCCACCTCGCTGAAGTCAGAATCCCTTGAGAAATCTTTTAGAAACACAGATGCCTAGGCTGGGGGTGGTGGGTAGCTCCGGGGTCAAGCACTTGCCTAGCGCACACCAGGCCCTGGGATCAGCCCCAGGACTGCAAAAGTAACTCTGCAAAATACACAGAGCCTGAGTCTTACCCCCACCCTGAGGTCTGCATTTAGCAGAACTGGGGGGCTGCCCAGGGCTGGGAACGCAGCTCATGGTGGAGYGTACATAGGTGAGGCCCTGGGTTGATCCCCAGCACTACAGGGGGGTGGGGGGGACGACAGTGAAATAGTCCCCTGTGATGAAGCTCACAGCCAAGGGGAGAACGGCTGGTCTAGAAGCAATGGAAATTCACCGTCTTCCTGTACCCACAGCCTATTCCGCCTCGTTCTGCTTCTAATCTCCTTGTGAGAAGGGCTTTCCCCGCCTCCTGCCTTCCACCTTAGAGAACTGTCAGCAGCAAAGTGAACCCTCTACCTTAGAGGACATAGCTCAGGCCATCCCTATCAGCAATCCGAGTGAATTCAGAATTTAATTTTGCAGCATTGACTTTACTGGAGGCTGTGCTAACATTCTAGAACGCCCAGGTTGCACAGGTAGCATTTGATGTTGCTAGCATTGATTTCTTTTTCCCCAAGATTTTTTTTTTTTTTTTTGTATCAGGAATTGAACCCAGGGGTGCTTAACCTTCAAGCCACATCTCCAGGCTTTTTAATTATTTTTTATTTAGAGACAGGCTCTCACTGAGTTGCTTAGGGCCTCGCTAACTTGCTGAGGCTGGATCTGAACTCATGATCCTCCTGCCTCAGCCTCCCGAGCTGCTGGGATCAAAGGCATGCACCACCACACCCAACACCAAGTTGTTTTTTTTTTTTTTTTTTTTTTGTTCTGTTCTTGGCTTTGAACTGAGGTCCATTTTGCAGAGCGCAGGCTGGAGCATCATTTGAGATACAACAAGACCTGATAAAGAGAATCTCATATACAAAGACCACTGTTGCATAGAAATCTTGGGGGGGGGGGGGCAAAGAAATCTTGACCAAAGTTTCCCTTGAAAAACGGAACTAACAAAGATAAAAGAGTTCCACCATCTCCATTTCCATGTCATCAACCTTGAACTAATTCTTAGAGTGAAGGAGACATCAACTGTCTCTTTTTTCAGCTCCTTCCCATCCTCTGTAGATTTCAGATGGTCTCTAGGTCACTTATTTTTTCTGACAGTCAATGGCTGCTTGGTGCTTGGATTTTCAAGGCACAGTCAGAGCAGATTGAATTATAAAAATATGTGTGGACATTCATCATTTCCCCCAGGGCTTCTCCAGCCCTTCAATAATCACGCCGCCCCTGTTTAGAATTTTTCATGTCTTTATTCCTACAGATTTTTCTTTTCTCCTGGCTGTATTAGTTCCTCCAGACCTGATGGCTTTGAAATGGTTCTAGCGATTGGCTCTCATTTTTATCGATAGTATGATGTCCTATAACTTTGGAAAAATGCCTGGCTTTCCTTTGCAATGAATTTTCTCTGATTCCAAGCTCACAGGTGTCCAGTGAGGAAGTGACTTGCCCAGACCTTGCCCTTAGGGGGAAGGGACACAGTCGTCCCTCTGTCGTATCCACAGGGCCCCGATTCCAGGACTCCACAGATAACAAGAGCCAGGACACTCAAGTCCTATATGAAATGACAACGTATTTGCATAGAGCCCTCAGATAGCACATCCTCCCTTATATTTTAAATAATCTCTAGGTCACTTATACTTCCCAGTGCAAGGTGGATGCTGTGTACATCCATGAAATACTATATTGTTTGGGGAATCATGACAAGGAAAAAAAGTTGTTATTACTGGTTCTTCTCTATTATTTCTGATCTGGGGCTGGTTGAGTCTGCGGATGAGGAGCTTGTGGATACGGAGGGCTGACTGTCCTTGTGACTGAGTAGCGGGTGGATATTTTCACAGTGTGATGTCTTTGCACCACACGGCAAGGAAATCTTTTCCCATAATAAATCTTCAGACAATCAGGAAACTGGGAACACCCCAGAGCATAAAAGCAAAATAATGAAAAGCACTTGTCTGGAATGTTTTCTCTTAAAATTGAGACATCGGTCGTCCATCTGTTGCTTATTTAAAAAACAACTCCCAGGGTTAGTGAGAAAAGTCTCTTCACATCTTTGCTAGTGAGATTCCATGACATGGAAATGTCCATATAATCTGTGTTTCTTTATTTTTTTCTTTTGGTGCCAGGGATTGAACTCAGGGATGCTCAACTACGGTGCCCCAGCCCCAGCCCTATTTTGTATTTGATTTAGAGACAGGGTCTCAGAGTTGCTTATCACCTTGCTTTTGCTGAGGCTGGCTTTGAACTCGAAATCCTCCTGCCTCAGCCTCCCCAGCTGCTGGGATGACAGGCGTGGGCCACCACACCTGGCTAATCTGTATTTCTTTAAAAGCCAAACTATCATTTCCTTGAGTGAGGACCTTTCCATCTAATCTCGCAGTGAGGGTTTTCTGGAAATTCCTAAGTGAGTCAACRTTGATTCTGAATTCAAGCAACATAGTTTCCCCGCATGTTTCAGCACATATTTATTAAGACAAATGGTTTCCATTTGTTTAGCAAAAACGACAGGGAAAAATCGGTTTACAAACACATAGGAAAAGATATTCCACAGCTATGGAACTTTGCAAATTTTCTCAGAATTGTGGTTGATTGATTGGTTGATGGTACTRGGGATTGAACCCAGGGGAGYTTCACCACTGAGCCATATCCCCAGCCCTTTTTATTTTTTTAATTTTGAGTCAGGGTCTCACTAAATTGCTCATGGCCTCACTAAGGTGCTGAGGCYGGCCTCCTACTTGTGATCCTCCTGCCTCAGCCTCCCAAGTCACTGGGATTGCAGGTGTGTGCAGCTGCACTAGGCCTTAGAGATTTAAAATAAAATTCCAAATAAATTTGAAAAAAGCATCAGTCAGCAAATTATCTTATGCTGGAGTGGTAAAGTCTATCTGCTTTCAATTCCATCCTTTATGGAAATAGCTTTTGCATGTTTGGAGAGAGAATCATTTTGGTTTAGGAATAGGTGTGTGTGTGTGTGCTTCACTGTCCTTCAAATGCCATGATGTGGCTCAACTTTGTCACAGGGTCATCGTGCCAAGGAGTCATCTCTTAATGACAAGAACGACTGGAAAACTGTTTCCAAYGCCTTTTCTGTCATCGATTTTACCAAAGCTGACCTCGAGGTACGGGCCTGGTGTTCCCTCCTGGACTGAGGCACGACGTGTGGGGTTATATCCAGGGTGGCCASACTCAGCCCGGTGACAAGGGTGCCCACATACACGGTGAAATTCGGTCCTCAGCACAGCTATGTCCCAAATAGTGCGTGGGGACAGAGACCACYAACATCCAGTCCTGGCTGCTTTGAAATCCCCGCGTGAGCTGGACGTGTGGAACTTCATGTGACAACCTCCTAGTGTTCCCGACCTTGTGTGGAAGGAGGGACCGGGCGCTTGTCCCCCCAGTAAAGTCCAGTCTCAATGATTTAGACCCCATAGAATGACAGGATCTGGTTTATCTGCATTCCTGTTTTGGAACAAATGGGAACTGGGTTTTCTTTTATTTTTTCCTTTTGACTGTTCATCTTTCCAGGTCGAGAATGGTGGTTAAAAAAAAATTAACGGAGACCGCGGCATTCACAATGAAAGGGTCCCCTGGGGGGGGTGGTTTTGTAAGATCTTTTTAGCACGCATTTCACACGAGTGGCTTATTTTAGAGACATAAAGGTCCGTTTTTCTGTTTCTTGGTCACGACCCCCCCCAGGCCCTTCTCCAGCCCAGACATGGCCCCAGGGCGGTTCCTGGGGAGCAGGGCTGGGCCGGAGCCGGGAGGGGGCTGATCCTTGGGGACATCTCTGCTGCCTGTTGGCCAGTGAGGTGGCCACTGACGTCCCCCCGGCCTCTGTCCCCCCACTTCCTAGAATCTCTTTGGCGTCATCGCCAGTGTCCTGCACCTGGGGAACGTCTGTTTTGAGGAGGACCCCCAGGGCTGTGCCACCGTCCCCGACACTCACGAGATCAAGTGGATCGCCAAGGTGATGTTCCTCTCTCCAAGAGGACAGAGGGGACTCAGTACTTTGAAGGGGCGAAGGGGGCGCCAGGCGGGTGGATGCCCCCCCGCTGGGCCCCGCTGGCCGGCGCCTGGAGCCCCTGGGCCTTCTGCCGGTGCTGGTCGGGGTGCAGAGCGCACAGACCYTGTCTGTCCATTTTGCCCTAAAACACCACGAGGAGTCGGGGCAGATGACCCAGGGCCTGGACACACGGTGGACTCTCTGAGTGAGGAAAACTGAGTCCCTGAATGCCATGTTGGGTTCCTTTTGTCCAGCTCCTGGGGGTCTGTCCATCTGTCCTTCTGGACGCTCTCACCCACCGAAAGATCGAAGCCAAGACAGAGGAGGTAACGATGGCTCTGGGCACGGACGCACCTGCCCACCCCATCATGGCTGCCTGCCCTGGCCAACAGCAKGACCCAGCCTCCGGAGGCTGCCTGGGACCCCCGCCCACCAGGCCCTCCTGCTTCACCCCCCAGCCCCCCTGGCCACCGCGCTGTGCTCAGGCCTCCAACTCCCTTTGGCCTCCCTCCCGGGGTCTTTGCACATGCTGTTCCTTCTGCTGTTCCCTGCGCTTCCTCTCATAGGCTCTGGGGCCACTGGACCCCTGCATCCAGGAAGTTCCCTGATTATCCCTCCTCTACCTCCAAGCACCACATGGACCTTCTTCTGGCACTTGTCACCCACCTGTCCCACCAGCCCTCCCCGCCCCTGCCCCAGTGGCACTGGGAGCTTACCCAGGGTGGGTGTGGGTGGCCGTGTCTTAGTCGCCCAGCACGGTGCCTGGCACACAGGGACCGCCCGGGAGATGGCCACCGTGGGACCAGGAGCCATAGGGTGTGGCGTCCCCCTCCCCCAGTGCCCACGTTAGAGGCTGGTGTGGAAGCGCGGGGACGTTGTTCTGTCACTCAGGTGATCTGCCCGCTGACCCCAGGACACTCTGTCTACGCCAGGGACGCCATGGCCAAGGCCGTGTATGGACGGACCTTCACGTGGCTGGTCAACAAGATCAACTCCTCCCTGGTGAACCAGGTCGGTCACGCGTCTCGGGCCACGCGCCCGAGGTCTGCCCCTGACCCTCATGGGTGCAGACTAAGCATGGCCAGCGAGCTCCCGGAGGGGGGTGCCGTCCCCCCACGTCCTCGCGGCCTCTGTCAGGCGTGAAGTGGGCTCACAGGAACGCACAGGCGTGGCCCACAGTGAGGCGCGCAGCAGGTGCCGTGTGCCAGGTGGCTTTGGGTGTGCAAGAACACACGCATTGGCCTGCTCCACACAGGCGTCTGTATTTGATTTTCTCTCCGGTGCCGGGGACCGAGGCCGGGGCTCTCTGCCGCTGAGCTGCGCACAGTCCTTTCTAATCTCTTACTGTCGAGACAGGCTCTCGCTCAGTTGCGGAGGCTGGCCTCGGATTTGCCATCCTCCTGCCTCAGCCTCCTGAGTAGCTGGAATTACCGGCGAGCACCACCCTGCCAGGCGTTTAACAGCGGTGTGTTTGGGTCTATGTGAAAATACACAGCTGCTCTTCAGACTCGAGTTTAGGGCATGTCTCCTTCTGATTTTATTTTTTTGTGGTGCTGGGGAATCAAACCTAGGGCCTTGCACACAGTAGGCAAGCACCGGCCCTGTTCCCATTGTAAGTTGAGTTGTGTGTGTGTGTGTGTGTGTGTGTGTGTGTGTGTGTCCACGTGAGCGTGTCTCTCTCTCTCTGTCGCTCTTACAAAGCCACGGATGTCATCATGGGAACCTCATAGAACCCTAATTACTTCAAAATGCCTGTGACGTGAATCTGGGGATCGTGTTTCCAACACGTGGACTTTGGAGGGGACAATCGAAGTACAGCGTTATCTTTAATCATCTCTCCTTTCCAGGTGGCGCTTTGTCCTCTGTAAAATGACACCCGTGCCACCTGTCCCCTCACCTGAATGGGGATCCCCTGGGCCGTCTTTAGGTCCTGGTCTGTTTTCTTTCTTGACTGAACAAGAAGGGGATCAGAAGGGGCAGGGTCACTTCCCAGGTGGCGGACGGGGAAGCCACCGTGGGATCTGGGCAGGCTGCAGGCGGGAGTGGGTGCAGGACCCAGGGGTCTTCCTAGGAGTCACTGTGGAGGCGAGAGAAGGTGGAGCTTCATGGCTGAGCCCAGCTTTGGGGGCAGCTGGAGGGTTTTGGGAATCGCCAGGGGAAAAACCTCAAGTCCTGTTACTATCACGGAAAACCTGTCGCCGGACACTTGATGAGGACGAGAGTTCTGTTTATTTCCTGGTCTGGAGGCTCAGGGCCCACACCTGGGTGGCCTTGCTGGCAGAACCCCGAGGCTGTGGGGAGCACCTCGTGCCAGAGGCAGAGCAGGGCCCTTGGTCTCTTCTAGTCTCTCCTCCTGCAAAGCCACCAGGATTCAGTCATGGGGCCGGACCCTGGTGACCTTATCTGATGCCCGTCACCTGCCCCTGGTCCCACTCAGCACCTCACAGTGGAGACTGGGTGTCAGTGCAGGGACCCAGGCCAACACACGCTGACCATCCAGAGTCAGCGCTCCCCACTCATGGCTCGTGTTTTTTAACTAGGATGTCACCAAAAAAACGGTGATTGGATTGCTGGATATCTATGGGTTCGAGGTCTTTGACAAGAATGGGTGAGTCTGCTCGCTTCCCGAGCCTGTCCTCCCCCTGCTCCTCTCTCGGTTGCCACTGAGGCTTAGTCACCTTCGTGTTACTGGAACTGATTTTCCAGAAAGTCTCCAGGTTTGCATAGCCCCCCATCACGGACTGTTCTGGAAGCGAAACAGCCGTGAAAAACGTAGCCCTGTTTCCACTTGACTCTCAGGACTTATTTAGTCAATTACTTTATGGATAAGGGATTTGCTATTTTTTTCTATATTAAGAAAGCATTCTTAGCTGGGTGCCGTGGCCCATGCCTGTCATCCCAGCGGCTGGGGAGGCTGAGGCAGGAGGATCGCCAGTTCAAAGCCAGCCTCAGCAAAAGTGAGGCCCTAAGCAACTCAGTGAGACTCTGTCTCTAAATAAAATGCAAAATAGGGCTGGGGGTGGGGCTCAGTGGTCCAGTGCCCCTGAGTTCAATCCCTGGTACAAAAAATAAAAAAGCACCCTTAAAAACCAGTCAGCACCCTTTGTGAACACTGCTCTACTTGCCTAACGTGAGTCACTCACAACCGTTGCATCTCTAGTTTTGAACAGTTTTGTATAAATTACTGCAATGAGAAGCTCCAACAGCTGTTAATAGAGAGGACCCTGAAGGCAGAACAGGCAGAATATGAGATGGAAGGGATCGAGGTAACCGTTTTGCTATTTTCTCCTCATTTGATTTCTTGATCCAGCTTAAAATAAAAACCATTTCCTTGAGAACGGAGGTTTCCTTGGAGACTGTCCTGGTTAAGGGTTGTCCTCCGGCCTCCTCTGCCGATGGCCTGGGAGGTCACTTTGATATTCAGAAGGTCTCCCCTTGTGACGTTTGGATGTAAAAACCAGATTCAGAAAACCATTTCTGCAGCATGTGTTCAGCCATGGAGCCTCCCCGCCATGTCCCCCGGGGAACTCTCTCCTTTGTCGTTCTAGTGGGAGTCCATTCAGTATTTCAACAACAAGATCATCTGCGATTTGGTGGAGGAGAGGCACAAAGGGATCATCTCCATTCTGGTGAGAAACGCGGGTCGGCCGGGCTCCTGTTCTCCTGGGTCCCACGTAGATTTACTGTGTGACATCAGGCAGGTGTCCTAACCTCTCTGAGCTTCAACCCATCAGGGTCCAGAAGGAACAGGCTGAGCTCTTCTGCTGAGCTCCTGCCCTTGGGGAGATGGCAGGAAAGACCTTGGAGACAGACGTCTTCCGWCGCTGTAGAGCTGGGACCCGGTTTAGACAGGTGTCTGGGGGTGCCCAGTGAGTTTGAGTGAGACCCCGAGGGCTCGTGTGCTGGGAGCTTGGTGCTCAGCATGCTGATGCTGGGAGGTGGCGGCACTGTGAGGTGGAGCCTCTCAGGGGATAATGAGGTCACTGAGGGCGCTGCTCTTGGAAGGAATAGCTGAAGTTCTGGCATGGACCTGGTTAGTTGTTGCCTGGTCCCTCTTTGGTCTCTCTTGGGCCTCCTGTCTTGTCATCCACCCCTGCCACTATGATGCCATCCACCATGGGCCTTCCCCAGAGCTGAGCCAAGGCCAACACCCTGCCCTCAGACCTCCAGAAGTGGGAGCTCACTAAACCCCTTTTCTTTATAAAGCACCCTGCCTCAGGTATATTGTTATAGTACCAGAAAATGGAGTGGCAATTGGAGAGAGGCTGCTTTCTTGCTCATACAAAGCAGGAATCCAGGAAATGTCGAGGAAAGCTCTGCAAAGGATGGTGACGGGTCCTCAGTCGAGGGTCCTGGGAATGGGCTTCTGATGGTGTTTTGACTCTTGCAATTTATGGGAATGTCAGTGATCTCAGAGCCACAATTAGTCAAATTCAGGCATCAATTTTTAAACACATTCTAAAGGCACCCACAACAACCTTCTTTGCCTTACTTGTCATTTGGGGTCATCTTTTGCTTCCTTTTCAATRAAAATAATGGGTCCCCTTTGCCCTCCTGACCCTACACCATGACACAGCCACCAACCGCCCTGGGAACCCAGCATACTAAAGCACAGCAGGGCTTGGTGAGTGTGGTTGCCATGAACGTGRGTCCCACATAGATTTACTGTGTGACATTAGGCAGGTGTCCTAACCTCTCTGAGCTTCAATTTCATCATCTTTAAATGGGGATTAGTCATAACAGCCCTTTCCTCAGAGAGGAGCTGTAACGAACTCTTAGAAATACACTTGCTGGGCACATTGGTGGACGCCAGTTATCCTGGCGACTCAGGAGACTGAGGCAGGAGGATCATGAGTTCAAAGCCAGCCTCAGCAACAGTGAGGTGCTAAGCGGCTCAGTGAGACCTTGTCTCTGAATAAAATACAGAATGGGGTGAGGCTGGGGCTCAGTGGTGGAGTGGCCCTGAGTTCAATCCCTGGAATCCCCCCGCCAAAAAATAAAAGAAGTGTGTTTGGTATAAGTCGACTCACCGTCCTGTGACCCAGGTTTGTGGCTGTGGTAAAAGCTCCAAGGCTGATTTGTTTTTAAGATGGTCAGTTAGGGGGTGGCATCATTGAGGACCAAATGTAAGGAATGACACAGCTTGAGGAATGGGGAGGTCTTACTGTCTTCATGAGGGCTTTGCTCCTGGTTCGGGGTCTGCGCAGATGTTGTTCTTGGTGGGTGATGACTGATGAAGGGAAAATGAGCCTGGCGCAGTGGCCACACCTGCCATCCCCGCTACTCGGGAGGCCGAGGCAGGAGGATTGCAAGTTCAAGGCCAGCCTCAGCAACTTGGAGCATGTCTCCAAAGAGAAAGGGCCGGGGGTTAGCTCTGTGGTGGAGCAGCCCTGGGCTGGGTTCACCCCCCAGCACTAAACCCCCAGGACTAGTGCTTAAGCAAGGGGGCCRTGGTGACTGTGGAGGACCCTCGGGAAGACTTGAACACACGGGTGGGTTGTCTGCAAGAGCTGACTGATGGCGGAATTTCCAGTCCCAAATTCCAGAGGCTGAGCCCTGGGACGAGGGCCCCTTCCTGCCACAATGTCCTCCCGGTCTGGGCGGGGGTGGGGGGTGAGGGCAGGTGACAGCCCCCTGGGAGGGTGGAGGGTGTGAGCGGCTCCGTTTTCTCGTGAAGGATGAAGAGTGCCTGCGCCCCGGCCCGGCCACGGACCTGAGCTTCCTGGAGAAGCTGGAGGAGACAGTGGGCGCGCATGCGCACTTCCAGACGTACGTGGCGGGGAGGGCGTGGTCCGGGGGTGCCTCTACGTACGTGGGCGGGGAGGGCGTGGTCCGGGGTGCCTCTACGTACGTGGGCGGGGAGGGCGTGGCCCGGGGTGCCTCTACGTACGTGGCGGGGAGGCCGTGGTCCGGGGTGCCCCTAGAGCTGCAGAGCCCTCAGACGTCCTGGCCGACGGACGTGTAGCCGCGAACCCCAGGCGGGTGCTTTGGAGGTTCTGCATCTTGTTTGGGTGGCTGCGTTTGGGACCTGCATTCTCTGTGCCTGAAATAGAGTCTCTTAAAACTTTTGATGAAACACTTCAGTGACGTGTGGGAATCTGCTCAACCCAGGGAGCGTTTTGGCCTTCATATGGATCCACATCAGGATCGTGCCAATTAGAAGGTGGAGAGTTTTAGCAGGTGTGGAGGCGCACGCCTGGGATCCCAGAGACTCGGGAGGCTGAGGAAGGAGGATCGCTAGTTGAAGGCCAGCCTCAGCAATTTAGTGAGGCCCTTGGTGATGGAGTAAAACTCTTTCTCAAAGTTAAAAATAATAATAATAATAAAGAATAAAAAGGACTGTGGATGTGGCTCGGTGGTGGAGCACCCCTGTGTTCAATCCCTGGTACTTTAAAAAAAAAAAAAAAAGTTTTCAGGATCCCAGAAGAGAAATTAAAAATTTGACTTCATCTTGGAGACAAAGAAGGGGATTTAAGAACATGTGCTTTGGCCTGGGGTTGTAGCTCAGTAGGAAAGCATGTGCTTAGCATGTGTGAGGACCTGGGTTCAGTCACACACACACACACACACACACACACACACACACACACACAGAGGCCTGGTTTTGACTTCCTGCCTGGCCACATGACGTGGGGCAAGCAGCTGACTGGCCCTGCCTTTGTGTTCCCCTGCCACACCTCACGGTGAAGGTCTACATAGGTCACCTGGTGCGGTATCTGCTGCAGGAAAGGCCTGGCGGAGGGCCGTGGTTCTATGAGAACTCTGTGGAACGCTGTGAGGATAACAGATTGCAAGTGAAGGGAGAAGGGAAAATAAATTATGGCCCAGACACAAATGGGAAAATATATTGCSGCCATTTAGTTGAAGATCTAGAATCCTGGGCAATGACGTCAGGGGCATCATGCAAACGTGACCAGGAGGAGCAGACAGAAGAGCACTCACTGTAGAATCCCACGCCTCCAAACTGAGAAACTGAGTGAGACCCACGTGTGCGGTGGAGGCCAGGCTGGGCCAGGCAGGGCCCGGGGGAGGTGTCAAGGACCGGTGGTGTTCTGTTTCTTGGTCTGTTCAGTTTGCAAAACCTCATGGATCTACACACTTAGGATGTGTGTGCAGCTGCTGTGTCCAATTTCAAGAACAAGCTGCCAAAAATTATGAACCACTGGAACCTGAAATATGATGTTTCATGAGTGTTTTTGTCTCTGTATGACATAAAAATATAAGAGAGTGACATTGTTTCTTTATTATCATTGGGGAAAAATAGAAATTTTTTGTGTGAGAGACACAGAGACAGAGATGCCGGACATGCCTTCTGTCCTTTACTTTTGAGGCAGTGCCTCGTTAAGTTGCTGAGGCTGGCCTCCAACTTTCGATCCTCYTGCCTCAGCCTCCTGAGTTGCTGGGATCATGGGTGTGTGCCACCACGCTGGTGATGTGATTTTTAAGATGTGTTTCTGTGGCTTGCTTGAGGATTTTTATTCCTTGGGGCTTATTTATGTCTACTTATAGAGAGCCCTTGGTCTGTAGCAGAGTGTAAGCTCCCGGGCTCTGATGGGGTCAGCTGTCCGTGCGGACTGTCATGTTCCTGGAGAGCTCGCCGGTGGCTTCTCTGCTCAGTCCTGTCTGGTCTGTCCTGCAGCCGTAAGCTGGCGGGGCCCAAAGGCCGGAAGAGGATTGGCTGGATGGAGTTCCAGCTGCTCCACTACGCGGGAGAGGTCACCTACTGCACCAAGGGTGAGTGCCAGTGGTTTTGTTTTGCATCTTTTTATAAGTTTATTTCTCCCGTTTGAATCTACGAGGACATTGAGCTCAGAGCAGTTGAGTAATTCTCCCAAGGTCACACAGCCCGTAAGTGGTAGAGCTGGGGTTCAGACTCAGGCCTCTTGCCCTGGCCCTGCACCCACTCTCCATGGCGGCACAGGTTCCGCGGGGCTTCTTTTGAGTGGCTGCCTACCCTGTCCCAGAGGGCCATGTCCTAGCACATACTAGACCATACTAGACGGTCACCGCCCCGTCCCACTTTTGATTTCCTAAGCAGCACCTGTTTGACACCTTTGTGTCCTTCACCTGCCCAGTTCCTCCCATCGTGTCTGCAGGATAGATTTCCCTGTGGCACTGCAGGGTGAAAGGCCCTGGTGACAGCGAGTTGTGGCGTATGCCCCAGAGGACTGTCGGGGGCGTCCACACAGATATCTGGGTACACCCAGGTTCACAGAGGCATCGCCACAGCAGCAGCCTGGGGACCCCAGGAGGGACAGATAAACAAAACAGGCCACACACAGACAGCGGGGACCGTTGAGTCTTGCAGGCTGCAGGATGGATGGGCCTTGTCACTTAGGACGACCACCGTGTGTTCCCATGTACCCGGGGCATCGAGAGCAGGAGATTCACAGAGACGGGAGGCAGAGGGCCTTTCTACTGAGGAGGGGATGGGGAGTGGTTGTTTTCATGGTTATAGACTTTCAACTGAGTATGCTTAGAAAGATCTGGAAGCTGGGTGCTGTGGCCACGCCTGTCATCAGAGCTACTTGGGAGGCTGAGGCAGGAGGATTGCCAGTTCAAGGCCAGCCTCAGCAACTTAGTGGGACCCTGTTTCAAAAATAAAATTAACTCCTGGCTGGGGTGCTGTCATCGCAGCAGCTCAGGAGGCTGAGGCAGGAGGATCACGAGTTCAAAGCCAGCCTCAGAAAAAAGCAGGAGGCCTTGTCTCTAAATAAAGTACAAAATAAGTAKGGCTGGGGAGGGGCTCAGTGGGCGAGTGCCCTGAGTTCAATCCTGTACCAAAAGATAAATAAATAAATAGAATTAAAAGTGGAGGAGGGACGTGGCTGGGGCGCAACTCCGTGGCAGAGCACCCCTGGGTTCAGCACCCGGGGCAAAAACACAATGCTCTGGAGACGGGCGGTGGAGATGGCCGCCCAAGGACACCCAATGCCACCGACCCGGGCACTTGCAGAGGTGAAGATGGTCGAGTTGATGTTACGTATGTTTTACCAGAACAAAGAGGTGAGTTCCCAGGACTCCAGGTGTTTTTGATGTCTTTTCCGACGCCTGTCATTTTGAGCCAGTCTTGATGGACAGTGGCCTCTGGTGGGGAATGAAGACTCGTGACCCAGCCTCTCGAGTCGGAAAAAGTCAGTGCCCAGAGAAGCCGTGGGCAAGACCCACCGAGGTGCTGAAGGTCGCCCTGCCTCGGGGTGCCCAGGACAGACCCCCAACAAAGAAGGACCTGTCGCAAGTGTCCACCCGGCTGAGGTGCAGAGAACCTGCTCTGACCCAGGGAAACCACCTCAAGGACCACTCGTTGCCCTCGTTGGGTGGAATCGTCCTTTTTTTAGGGAAAAGCCACTGATGTGAACTTTGTCTTGGTCTCTACAGGATTCTTGGAGAAAAACAACGACCTCTTGTACAGACACCTGAAGGAAGTGAGTGGCCACTGCCCCGTGTCTGTGAGGGGGGGAGGTGCCCTGTGAGACGCCCCTGGGGCACGAGATTCGGGCTAGATCTGGTCTCCTGGGTTTTCTCCTCACTCCACCGACTGGTTCACGCGTGTAGGCGCCCCTCCTGGGTGCCCGCGCTGGAGATCCAGCAGTGAACAAGTCCGATTCCTTGTTCCGGTGGGGCTTCCAGTTGGGGAGGGCAGGGGAGAAATGTCTGCACAAAGAAGTTCTCTGTCGGGGAGAGGTGCTAGAAAGGAAGTAAACGAGGAATGGTGATTGAAGAGGGCATTTTTTGAGCCATAGAGGGATGAGGGCTTGTTTCCAGTAGTGCGACCAGCATGTACAAAGGCCCTGTGGCCCAGATGGGCCAAAGGGATAATGTTAGGAGGGAGGTTTGAGAGTTCAGCAGCATGTGGTTCACAGGGAACAGTGGAGATTTTTTTTTTTTTTTGATGCAGTGTGAGGATATACTGGTGTGACATGACTTGAGGATAAGGAAACTGAAACCCAGAGAGGTCACAGCTTGCTCAAGGTCACAAGGTGGTGGAGATGCAGCTGGGATTCACCCCTTGTTCCCTAGACCTTGCCAACCAGAGAAACCTTGAGTTCTTAGAGCCTTTATGTTGAAACAGCTAACTGACATGGACCCAAGACACGCATTTCATTTAATTAGCTAAGTTTATTAATAGCTTAGTCCCAGCCTCTTTGGGTTCCTTGTGGCTAGTGACTGCTGACCTTGAATTCCTGCACCGGGCCACTGGTCTGCCCCTGAGTCGGCACGGCCCTCCTAGCTGGGGACTTCCTGGCAGATTGCCTGTTGCTGAGGGGATCTGGTGACGCCCTCTTCAGGAGTGGGCAGCCTGGTACACACACGGGAAACCTGTGGCTCTCCCCTCTGTGGGCCACGGCCACACACTTCACAGGGCGACCCCCCAAGCCTGTGTCCCCAGAGGCTGTGTCCTCTCCCTTCACCGTCCTGGGCTGGAGTCCCCTGAGGTCTCTCTGACTTCAAGATGGATCATTTGTCATTGTTTTCTCATCTAATCTAAAATGGCTCTTCCACGCCACTGTTAGTTTAGAATTGGGATGGTTTAAACAAACCAGTTTCAGTTAAAAAACAATTTGTACCAGGTGAAGTGGCCTCACCTGTCATCCCAGSGGCTCAGGAGGCTGAGGCAGGGGGATTGTGAGTTCAAAGCCAGCCTCAGCAAAAGTGAGGCCCTAAGCAACTCAGTGGGACCCTGTCTCTAAATAAAATACAGAATAGGGCTGGGAAGGGGGCTCAGTGGTCAAGAGTCCCTGAGTTCAATCCTTGGTACAAAAAAAAAAAAAAAAAAAAGGCAAAACCTATATAGCACAAGATCTTACCCTACTGACCATTTACCATTTGGTAGTGCTGAGCACCTTCACAACATCGGGTCAGAGAATTAAATAGAGCCCGCCTCGGCAAACAGACCTGGTGGATACAGCGTCTGTACATGGGTTTCCCCTTGTTTTTGGTGATGCTGGATGGAACCCAGGCCCCTGGGCCTGCTGGGCAAGTGCTGGCTCTCCTCCCACGTCTGCTTGTGTCTYCTCCCTTTTCTTTTTCACTCAAAAATATCTTCAGGTGCCCAAGAAGCCGAGGACTCTGCTATCTCATGCACACTTTTTAATTTTTTAATTTTTTTTTTTTGGTACTAGGGATTGAACCCAGGGGGGCTTGACCACTGAGGSGCACCCCCAGCCCTTCTTATTTTTTATTTTGAGACAGGGTCTCACCAAGTTGCTTAGAGCCTTGCTAAGTTGCTGAGGCTGGCCTCGAACTTGCAATCCTCCTGCTTCAGCCTCCTGAGCTGCTGGGATGACAGGTGGGCACACCGCCCCCGGCTTCACACACACTTCTGAGTGTCCTGAAGGTCCCTTACTGGATTCGGAAACAGCAAATKCGGTCTCCCTTCTGTGCTCTTACAGGTGCTGTGCAGGTCCAGCAACAGAATCCTGAGGGAATGCTTCCTGGTGGCTGAGCTAGAAAACCGGAGGAGGCCACCAACGGTGAGTGGCAAAAAAAAATGCCTATGCAGATTTGGAAAGGGAAAAAAATCCCTGGGGGTGCAGGGACCTCCAGTGACCTGCGCTTTTAAAGCCACCCTCCCKCGATTCTGGAAGCATCGTTCTGTACTGGGTTCCAGTCCAGGTCCTTTTGCAGACATTCGTTGTGTGCCAGGCTCAGAACTGGGCTCGGGTTCTGCCACAGCAGGGCGGCGAGGTCCCTGCCCTCGAGGGGCTTCCACCTGGTGGGAGAGGGCGTAGGAGGAGCGGCCACGATGACAGACGGGCTCAGGGGTCTGACAGAAGCACGGGGAAGTACAGCGGGTGGCCACCAGCTCAGCCCCGGCGCTGGTTCCTGTGAGATGCTCCCCGGGGGCTGCTGGGTGAGGGGACCCCATAGGCGACGTGGTGACGGCAGGACAGTCTGTGGGGAGYCTGACCAGGGCCTTCCCCGCGCCCTCTGGGCCCCAGGTGGGGACTCAGTTTAAGGACAGCCTGGGCAGCCTCCTGGAAATGCTCATCTGCAAGGAGCCCTCCTACATCCGCTGCATCAAGCCCAACSACACCAAGGAGCCCAGTGAGTGGGAGGCGCTGAGCGCTGGCCTCCGGGGAGAGGCTGGGGGTGAGCCAGGGAGGCCGAGGGTTAGGGGCCTAAAGGCCACCGGGGAACCTGGTCCTCGTCTGTGAACCACCTCCCTTTTTAGACGATAGAAAGCAGGAGAACCAGGAGAGGGTCCCTTTGGTGCTCGAGGGTGAGCCCGGCTCAGGTAGGGGCCACCCGGGGGGCCAGGGAAGCAACCCGGCTTTCCACCCAGCGGAGTGGCTTCCAAAATGGCCCACGACTGGGGTCCTGTCTAAGCCCTTGCCATGACCTCTCAGGAGGCCCCCAGTCAGAGGCGACAGAGGCCAGACAGGTTGAGCCAATGAGCGAAGGTGACCCGGAGTGAGCAACGGAGCGGAGGGGACTGTGGCAAACTAGAGAGCGCCCCCCACCCCGCCACCTCATCTCAAAGGGTCATGGCCCTGTCCCCCTTGTAACCAGTTGCCACATGGGACTCTGGGCCCAGGGTGGCCAAATCTCGTGAATTTTTAGAAGACCCCAGAAGTCCAGAATGTCCTCTAACACTCCCCGTCTAAGGAGCACAATTAGGCCTGAAAAATGGTCTGCCTGGCCGGTCAGCTGGAGCCCCTGGTCTGGTTGGTTGAAATGCAGCCACGCGGTCCTTTAGGGTCACTCGCTCTTCTGTTTCTGCAAAGGCAAGTTCGATGACTTCCTCATCAGACACCAGATCAAGTACCTGGGGCTCATGGAGCACCTGCGGGTGAGGCGGGCCGGCTTTGCGTACCGCAGGAGATACGAGCATTTCTTGCAAAGGTAGAGTTCACCACGTTGACCCCGAGCCCTGAAAAATCCGTCGCCTCCCGTGGGATTCCAACGGTGGCACTTTCTCGGTTGATGGCAACCGCTGTGGCAGGAAAACAGCGCTAACACGTGGGAGGAGAGAACGCAGCCAGGACTCGGGTCTGGACTCGCTCAGCCCTCCTGGACCTCCGACGTCAGGGAGCTATGCGCGGATCTGCCGCCAGGGGGCAGGCGTGGCCGCGCCCTGCGAGGGTCTGAGCGCTGGGGGAGGGCTGGGAACGACGGGCCTCTGTGGCTGTAGGTGCCGGGTGGGTGGGTGCCTGGGCCGTCAGAAACGGGGGTGGGGCTGGGGCATAGGTTTGGAGACACACGATCTTGGCTGGGAATCCCCATGATTCCTTAGGGCCAGGACCTCTTTCCCTACCTGTCAGGTGGGGGTTCAGGAGTCTGTGATCAGGGGCTTTGGGAGCACTGGGGACTCACCCCGMTCCCACGGCCACCCAGAGTGCCTGGACCCACACCTCCTTGGTGATGGGCCACGCAGGACTCTGTACCACTAAAACCACCATGGGTGCTCAAGAGAAGCAGAGTGGCATGGTAATGTGTATAGGTCACAGTGGCCGTGTCACTGGTAACTCCATTCAGCCTGTCATCAGGGTGTCTTTGGGGTTTGCTTCAGGAACTGTCAGATGATTGGCCTCTCCGTTGCCCACCATGTTTGCCCGTCAGCTCCCAGTGGCTTGGTGACCCTTGTCCTGGTGAAGGCGGGAGCCACGGTCCCTGCCCAACCTGGTCCCCCCCCCCCGCCCCCACACGCACGGTGCTCCATGGTCCTGCAGGTTTTGAACTCTGTTTTTGCGGCTCCGCAGGCTGCTGTCTGGGGCTCCTCTGATCCGGCCATAGCACTAGTGGGCGCCTCCCCTGCGCCTGGGTGTGGGGAGAGGACAGCAGAGAACAGGACAGGCCCCTCCCCTGCCTTATGGAGTTTGCCCTTGAGTGGGGGAGACTGGTGAGATACGAGAGGCCAGCTGGGGACGTTCTGTGAGCAAGAGTGAATCTGGGTGAGGGTGAGAACGGGGTCCCTGGTTAGGTGAGGGGCTGGGTTATCTTCAGGGCTKCTGCCTAGGAGCAAGGGGAGGATGCGGGATGAGGTTCTGGAGTCAGAATGACCCTGCAGGAAAGTCCTCGGTCACTTCCGACCGCAGTCYTCTTTCCTCTAGCGAGGGACACATTTGTTTGTTGGTGCCCCTGGAAGGACATGGGGTTGTTGGCCTTTGGCTATTGTGGACGTTGGTGCGTGAGTCTGTGTGTGGACAGGGCTTTTGTTTCTCCTGGGGACCCACCTCAGGGTGGAATGCAGTTACGAGGGTTGAAGGTCCAACSATGTCCTTTTTCCTAAGGACACACAGGGCGCCCGCTCTGCTGGACCACCTACCTCACTGCTGAGCTGAATTAGAGGAAGTTGGTCTGAGATGTCACACGTCATCAGGGAGCTCAGCAGACTCGGATGGCGTGGGGGGTGGATACTGCCCAGGAAAGGCTGCTGAGTGTCATCTCCTCTCCTGGCAGGTACAAGTCCTTGTGCCCAGACACCTGGCCACACTGGCATGGGCCTCCGGGAGAGGGCGTAGAACGGCTGATCAAGTACATCGGTTACAGACCCGAGGAGTACAAGTTAGGGAAGTGAGTAGCCAGCAAAGTGCCCACTGACTGTCCCCTGCTGTCACACACTGATCTACAGCCTCATTTTGAAGGGGACGCATTTGTAGATTTATAAGCCCAATTTAMACGTGGCTTCCAATGGCTAGAAGAGGAGATGGAGCTCTTAAGGGGCCCCTGGGTYCTGAACCTGACTTGGTGGCTGGAATGAATCTCTGCTTGCAAAATGAAGAGGGGGCCATGGGTGGACCTTCCTCTGAGCCTAGATTCTCTCATTATTAAAATGGGTGCATGACTTCCTGGAGGTGGCATTAGGACCTGTGCAATGTGAAGTCATCTTTACCATCCCCCAAAGTGCTTTCTAGAATAGAGTTGAAGTTACCCTTGGGCAGAGAACTTCTATACACAATGGAAGCCTTCGGCGCCACTTGGTAGGATGAGGGGGAGGATCCAAGTCTGTTCTGCGAGTCACTGTGGTCAGGACTCATTTGGTGGACTCATTTGGTTGCAAGAGGCATGGAGACGGCCCATTCCCAGAAGGCAGGGCCCCCCCCTCRGGGACAGCTGCCTTTGAACCTATCGACGGGCCTTCCCTGCTGGCTCTACCTCCTGCTTGTATGAGGCTTATCTTGGGGTGCTTATTCTGGGTCCCAAGAATCAGCTCTTCAGTCCAGATCCCTGGGGAGATCGGGCAYGGCACTTCCTAGGGAAGCAGGTCCTGGAGGTCAGAGTTAGGAGGTCTGTCCTCATGGGATGACTCGGGAGGGGGAAGTAGGAGCAGGGGCATTGCTCACTACTGCGCCCCAGTGGCTGTCCTGGGAGGTTTCCCTCCCGAGGCAGGTGTGGGGCAGGGCAGGCAACCTGAGCCCAGCACTCACCTGGGCTGGGTCTCCTTCTAAGCTGGGACCTGTGTGCTTCCTTATCACTCCTCAAGGCACAGGAGCGCAGCCTGCAGCAATTTCAGGTTAGCATGGCGGATTCATGGCCTGGAACTTCACAACAGAAATTCATTCTCTCACGCTTCCGCCAGCCGGAAGCCSAGGATGAGGGTGCTGGCAAGGCTGCGCCCCTTCTGGACCTCCGACGGGAGGATCCTCCCTGGGCTGGTGGCAGCAGTCTGGTCTGCCTTGGTCGTCATGTGGCCTCTTTGCTAGGACACTTTCCTGGAGTTGAGGGCCCACCCTCACCTGGTCTGAGCTCCTCGCATCCTCTCATCCACAAAGACCCTCCTTCCAAAGTTCACCTCTGAGGTTTCTGAGCAGACATGAATCTCAGGGGGATGCTCTTCAGCCACGACAGGGGTAACCCACCAATTCACACATTTCTTTTCACTTCTAGAACCAAAATATTCATTCGTTTCCCCAGAACCCTGTTTGCTACGGAAGATGCCTTTGAATTTAGTAAACATCAATTAGGTATGATTCTTTTTTCTGCCCTGATTGCAGTAGAAGGTAAAATGAGAAAGTTCAGCTTGGGGGAGTAACTATTAAACATGGGTGTCTGATTTGGTATTGGAGGTACTCATGTTGGAAACCAGGAACGAGACACAGAATTAGGATAAGATACATGTACACTGAGGGCTTGAGGGAGTGCCGGGCGGGCAGCCTTGGGCGCAGGCAGACACTCCAGTGCCCTAGTGCCTGCTTGTCCTGTGGACCCCACCTGGCTGGGCAGGTAGGCCCTAACACCACCAGAGCCCATCACCCCTGCCTTCAGGTTTTTAAAACTCAGTAAGTATCTGATGTTGGCAGGCATAGCTTCCAAGCCTGCTGCCAGGGTGTTTATTATAAATGAGAAAAAGGGTTTTATTTAAATATATTTTTAAACTTTATTTATTTATTTTTATGTGGTACTGAGGTCGAACCCAGGGTCTTGCACATGTGAGGACAGGGCTCTACCGCTGAGCCCATAAATGAGAAAAGTTTGGTGGTGGGGAATCACAAAGCACTGGGGACGGGGGACTTCTTGGAAATCTAAACTGGTCTAGGATGGACTAGCCACTCTTTTGGGGGATGGGGTGGGGGTACCAAGGATTGGACTCAGGGGCACTCAACCACTGAGCCCCATCCCCAGCCCTATATTTTTGCATTTTATTTAGAGACAGGGTCTCACTGACTTGCTTAGGGCCTCACTATGTTGCTGAGGCTGGCTTTGAACTCGAGATCCTCCTGCCTCAGCCTCCTGAGCCTCTAGGATGACAGACGTGTGCCACCATGCCTGGCGACTAACTAGTTACCACTAGTAACTGATGCTCGCTGTAAGCTCCACACTAAGTCCTTGATACCCATGATCTCATCTCAGGACAAACCCTGGAGTAGGTGTTACCATCCCTACTCTATACTCGGGGACTCTGGGCACAGAGACTTTGGTAACTGCTGAAGGTCACACGGCTCCTGAGCAGGAAGGCGGGGGCTTGGACATGGGGCAGAGCTCAGTGATCTCATTCCTGACCTCAGACGAATGTGCTGGCTGCCGGCACCCAGGGCTGGGGTGAGGTGGACATGAGGTGCTGGCTCAGCCGGCTGCAGGGGGCCTGAGTCGGCATCTCTGCCCAGCTCCTGGGGGACGTGCTGCTGATTGGCAAGGCCCTCCATGAACCTGGCCTCTGGTGGGACCTCAGATGAATGTGGGGGGATGGCGGATGGAGAAGCTGGGGTGTCTTGTGGCCCACCCACCTCAGTGGCCGTGTCACCTGTGGCCCAGCAGGTGTCTCCACGCTCAGAGCCCCCGAGCCTATCGGAAATGTGCGGGTGCTGCCTGCCCCTGGGGTGTGGCCTGGGGATGGACTAGAACACCCGGAACCGGAGGCTCCACCACTGGGTCTGTCCCCTACCTGGGGAAGGAAACAGAAAGGCAGAGAAGCCCGGCCTCAGGCCCACGAGCGGGCCTGCTCTCAGGTGCTGAGTCGGCAGCCTGTGCCAGGGCTTCGCAGCCTGGGAAGGCCATGCCCGGTGCCCCTTGGAGGTCACAACCGCAAAGACAACCAGATGAAAGTCGTTTCACTAAAACTTTTGGTTTTACTTTAAGTTGCGAGAATCCAAGCCACGTACAAGGGCCGCCTAGGAAGAAGGGAATACGTGAAGAAGCGACAGGCAGGTAAGCAGTCGGCAGGAGCCTGCGTGTGCGGTGCGTGGGCCCCATGGCCGCCCTGCCCTCCCCCTGCCCATCCTGGAAACCTGGCCCCTTCTCAGACTTACCTTATGGACCAGCGATGTTTGCTCCACGGGCACTTTGTTCAGACATGGCAGGCAGCCTCCAAGCGCCTCCCACATCACGTTCTCAAACAATAACCGCCATTTCTAAGATGCAATCTCTGCTGAATCTTCCAGTACTCGTTTCCTTGTTTTTCTGTTTTACCATCTGTGGACACATCACCAAACAATATGTTTCTCGTTTGGCATGTTTTGAACTTAAGAAAATCATTCTGTTGGTATTTTGTGGCCACAGTTTTGCATTCTAAATTGTTTTTTGGAATTCAACCAGATGTGATTGGTTCATTTCCATGGCTGCGTCGTATTCCTCTAAGTCGGCAGTCAACAAGATCTTGGCAAATATTTTAGACTTGGAGTCAGATGACCCCTGCCACAGCTACTCAACACCGTAGCATGAAAGTAGCTTTAGACAATATGTAAATGAACGTGCCTAGCTGTGCTGCCTTTGAATTTTATTTATGTTAGTTGGCCCCTGAGCTGGATGTTCCACAATCCAGTCCTGTTGGTGGACATGTGGGTTATTTCTAGTTGCTTGTGCTTCTGTAAAAGAAACAGTGCAGTTCAGCGGGGGAAAAAGAAAGGCATTTAAAAAAATCCAAATTACCAAAAAATAATCTGAAAAGTATTTAAAAATTGGGGATATTGGCCAGGATCTGATTTTTGTGCATTCTATTTTCTTCCAATTTTTAAATGCTGACCACTAAATCAAAGCCAGTGTTGGGTGAGGCTGACTAAATGTGTGGTATGACTAATCTATACTATCACAAGAGCTACTCCTGTCCCCAAAAAAGACCTTGGGGAAACCCCCTGTGTGATTCCCAGCTTCCCTGGGTCCTCCAGGGCACCCTGCTCTCTCTCCCTGGTCTAGGTGTTGGCCTGAGCGTCCCCAGGTAAGAACTAATGACATACGTTGGACTTTCCATCTCTGCACCAGCAGGGCACAAGGGGGGRTGACCCCGACGTGCCCTGGGTGGACGAGGCCTGGAGCAGCCGTTTGTATTTACCTGTGACTGTGACCACTCGCTAATGTCAGCAATGGGCTCTTTCAGCCACCAAACTGGAAGCCCACTGGCGTGGAGTCYTGGCTCGAAGGGAGGTCCAGCGGAGAAGGTGGGCAGTGCAGGTAATAAGAAGGTGAGTTCCCAGCCGACAGGGAGCAGAGGTCACTCAACGCGGTGTGCCGCAGGGGAGGGTCTTGGGCGTGGMTGGGTTCTTGGGGTGTTTGAATTTGTGCACAAAGATCTTCTTTTCTGAAGCTGCTGGGAATTCAGTTCCTCCTCTTTGCTCTGAGCTCCCCAATGATCCCAGTCCGTGCATTTGTACCTTCTCTTGGCCTAGTTCAGAGTCACACAGGTGAATGCCCTCTGAAGCCAGGCAGGTARAGAGTCTCATGAGCTGGGACGAGGCAGTAGGGCGTGGTGGGGACTGCGGTGAACTGGACCTCAGTCTACGTCAGTGGGGCGGTGACTCTGCCAGTCAGTTGCTGCCTGGAGACACAGAGGCCACAGCTGGCAGATCACTCCATCATTGGAGGAGAGCGGAGATCTGGCTTTTATGCAAGACCTCCCGACTTTTTAAATTGGCAGCTAATTCAGACAAGTCAAAGCACAAGGCCACGTGGGTGAAGCGGGACATGTCTCTGGGGCGGGGTTGGTCTGTGGGCTTCATTCCTGGCTTCAGGCCCATGTGGTCACTTAAACCACCTGTGACTTTGGCTTCTGAATCAAATGGGGAAGAGAAGGCACATCTCTGAGGAAATGGGCCAGAAAGCTGACGGAGTGCTTCTCTTCTGAGGTTCATCAAGGGATTCATCCATCGCCACAGACCCCTCTGCCCTGACAACGAGGAGTTCATAGTGTTCGTGCGGAAGAATTACATCCTGAATCTTCGGAATCATGTTCCGAAGAATGTGTTGGACAAGAGCTGGCTGCGCCCTCCGGGCATCCTGGAACACGTGAGGACTAAGAGGGGCTCTGTTGCAAGTGACGTGATCTCCTTCCTGACTTGTAAAGCCACCGGGGTCTGTTTGAATGATTTCTATCCTTGACAGAGCTTTCCCAGTAGGTCCAATGATTGTTAAAAAGTTTCTCAAAAGATGGCCCGAGGCCAGGTGTGGTAGTGCACACCTGTCATCCCAGCYGCTCGGGAGGCTGAGGCAGGAGGATCTCGAGTTCAAAGCCAGCCTCAGCAACTTAGTGAGACTGTAAGCAACCTAGTGAGACCCTTTAAAAAAAAAAAAAGGGTAGGCTGTGGATGTGGCTGGGTGGTTGAACATCCCTGGGTTCAATTCCTGGTACMAAAAAAAAAAAAAAAAAAAAGGATGTCCGGATGTGGAGTGGAGGCCACTGTAAAATTCTTCTTGGGCCCCACCTCAGACCCACTGAGTGAGAATCTTTAGGAACATCAAGCCTGCTCCTTCTCAGAGGGACTATGACCATGTTCAAGTTTGTGATCTGCTACTTAAGCAAAATTGAAAAGTGAGCGCCCAGAAGGCTCGCTGCTTTGATGCCACAATATTAACACTGAACTTAAACCGCATCCAAGTGTGTTTTCCAAGCTTCCACTGTGGTGGCTCCACCCAGGACGGTGTGGGCCAGGCGGGTGGGAAGGACGTGTRCTCTCCACACAGGCCTCCGACCTGCTCAGGAAGATGTGCCTGAGGAACCTGGTTCGCAAGTACTGCCGCGGGGTGACAGATGAGCGGAGAGCCATGGTAGGCACGTGGCGTCTGCAGGGGGCAGGATGGAGGAGGGGCGAGTGCCCGTCCTGCAGTGGGGACGGTTAGTGTCAGGAGGCTTTGTCCAGCATCCCCCCTACAAGTGAAGGGTGTTGCCAGCCATGACCTGCAGCCAAGCCGAGGACCCAGCACAGAGCCTTGAGTGTCAGCTCAAGTTCTAGTCGGTAGCTCTGTGTGGTTACCATGGAGACAGTCCAGGACCCTTTCTATGGCCGGCTTTTTCTGTAAAGGGCTGGAGTGCGAAGACCATCTCTGTGATCTCCGTTACAATCTAACCAGTTAGCACTCTGCAGCTCCAGCAGGCGGGTAGCGCCTGTGTAAATGACAGGCTCGTGTAAATGACAGGCTCGGCTAGGTCCCAGTATATCTTGACTCCCCAAAACAGGCTGCAGGCTGCACTTGGCCCTTGGGCTGTCGTTTGCTGAGCTCTGATCTGAGAAGAGGGCAATTGCTCTCTGAAGTTTTGAAAACTCCACTTTGGGGAAGCCACCCCAAGTAGGCGGACCCACACAAATGTTGATCCCAGTCTCTACCAATGTAACTTTGGGGGCTTTTTGGTCAGCACCAAAGTAGAATAAGGCTCCTATGGTTCAGCCAACCATGGATCTAAAGCTCCTTTGTCCCTAAGACAGTMCCAGGGCTACCATTTTGGCACGTTTGTTTTACCAGATGCAGCAAAAGGTGGTTACAAGTGAAATATTCAGGGGGAAGAAAGAAGGCTACGCAGACAGCTTACGCCAGCCCTTTGCCACCAGTCGGATAGGTAAGTACCTTTCTCTCGAGGTGCCTCCGTCTTCCAGTTAGGAACACGTCAAGGAAGGTGCTCGAGGACCCCAGCACTTCCCAAGAGCAGTCTCCCCCAGAGACCTTGACCTTGGCACAGAGGAAGGCAAACCCGTAGGTGGCCGTGCCTCCCCCCAGGCTGGCACTCAGTGGTGATTCAGGTGTCTGCTTCTCTCTAGATGAAGGAGACATTCACCCCAAGGTGCTCCAACTAATCGGCAGTGAGAAAGTCGAGGTACGGGAGCGGGCGTCCTCAGCCTCCAGCAGGATTCCCTCACCGAGTGGGGGGCGCCTGCTCTCCCCGGAGTGTCTGAAGCACTACTTAAACGCAGGGGTGCGGCTGGGAGCTGCTCTGGGTGTTATTAAAAGTGACAGGGTGACGAATGGCAATTAGATACTGGTGGCTGTTCTTRTGGTTTTTCTGTCATCTTAAAATCTGATTTGATTTTTTTGTATGAAATTGACGCAGCCTGGAACATACTCAGGAAGCACCCGTGTTGGTGAGGGGCAGGGGTGGTCTGTCTTCTCAGTGTAGTGGCCGTCTTGTGGATGTGGATGAGGTCATTAAGGGGACGACTGAGGTGACAGTACCTGTTAGCCTGCCCCCTGGCCGACGTGAACRTGGCCTTGCTGGTGTGCTTGGAGGCTGTTCCTGCCCTTTTGGGAGTCTGTGGGACGGACTCCTCCCAGGCTGAGAGGGTTTTCAAGCCCAGAGTGTCTTCCTCTCTGCTGGCCTCTCAGAGCAGAGCCCTGGGGCTGGTGGCCGCAGCCTCCGCTTCCCCAGAGGGCAACGTGGCAGAGCTGAGCCCCCAAGTCTACCACACAGAGAGCCTGGCAGAGAAAAGATCTGTTCATGCAAAACCTGCCGAGTCTCTGTGCTTAAAGCAAGTCTCCCAGGTTCCCACCCTGGGAGGTCACCTCTCCCCGTCCCCCGCCCCGTGGTGACGCCAGCCTCCTTGCAGTATGGTGTCCCGGTCATCAAGTACGACAGGAAAGGCTTCAAGGCTCGGCGGCGGCAACTCATCCTCACTCGGAAAGTGGCTTATGTGGTGGAAATGGCCAAGATCAAGCAGAAGATAGAGTACTCGGCGCTCAAGGGTAGGCGGGTGACTTTCAGGCACTCCCGGAGGTGACCCAGGGCTGGGGGGCCACCAAGCAAGCAGCCCACAAACTGGAGGCTCAGGGTAGGATGCCGGGGCCTGGCCTGGGCCTCTTGCTCCGAGCATCCAGGTTGGGCAACAGTCGCCTTCCACAAAATGACTGGCTCTGCCTGGGCTCACAGTCCAACAGCAGGGTCCCCCCACCTGCCCCAGTGTCTAGGAGGAGCTGGGTGGGCTGGGGAGCCCCGGGCTGCAGCCCTGCAGGTCTGTTAGTGAGCTGCCCCCCTCCGGCCCCTAACTGCCTCTGTCTTAAGGTGTCTCCACCAGTAGTCTGAGTGATGGGATCTTGGTCATTCATGTGTCACCAGAAGACATCAAGCAGAAGGTAATGCATGGCCGCCAGCCTCTAATGTGTCAAGTGCCACCAAACCTCAGGATGAGAGCTGAACTTTTCCTTTGACACCACTGACACTGACACCACGGCCGTCCCCTCTCCCCCAGGGGGACGCCGTCTTACAGTGTGAACACCCGTTTGAGGCGGTTACTAAACTGGTCATGCTGGTTAAGAAGGAGAACATGGTAAACGTTGTTCAAGGAAGGTAGGTGGCTTCTTCTTCAGCCTGGGGAGTAACTTGGTGTCCAAACACCAACAGGCCCAGGAGACGGGGATGTTAATCCTTCTGCCCAGGCCTGTGTCCCCCCCCCACAGCGGACAACAGGGTCCACCAGTGGGGTGGGAGTCTCCAGTGGTGTCCCCTGCCCGCCCTGATAAAGGGCTTTCCCCATCCTTGCCCCTCCGCCCTGGGATCCAGAGAAACGAAGAGGTCAGGTCACTGACCTCAGGAAGTGGTAGTGTTTCCAGTTTTCAAAAGAGGTGCTTATGTTCTTGACGGACACCATCCCCAAGGAAGAGRAGGCTCACTGGGCCTCAGCAGACGGCAGCCCACCTTTGCCATGGATGCCTGGTGGGACCTGTTCGGTGCACCAGGCCCCAGCTTTGATGGCTGCCTACAGACTAACCAAAGAATATGCTAGTCTCCTTAGGGAGTATAAAAATACCTACCATGCAGATATGAAACACCCCCTAATTCTCTCCACGGTGAAACAACTGTCACCTTTTGTTGTTTCTCTAGTCCTGGGGATGGAACCCTGGGCCTTGCACACACTAGGCAAACACTCTGCCACRGAGCTACACCCCAGCTGGCCTCAAACTCATGATCCTCCTGCCTCAGCCTCCAGAGTCACTACAGGTGGGCACTGCTGTGCCTGTCCTTTGCTGCCACCTTCTCTATTTCACAGGCAAGGCAAGCAAAGCACAGGTTAGCCGGCATGCCCTGTTAGGGGGCACTGCACTGGCCAGTGAGGGTGTGTGGAGGCTGAGGCCCACGCCCGACTCCTTCTCACGGACTCCTGCACAGCCCACAGAAGCAGACTGCTCCTGAAGAGAAGGGCTCCTTTCCTCTGCTCCAAGTTGTTACAGGATGATGAGCAGATCTGTGGGGGAACAGGGAGAGAGCGCTGGGCACTTTAACAGGGCTGTCTGTCCTTCTGTACCCGAGGCAAGACTTAGGCGGCTGTAAGAGTTCTGGCAGGCAGGCCCAGTGGCCCAGGCCTGCAATCCCAGTGGCTCGGGAGGCTGAGGCAGGAGGATCATGAGTTCAAAGCCAGCCTCTGCATAAGTGAAGTGCTAAGCAACTCAGTGAGACCCTGTCTCTAAATAAAATACAAAATAGGGGCCAAGTGCCCCTGAGCTCAATCCCTGGTGCCCTCCCACAAGAAAGTTCTGGCATGAAGATGTGTAGCTTGTTCCTCAGGCATCAGATTGGCYCTATGAAAAATTGATTGAACTATAGAAACATGTAAATCATCCAGTTGTAAAACTGGTTTTCTTCTTCTGATTGCTCAAATAGGCAATAAACACAATGACGAAACAGGAATCTCATCTTGAAACCAACAAAATTTCACATGAGTTTACTTTGCAGACCAAAAGCTGGGGGCAAAAAAACCCATGTGTCAGTAACTTGTCACTTTGTGTGTTCTAAGTTTACAGTTTTATATTAGTCCTGGGAAAGAAGGCACAATAGTTTTCCATACTGGACCCGAAGAACACATCTATAAAGATAAAAGTGGACAGTTAACRGTGGTGAGTGGCTGCCTTGGGGTGGGGGAAGAGAAGCCTTTCAGAAGAGAATATAGATTTAGAAAGTGGATTGTTTCTCCCCTCCATCCCCAATTCCACATCTGAGAGGGGAAAAAATGGACACTAGAAGCATGAAATTAAACATTGGAGGAGGCAAAGAGTCTACCATGTTTAACTGCCAGTGAACAAGAGGCTGACACGAAGTACTCACCCTCAAACTTGTCTCCACATGGAGCCCATGTGCTGGAGTCCCCCTCAGACATCGTAATTTAGTTACGGGGAGGAGAACCCGAGGCTGGGCACTCAGGGACCCAGGCCTCCTTGACCAGGCCCCGTGCTGGGCCGAGGGTCCCCAGTCCACACAGCAGGAGGACCAGCTTGTCTGGACCTAATGTTCCTTGGAAGTGAGATGTATAAATCTGGAGGCTAAATCATTAAAATGTCTTTCCTATGTATACCAAGAATTATTATTTGATACCATTTAAAGAGCAAAGTATCTCCTACACACTTGAACTTGTTTACCAATAAAAGTGTTTTGTGGATTTAACTTTTATAACTCAATGGCCCCCTTTAGTAACAAATTCAAGGGAGGACCATTTTGAATGTCAGCTGATGGGGTGATTTTTCAGTTGACATGCATGTTTTCAAGCTTACACCCGAGACTGACCTCTCTCCTTCAGTCCAACGGCCCCTCTTCCTCGGCAGCTGGCTCAGGCTGACGATGCCGACAGGCCTGTGAGCCACTTTCTACATCTACCTTGTCCCCTGGGGGGTGGGGCTGGCTCCTCAGCCCCCCCCCCGCCCACTCTGGTGCAGAGGGCTGCGTGATGCAAGGGAGCAGCTGGGTGTCTAAGGGGCGACTCTCCTAGGTGTCTGTTCGGAGGAAGTCCTGATACAGCGTGACGCCTGACCGCACCAGCGCTGTTTGTGCTCCAACCAAGAAAAGGACCGGAAAAGCAGGAAAAAATCCAGTTAGCTACGTGTTCAAGGAAAAATGCCAGCACCTATCGGAAAAGGCCCCCTGTGCGGAGATCGAGTGGCATGTCACAGCAAAGGCCGACCCAGCTTCCCAGTGGCACTCATATTAGGACGCCTTCTGAGAGCCCACCTCGAGTTGTCCACGGGGGTTGTTTTCAGCGTCCCTGATAGAACCCCCCTCAACAGGGCATGTCCCAGGGTGGATGATGGATTCTCTACCTCCATTAAGCTGTTCAAGACATGATGAAATACTGTGTGGTCTATGAGTAAGTAAATGAAATTTCATAAAGTTTCAAGACTTGAATATTGCTTTAAATAAGTGAAACTTACAAATTCAAGGATTTGGGTTCAGTTTCTGATGGGGGGAGTGGGCACCCATATGGTGAAGGATGACTATGCTTCCTCACCCAGGACTTGGGTTTCAGTCCCACACCACAGGGCTGGGCTCCCCTCCCCTCCCCTCCCCTCCCCTCCCACCGCAGCAACCACAGGTGTGCAACAGGACGCAGGTGCTCTGCCCACTCTGCTGGCCACTGCCTGGTGCAGGGGCTCCGTTGTGCTGGACATCCCTGAAAAGACCCAGAAATCACATGGAAAGAGAAGCAGAATAGGACTTTTATTTTACATAGACCCATAAATGCTTGCACAAGGAGGTGTCCACTTCTAGAACTTACGCATCTTTTTCAGCACAGACGGGAAAGCCAATGGCATGCTTAACTTGTTGGAGACTTTGGGTGGAACCCTAAAGACAATGCACACTCCAGAGGGACAGGCGATCGGTGTCCCATGAGGATGCCGGGTAGCAGCTGGAGGGTCCAGGTCCAGGTGGACACCAGGGGTGGGGCAGCCGCAGAGGTCAGCCAGCTGAGCCGCAGGAAGCAGCAAAGGATGTGCCAGGCGCGGTCGGAGGCACAGGCCCCCACCACAGTCAGATGACTTGAACTTGATCATCACAGACCAAAAGCTGTTCCCATTTGTTTTAAGGCTAAGCTACTACAACATCATAAGACCCTCCTCTTCACCAGTCCCAGGRCCACTGTTTTACTCTGATGGTTCAGAAATACTGACTTTTGCCCTGGGCACTGGCATCAGAAAGATCAGGTCTTTGTAGAGAGTATTCGATAGCAGAACTTGGACCAGCCAACACTGTTATTCACCATGGAATGTTTTACAGACCTGGTCAAAATCCCTGGGAAGCGGCAACGAAAAACTATAGGTGCCAAGTCAGAGGAAAAGGGAGGCAGGGCCCAAGGCACGGGGCCCATCAGACACACCTCGAGCTCTCGCTCACACAAACACTCACCAAACAACTCACACATGGCTTTTCCATTCCTCTAGAAAACATCAGGACTCACATTCACCTGAACTTTCTAAAAAAGTTTAACCCCAGTGACAGGCTGGCATTTAAAACTCACACAATATAAAATATTTACGAAACGTTTTGTAAGCTCCCTGTCCCAGCACTTAATAAAATGCAAATGGCCTAATAGAAAAGTTCCCCACACAACAGTTCACAAAGCGCCTACCGGAAGTGACTTTCAGGCTCGTCATGATTGCTTCAAAGTTCTACTTCAAAGTCACCGTTGGATACAAAAGAAAGGCACAGGAAAGTGAGGTGTAAACCCCGTGAGATACACACAAAGTCAATTGCCTTAGGAACACGCCTGTCAAAGGCTGCCCACGTTGACACCTTTGGTTTACAACAGCAACGGTCCCTTAGGAAGCACACGGTCCCTTAGGAAGCACACAGACCCATCGTCCCTGCCACGCACCTGTCCTGTAACTACTCTACCTGTCTCAACCAGCCATCCGTCAGTCACAGTTCACTGCTGTCCCTGTGCAGGCACAGAGAGCTGGGAGGTAGGTGACTGAGAAAGTCCGTCCCACACAAGCACCGGCCACAGCCAGGCTCCAACCTGGGCCACCGAGGGCCACAAGCACACATCCCCACCCACAGTCACACACATTCCTTCAACAATCGTGAACTCAGACACAAAAGGGACCCAAAGGAATCTGCCCCTCCTCACCTGTTCACCCACGGCCACTGTATTCTGCATAGAAATCAGAAAGACACAAGGGGCTCTCCAGGGGACGGCTRTTCATCACAGGGAAGCCACCCGAGACAGGCAAGCTCCCTTGGGGCGGGTGTGAGGGGTCCCCGCCYGATGCCAAGCCGGCAAGACAGCTGGGCCACACTTAACTTGTCACCACAAGGGAAGACAAGTTCAGCTCCACGGGGAAGGGGCCGAAAGGAGTGGGCCCTTGAAGCGGCACCTTGTGAGCTGCACCTGGTGACCTTCTTGGAATGGAGTGGGTCAAGGCAGCGACCGGGAGGGGCAGGAGTCAGAGGAGGAGCCAGGAGGGAAGCTCAAGGCGCTACAGGCGTCCCCTGAAGGCCTAGGCTAGGGACAGTGGGAGCAAGGAGTCCCTAGGTCCCAGCTGCACTGCTCTAAGCTGTACCTGTCAGTAAGTGCCACGCACACAGCCCTGTCACACTAGGGACTTCCRCAGAGCCGCAGAGCGCCTGCTCAGTGCCTAGGAGCCAGGAGGCAGGCTGCGCAGGGTGGAGGGTCACCAGCAGGCAGTGCAGGGACCACCGAGGAACTGTCACGTGAACCTTTAGGGAGTGTCAGTCACCCAAGGAGCCCTAATAGGTAGTCAACACCCACAACAATAAATACTGCGACAAAGTTCTCAACACTCCACTCRTTCAGACGTTTCTTCTGAGGCCGGGAGCCTGGCTCGCAGACTTGGCTCCCTGGAACGCAGAGCCTCTGGCGGTTGGTTCAAAGGGGCACGAACGCCTGGGTCCARGCCGCCCAGGCGCCTGGTCAAGAAACAGCAAAATAACCACGTGGCTTGCTACAGAAGGACCTCGGGCCCCAGGGGTGGAGGGGCCTGAAGCCTGACGGGGTCTGAGTGTGGCGGGGCAGGGAGGCGGGAGCGGGAGGGTGGCTCGGCCGCCTGGTCACTGGTGGAGGTGGGCCCGGTCGTCTGGCCGCTTGATGTGGATCCGCCGCACACGCTCGATCCTCTCCCGCTCCCGGTCCTCGTCCTCATCTGGGTGATGAGAGCGGCCAGCAGCCCCACCGGTGGCCTCCAGGAGTGCATTGTCAGGTCCCCGGCCATCCTGGGCCTCGTACAGCAAAATATTCAGGGTCTCCTCATAAATCCGAGCTTCAGGGAACTCAACCTGTATCCCCACAAAACACAGGGCGGCAGGTTAGCATGACCCCCAGCCCTGAGCTGGCTCCCACCTGTACTTCTGAGCAGGCCACCAGCACCCCACAGGCCCGGGGTGACAGTGAAGGCTGCCACTGTCAAGGCAGCCTTTGTTTTCAGTGCTACGTTCACCAGACACCAAGGGGACTCGGTGGACAGGCCTCCCACCCCCCATTTCTCTCTGAGGCCAGGCTTCATTTTACCCTGACTCCCACGCGTGTGAACATATGTGGACCTCCACACGCTCACACAAAGGTGGCCACCCTGCAGATCCCCATGTACCACCTGTCCCAGGCCTGGCTTGGAGATTCTGCCACCTCAGGGATTAGGACAAAGCGATCAGGCAGGGGTCACTGATGGGTGCTGAGGTCGTCCCCAAGAGGTTGATACTAACACTGTGGCCTGAACCCATGTCCACCTCGACTTAGAGCAGGCTGTGAAGCAACTGTGTTTCTGAACAAGCACCAGCTGGGACCCAGGAAACACACAGGATCGTCTGATTGGCAAGGTGTTGTGTTGAGTGTTCCAAGAGGAGGAGGGCGCACGGCTCCTCCCAGATATGTGACTCACAACCAAGACTTGGCTTTTAAAGGGCAGGATTCTGAGGTTCTGTTTTCACTGAAGCAATTAAGCCAGGAGGGGACGCATAGCCACTCAGCAGGACTCGGAGAGGTCAGCCTCGGAGAGGTCAGCGGGGCACAGATGGGTGGGGGTGGGGGCAGGTGGTACTGGAGGTAAACCCTAAGCAGAAGCACGTTTACCATCCCCAGCCAGCACTGATGCAGCCTGAAACCATCACTGGGACAGAGAAAACTCCAGAAGGTCACTCGTGGCCAGAGGGGTGAATACAGTCTATATTGGGGCAGGGGACGGGGAACTTCCCTGATATTCTGCCCTCTGTTTTCTCATACCCCAGCCCCAGCCAACCTGTGGTGGCAACCATACACAGCAGGGGTCAAAACTCAGGGAGGCCTTTTTCCCTGTGGCAACAGGAGGCGAACCCAGGCCCTCACACCCACTGGGCGAGCCATCTTCCGTGAGCCACACCCTGACCAAGGACCTTCCCTTCTGAGGAGAAATGCTGTGATCTGAGCAGCTGGRGGAGAACCCCTGCCAATTTTTTCCCCAGTCTTCACACTGGGTGGCCTCAGATACAGCTCAGCCACAGGAAGTGGGGAGCAGAGCGAGGCAGTTGAGGCCCTGGCCCTCTGGCCAGACAAGGGAAGGGGAAATCCAGGGAAGTGACATTGCTCAGGCAGTTGGGAGGAGGGAGCCTGAGGACGTGTTCTCTCAGGCTGCACAGGATGCCTGGGGTCACCCCGGCCGCAGGACCTGCCCCCCACAGCACCATCAGATGAGAAGACCGGACAAGGCAACGGGCACCGTCCTCACAGCCTGGCCACAGCACAAGCACAAAGATGGGCAGATGTGAAGCTCTTGAAAACTGAGCTATGGCTGAAACCACAATCCCGGAAGGCTGGCTGGAACCTGCAGCCTGAGCCCAGCTGGGTCAACCACTCCCAACATTCTCTCTGGAAATGACAAGACCCGGGGGTCTGGCATCATCACGTCCAAAATGTCCAGGACACAATTAAAATGACTCAGCAACAAAGAACTAGGAACCCGAGCTCCTGGAAAAAGGTCACCAACAGGTGCCAGTGCCAGGGTGACACAAGGTGCTGGAATCCATTACYTGACAAAAACCTGAAAGCAGCCATTGTAAGTGTTCAGGAGAGTAAGAGCAATGCTCTTCCAGTAGAGGGCAGCACCAGGCCCCAGCAAGGGACGGGGTAGAAAGAGCCAAATGACAACTAGAACTGAGAACTACAGTGACTAAAGCCAACACAGRGGGACCCTCAGCTCACTGGAAGGGCTCCATGACAGGAGAGGCCAGCAGAAGTAATCCAGTCTGAAGGACAGAAAGACGGACCAACGGAGAGCGGAATTCTGTGCTCAATTATTATCTGGTCTTCAGTGAATCAGAATGAAGAACCAAACGGACAACACAGGCACCAAACACCTGAGTGGACCTCAACTTCAGCCAGCCACGCCCTTTCCCATCACGACAGGACAGCTGCGTGATGAACTGAAGAGCCAGAGAGCACGTGGAGTGCAGTGCCAAGAAGGACATTACCAAAACACCACCACTACAGGACACCTGCACAGCGACTTGACCAACAAGAAGTTGGGCTAGATGAAGGAGTGGCCTCTTCTACGAGGGCCACCCTAACCCGACTCCCTGGAAAGTCAGTCACAGGTTCCCCTGGGGTACAGTGAACTCTAAGGAACGGGCTCTACAGCAAAAGGAGCCAAGGCGAGGGGCCCTGGCCCCGACACTGAGCGGCTTCATACACACAAGCTCAGGGCAGCTCAGAGTAGCCCACTCGTCTACAAAGAGCTGRACCAAACCACTCATCTCCAAATCCCTCTGCCTCCAATTAAGCTCTAAGAGAGAAGAATCAGTTACCTTCCACTTAATACGCTCATTATCCTGTGATGCTCGCAGAGGCAAACCAGACACAGAAAAACCAGACCATGAGAACGTGGAGGTCCAGCTATGGGAGGAACTCACACTCTAAAGAGAGTCCACAAGACAAACGGCAGGACTGACGTGGCGTGCAGCTATGGCAGGGGAGCAGGTCGGTCTGCCATCTCTGAGGGAAAACCACCTCTGTGTGGCTCCCTTGAAGACAGTTTCTTTTAGGATACATCCTGAACCCTTATGAATTGTCATCCAGCAGGTTGACAATTAATCCTGTGTAGGGAAGAGCTCAGCCACAGGGGGAGCAAGGGCAGCCACTGCAGCCGGGTGACAGGCGATGGAGATCACTGGACCTGTCTAATTCTGTGAGTGAATTAAATTTTCACCAAATTATCAATGAAACAAGGCTCAGATTTCTAYTGCGATTTTTTTCCTGTGATTTTCTTTCATTTGCATTTTGCTTGAGGCCAGCTCCAAAATCCCACAGAACTATTGCTTTTTGAAGCTGTGGGAGCCACAGTGAGCTGAACGTGAGGCCAACAGGCTGTATGTGGGTGACGAGAGGCAAGGCAGACCTACTGACCGCATGGGTCAGCAGAGTTCCCACAGATGGGTTGAGAGAGAAATGAAAGAGTAGAGTGTATTTACAAGCAAAAAGAAAAAGAAAGCAAGCCTACTCTCACAGCCCGAGGAGGGGAGGCAAGCAGAAGACCTAGAGTCAAGCTCAGGGACCAGCGGTGCAGACAGAGGTCTAGCGGCACTTGCTGTGCGCTCTGCTCTACGGACTGGCTTGGCAGAAGCTAAGGGAGAGGCCAGGTCCACCTGGGAGAGGAGGATACAAAGATGGATCTAGAGTCCAGCCTAGTCGGAGCCACGTGTGGCCCAGGCGGGAACTAAGGAATGCCATGCAGGCCCTGTGCAGGCGGAGGGCAGCTCTTGGTCAGCAGGCAGGAGGACACACAGATGGTCATGACCAGAGGGCTGAGGACCAGGTCTTGACAGCAGCACTGATCTCTGGTGAGCCAGACCTGATGGGGTCATGCTGGTGGGCTGTTGCATGGAGGTGGATGGCACAGACAGTGTCAGAAGGGTCGCCAGCGTCAGAGAAGACGCYGACAGCCCGGTACAGAGGTACGGGGGTAAATCTGACCACACGTGTGCATGGCAAGGGACTGGGGTGTAGCATGACTGTGTCCACTTGCTTCCCGCCACTGTTTCTCCCAGACCTATATTTACATCTTTCCAAGGCCCCAAGGTAGTGCTCATTCCCACAGCCATAGACAGAAAGGCGTTTTAAAAGCTTTCCTCCTTTATTTGGTCTGAGTGGAAGAAGTGCTCCCGTGTTTCAGAGCAGCCACTCAGGACTGCCCTCTCTTGGACTGTCCTCTTACCTTGGTCTGCTTCTTCTCGGTGGCATAGACAATGGAGGTGCAGCACACTTCAGCAATCTTKCGGCCCTGACCATAAAAAGACCAGCAGCAGATTTCGTCCCCAATGACATCCTTGATGAACAGGACCCTTCCGTTAAAGCGCAGAGAAAGCTTATCAAACAGCTCAATGTTTTTCAACATATTGTCGTCCGAATTGCTGCAAAAGAGCATCCAGTAAGTGACCAGGAGCTAGTAAAAACTTCCAYTATTTGCTGAGCACTTCAACACACCGGATCCTATTCGGTCACTGTCTTTCTCATCTCATTTCAACTAATAACAATCCCATGGGAAAGCACTATAGTACACACTGCTCAAAGAAGGAAAAGAAAGAGCGATTAGGTAGTTATCACCGGGCATGGTGGTGCATGACTGTAATCCCAGCAGCTTGGGAGGCTGAGGCTGGAGGATCATGARTTCAAAGCCAGCCTCAGCATAATCGAGGTACTAAGCAACTCAGTGAGACCCCGTCTTTAAATACAGTACAAAATAGGGCTGGGGGTGTGGCTCAGTGGTTGAGTGCCCAGAGTTCAATCCCAGGTACCAAAAAAAAGAGCAATTAGGTAGTTGTCCAAGGCCAAAACTAATAAATGGCAGAGCTAGGCCTCAAAAAAATAGCTCTGGCCCCCAAGCCCATGCTCCTGACCAGTGGCACACATGCCTGCCCTGCACAACCAGAGACAGAAYGCTGCAGATGTGGGACCCCTGGCCATAGGCATCCGTGGGGGACAGCACCACACTGACACCCAGAAGGGCCAGAATGGAACTGCCCAAGGCAGACTTTTGATCCTAAGTCACTTCCTGGGCCTTGAATAACCTCATGAAATTCCCCCTCTATCCATCAAATTCCTGATTTAGAGCCACATATTCCCAAGAGAGCCAAAAGGCATTCTAAAAACCCACACATACTGTTGGTGGGACTGTAAAGGGTGCAGCAACTTTGGAAAAGAGTTTAGCAGATCCTTGATGACTAAGCTCAGTTACCATGTGACCTGGCAAGTCCACTCGTAGGTATTTATGCAAGAGAAATGAAAACACAAAACACTTACACATGAACGTTCAAAGCAGCACTACACTCGGCAGCCAGAAAGCAGAAATGACCCAAGCGCCCATCAACCCATGAGTGGACAAAATGTGGTTTAGTCACACAATGCAATCACTCGGCCACAAAAAGAAATGACACACCGATTCACTTTACAGCATGGGTACACCTTGAGGACATTACGCTAGGGGAAATAAACCAGTCATAAAAGACAATATACTGCCTGATCCTATTCAGATGAAATGTCCCCAACAGGCAAATCCACAGGCAGAAGGTAGATTCATGGTTACTAAGGCTTGGGAGGGGGGCGGGGGACTGAGGTAAAATGATGAGTGACTACTAAGGAGTAGAAGGTTTTTTTTCTAGGGTGATGAAGACGTCCTAAAACTAGACAGTGCTGAAGGCTGCAGGACTTGTGGAGAAGCTGAAAACCCACTCAACTGTATACACTTTAAAAAGTGAACCTTATGGCACATGTAAACTGGATCTCACAGTCTAACTACTGTCCACCTCTCTACCCCCTTCCAGAGACGTAGGGGTGAGCCTCATCTGCAGGGACCCCGAGGGGCTGGCCTGGCTGGTGTGTTCCCTAGCGAATGCCAGTGTCTTTGCTGGCGGCCACCTTACCTGGTGTACGAGTATTTGTTGTTACTTCTGTTGTAGAGCAGCTTCACGGAGGGCTGTGGGGTGTTGGAAAAAGGAAGAAGACAGTTATCTGGTCTGCTGGGGCAAGGAGCTGCAGACTTCCCCAAGGCCAGGACCCTGCCGTGAGGCAAAGAGGTGTCAAGCACAGGTTGCTGGCTGGAGGGGACTGTGTGGCCCAGCAGCGGGGCGACACGAGATGAGCTGCAGCTTCCTGCTCTGGAGACACGCGAGGCCGCGTCAGGCAGTTACACACGGTTTGATCTCCGAACTTAGGCAGAAGAATCCCCGTGGTTTTGGGTAGCTAACGAAAGCCCAGGAAAGTGCGGCCAACATACCTTATTTGACGTCGCTATGAGTTTTTGTTCTTCCTTGGATGAAGTGATGACAGGAACCTTGCAGAAAGGCTCGTAAGTTTCTTTGTTCTGCCGAAACAAAACATGCCTTCAGCCTAGGCCTGCTGGGCACTGGATTTTTTAAGCTGATGCCCAGCAAAGCCAGGATTGGGCGAGGGAGCTGGGGCAGGCGCAGCGGGAAGAGGGGAAGACTCTCCCCACCAGGGAACTAGGGAYGGGGAAGACGAGGAGTCGTTTTCTGGACAGTCCTGGGCCAAGGCTGTTCCCGTCTGAGGTGCTGAGGGAATGCTACAATGACACACTTTCTCCACCCAGATGACACTCAAAACCAAACAGGCAGGTGAAACATGGGTAATCAAAAGCTCCTACGATCCCACTCTAATGACTTCAGAGGACAAGAGAGGAGGAAAGGAATGACAGGCACCAGGGCAGCAGATGAGAGATGTCAAAACCCAGAGTCTGGGAGCAGATCTCAGGTGAGTGGTGACCAGAGATGCAGAAAGTGACAGTCAAACTGGCAGACAGGAGAGAAGCCCAGAGAGTCCTTGGAGAAGAGCTCTGAACGCTGGAGAGAGTGGAGTAAGGGCAGAGGATTGCTGGCACGTCACAGAAGCACCAGGGAGACCCCAAGATCTGCGTCCTTTCCCTCYCCCCTAACAGAAAAAGCCCCCCGCCTTTTTTCCCTTTCTCTACTGGGGATTGAACTCAGGGCCACTCAACCACTGGGCCGCATCCCCAGCCCTGTTCTGTATTTTATTTAGAGACAGGGTCTCACTGAGTTGCTTAGGGCCTCGCTTTTGCAGAGGCTAACTTTGAACTTGTGATCCTCCTGCCTCAGCCTCCCGGGCAGTAGGATAACAGATTTGTGTCACCATTCTCAGCAAGGAAGGCCCATTTTTTTTCTGGAGTGGTTTGCATAGGAGGGGACAGGACTGTTACTATTCTAAAAGTGGGTGTTATGGTTTGGATATGAGGTGCTCCCCAAAATCTCACATGTGAGACAATGCAAGAAGGTTTGAAGGAGAAAAGACTGGGCTATAGCCTTAACCCAATCAATGAATTAATTCCCAATGGGATTTACTGAGTGGTAACTGAGGCAGGCGGGTGTGGCTGGAGGAGGTGGCTCCTGGGGGCATGGCTGTGGGGGATATATTTTGTAGCATCCAGAYAGTCCAGTTTCTCTGTGTGCTTCCTGATCATCATGTGAGCTGCTTCCCTGTGCCACTCTTCCACCACAGTGTTCAGCCCTGAAGAATGGAGCCTGCTGTCTCCATGTTGACACCTCTGAAACCATGAGCCACCAAATACCCTTTTCCTCTTCCACAATTTTGATGGTTGGGTCTTTAGTCACAGCAGTGAGAAAGCTAACACAGTGGGGACAGGTGAGCAGCTGCATGCTAGGTGTGGAGAGTCCCAGCCTCTTCCCTCAGACTCCAGGAGGCAGCCAGCAAGCGCGCCCCACCACACAGCAGGGGAGGGGAGGACTTCTCCAGAGAGCATCGCCATGCGCGCCCTCCAAAGGCACCCTGAGTCTGACATCTGTATCCCCGCTGAAAAAGTCAACCTAGCATCCAGCCAACGACAACAAAGGCTGCCCCTCCTTCCCAGAATCTTACTCTTCAGCTTCAGTGGAAGCCAAGAGCGTCAGAATACGCGAGGGAGCCTCTCCAACATAAGAGTCTGACATAAAAGGTGACAAGCAGGGGAAGAAGTCCGAAGACAAGGGAGCGGAAGGAAACTTCACCAGCATCATCAGCAAGACAGAGCAGATGCAGCAGCCTCGGGAACAAGTGAGCAGGCCGTGGAAACCGGCTTTCAAAGAACAAGAAAAGGCTCCCGGGAACAGAGCAGCAGAAATGAGAACTTYAAGAGGGCTTGAAAAGACAAGTAAAAGAAAAGATCAACATTAAACAGATACATGAGGTGGGAGGGAAAGGGAGAGAAAAGGGAAATTGCATGGAAATGGAGGGAGACCCTCATTGTTATACAAAATTACATATAACAGGTTGTGAGGGGAATGGGAAAATAAACAAGGAGAGAAATGAATTACAGTAGATGGGGTAGAGAGAGAAGATGGGAGGGGAGGGGAGGGGGGATAGAAGAGGATAGGAAAGGTAGCAGAATACAACAGTTACTAATAGGGCATTATGTAAAATTGTGGATGTGTAACCGATGTGATTCTGCAATCTGTATTTGGGGTAAAAATGGGTGTTCATAACCAACTTGATTCTAATGTATGAAATATGTCAAGAGCTTTGTAATGTTTTGAACAACCAAAAAAAAAAAAAATTAAAAATGGCCAAGAAAGAACAGAAAGATAAAGTGAGAGCTATTGGGAGGAAAGAGAGAGAGGAGGGCAGCCCTGGGGGTTGAACCTCAGCCTAATGGAAAGAATCCCAGAGGGCTGCGTCCAYGTCAAAGAGGAACAGGCCCCGGGATGTGTCTGAACGTCCAATATGAGCAACTGGGAAACCAAGTCAGCAGATCAGCTGTGGCTGAACTGTTAACCATGTTTACACTGCACAAGGTAAACTCTGAATACTGGTTCAAGCAAAACGATTACAAACTATTCTGGGAGAAGGCTTGGTGGGGGGAGGGTGGTGTGTGAGCTAAATTCCTGTTTTTTATACTAATGCCCGTAGCTAACCCAGAAAACTGCAAAGCCCATACACAGCAGTGCAAGCAAGTGATGTGGAAATAAGAAAGAAAACAAAAAGGGCTGGGCTGGGGCTCAAGTGGTAGTGCGTTCGCCTGGCATGCATGAGGCACTGGGTTCGATCCTCAGCACCACATAGAAATAAATTAAAGATGTTGTGTCCAACTACAACTAAAAAAAATATTTAAAAAAAACCCAAACTGCTGAAAGAGGCGGTCTTGGGGGTGAGGGGTGGTGTCTTCCACAGCGACTGTGCAGTCCCATCTGACCTCCTCAACGAGACATGTGCTTCACTTTAACAAACCTAACAATGAAGTGTCAATGATGCAAATGCTGCAACATTTGTTAGATTCATTGGATTGCCACTCTAAGCCGAGGACAGTGCCTCCAGGAGCCTGGCATTAGGGTGCTGCTCCAATAGTGGGTCACACACAGACATGTGGCATGGGGGAAACATAAACAAGAGCCTTGCCCCCCCCAACACACACACGTGGGCCTCTGACAGCCCAAAGGGACACTTCTGACTCTCTGCCGTGGCAGAATGTGCTTGAAACAAAAGGTTACTGGCCATGTCTAGAAGCATTTGTTTTGGCATTTGACTCCAATGGTCCTGCCCTAGGCCAGCCAAGGAGAGAGGCGTCTGTCTGTAAAGACTTTACTGGGCTCCCAACAATGATAAATGTAGCCAGAACAAGTTCCAAGTGGATCCAGAAAAYGGTCCAGTTTAACACCCTGAGGGGTCTATCACTACTGAGGGGTTACATGTGCATGTGAGACGACCCAGCACCACGGGGACTGAGACAGGGAGTAGCTGGGTGGCCTGGGCAATGCAGGAAGGCCTCCCTGACTGCAGGGGAGAGGCCCAGGGTGAATGCCCACATGTCTCACTGAGGGAGGAACAGCCCCCACTTTGAGGAAGGGAAATGAAGAAGGYAGGTATGTCTGGTGCCCCATGCGGGAAGGGGGTGCCTACTTGCAGGGCCGCCTGGCACTCCTCCACCAGGCCCTGGACCAGGTAGTACTTGGCTTCTGCTAGCAGCTCCTCGATCTCCCGGCGGCTCTCAGGCAAGGGGACGGCCCCGTCTCGAAGGTAGTTGAGTATTGTACCAAAGTGCTTCCCACACCGGTCAATGAGGATCCAGCCTGCGGGGGGAGGGGATGGTTATGTGGCACTGTTCCCACGGGAGGTAGGGAGCAGAACTAGGTGTCTCCTGGCTCCCTCCACCTCCTGAGAGCAGAGCAGAGCAGAGCGCTGCAGCCACAGCTGCCTCCTGCAGACAGCACTGACGTGGCCTGTGGGGCCCAACCCCGGATTCCTGCGGTCCTCTGCCCCTGGATCAAATGGGACTAAATGACCATCCACTGACAGGAGGAAGGCTCCTRGGGAGGTGCCAGTCAGACTCTGCAGCGGTAGTCATTACTAGGAGAAGAGAGACCCGTCTCCAGACTGTGACGTGACCTCAGGCTCCCGAGGGTGACCCAGACACTCTCCAGACCACAGGAAATCCTATCTACAACTCCTGAAACAAGCACTTACTGGCCAGGGACAGCAGTGAGACATACATGGCKAACTCAGGAGATGGCCATCAAGCAGCCCGACACTCAGGGGATGGAACCTGCTTTAACTAGAAAGAGAAGCGCCCCACTCCCACCTGCTGACCGGAACCAGGCACAGTGAAAATTCTTGAGGGGCTGGGGCCAGGGAGACCACCCCGCTGTTTCCCAACATTCTCTTTAATTTTGCCACTAGCTGCTGCTTTTCCACTAGAGAGCCTGAGGGGGTTCAAGATCCCCCCCTGCAGTGCCTCGCTCCCGGGTGGGACATCTGGAGGAGCAGCTAGAACTGAGCCTGGGAAGATGGCGATGGAGAAAGACCATCTCGAGAGACAATGAGTATAAAAAGAAGCCAGTTGTGAAGCCTCAGCCGTGCCAACCAGCGGGATGAYGTCAGGCAAGGGGCTTCACCAACTCTGCTGCCCCACCTCACGGGGACAAAATGCCAGCACCGAGTGGCTAGGAGGCCTAAACAGAACCAGGCCTCTGATTCCCCCCTTTCCTTCCCTTCTGCTCCCAGTTTGGGGAAAGGGGATGACACGTGCACTCCTGCCCCCCCCCCCCCAACTTGAGTCCTCCTCAAATCCCTGGGTCCTGGATATTAGAGGCAGAGGGCAGCACAAGTGGAGAGCAGCGAATCTGCCTTTTTCAMATGCCAAGGCACAGCCTGTCCACCTTGCTGTACCCATCCCCACAGCCAGCCCCTGCCTAGCCCCTCTCACCTTAGTGTACTTTCTCGTTTTTTTTTTTTTTTTGTGCAATAATCGGGAGTTTGGTAACAAGACTACTTCCATGTTCCTCTCCTGAAACTTATGACACTACTCAGCTCACTGGCCCTGGGCCTTCTGTGAAAGGGCTGCCYGCCTCCCTCCCAGGTATTCTACCTGGTCTGCCACCCTCCCGAGTGCAGCAGGATGCCAGCTGGAGGGAACACCTTAAGACACAGCCTGGAGCCACCCCGGTGCTGGGAAAGGAAGAGGCCTTTGCTGGCAACGGTCGCTCACCCTGCCCCGACTGTGACTCCACATGTCCCCCCACCCCCTGCTTCTTTCCACATCTGAGGCAACAAAATATGGACTTAATATCCTCCTGATTCAGCTGCCCACAGGGCCCTGCAAGCTGCAGAAATGAGTGCAGCAGCTGGAGTGCGGCCCCGCCCCCACCCAGGGGTGTTCTCACCTCTGGCCAAGGGTGGCCAGCAGGAATGGGGGCCAGGGCTGCCTGCACCCTGCTGTTCCAAGAAAGGCTAGAAACCAGGTTCTTCTGTGAATCTCCTTTGTTTGTAAAGTAACTTACAAAGAAAAAGTCACCAATTGAGCAAGGACCACAGGACAAACACGATGCATGTCCAGGCTGAACTGGGCCCACGGGCTACCAGCTTGTGACCTGTTACCCAGGATCAGATATTTTTTCCAAAAATTTATCGAGGTGTGGAAAGATGGTATTATCTTCCCGACTGATCTTTTGGGGGAGGTTCCCTCCCTGTGTTTCCACAGAGAGAGAGTCCCAGGGGGGTCAGTGACACTCTCAAGTGGGGAGGTCAGAACCAGAACCATCAGGACAAGTCGGGAACTGGCAGAACCTTGGGCTTAAGAGAAACGGCAGCCAGTTCAACTCGGCTGTCAGGAAGAGACTGTCCACATTCCGCCTCTGAAGTGTGGGCAACTCGGCTGCCAGACAAGAGCGAGGGCCCCGAAATCAATTATCCAAGTGACAGCCCAGAGTTTCCATAAATGAAGAGGCAGACCGTGACACTGGGCTCCAGCTCAAGAATGTCGTCAGGAAATGCTTGTGGCGAAGGAATCATACTTTGGACAAATAAGGGCACAGGACTCAGGCGCTCTCTCCATGAGGCTTCAGTCAGCACTCTGACTTGCTTTCAAGCAGGAATCCGGCCCTTAGAAAAGCTCACAGGGCTGTGCTCACAAAATCAGCTCCAGCCAGTGGGGCGTCTGTCCTGGTAAGGAGGTCTCCGGGTCCAGGCCAGAGGGCAGGATGGCTGGGCCCTGGGACATCATGCAGCACTGCACAGTGGCTAGGAGCCCTGGCCTGTGCTGGAACTCAGCTCTGCCACCACCTGCCAGGTGGCATCAGCATTTCACTCAGGCTCTGTCCAGCAGTTCCTCCTCTTTTTGTTTTTTTTTTTTTAATTTTTTTAATATTTATTTATTTATTTATTTTTTAGTTCTCGGCAGACACAACATTTTTGTTGGTATGTGGTGCTGAGGATCGAACCCGGGCCGCACGCATGCCAGGCGAGCGCGCTACCGCTGAGCCACATCTCCAGCCCTTGTTTTTTAATATATATATTTTTTTCATTTCTAGATGGACACAATACCTTTATTTTATTTTGTTTATTTTTCTGTGGTGCCGAGGACTGAACCCGGTGCCTCAAGCACTCTACCACTGAGCCACAACCTTAGCCCAGCATTAGTTTCTTCTAAAAAAGGGTTTCCCAAAGGGTCAGCACAAGGACAGGGCGCCAGATGCACAGAGCGCACACGGCGYGTCTGTTGGCACACTAAAATTTGCTCTAGGTCTTTGACAATGAGACCTTCACACGTCTCGTCATTGTCATTAAAGAACAGGGCAGCGGCAGCATCTGGAGGGGGCAAGTTCCAGAACCCAGGAGGGAGTGTGTGTGGCATCCAGAGTGCCAGGGCAGAAGGCTGCTCTGGGGCCAGGGGTGCTGGGGTCGGCTCCCGGCTCCCACCCCTACAGCTTGCCTCGCACTCCGTTCCCTGGGAGGTCTCGTCCCTGGTTTTCCTTTCTTCCTCTGGGGACAGTTCACAGAGCTCTCCTCGCCATATGGAAACACTTCTACATTTGTGTGGCTCCCAGGCTTGCTCAGTCTTACAAGTTACCTGAGCTGCTGCTTCCAAATTCAGATTCCAGGAACCCGCCTCATTCCTGAACACCGWTCTTGGGGGCAGGGCCTCCAAACTTGGCTCTGCTGACATTTGGGACTAAATAACTGATATGGGGGAGAGGGACTGACCTGGGCTTCTAGCAGCACTCCCACTCCAGGCTGTGACAACCAAAAATATCCCCAGACACTGCCAACGTCCCATGGGTCGACAGAGAAGTCACCTATGTCTGCGCACCACTGAGGTGGTGTAGCTGGGGCTCAGTGATGGAGYCCTTGCCTGGCTTGCCCTAGACCCTGGGTTTGACCCCCAGCACTGGAAGAAACAAAAACGACAAAACAAAAAACAAACAACAACAAAAAATTTGACTGTAAAAAGCAAGGACAATGTTGAGGTCTCAAAAGGCTATTTTAATTAAAAAAGCAATGACAGGTCAAGTCAGGCTGGGAGAGAAGCAACACACAACCACAAAGAAACAGGATCCAGAGTGTGTACTACTGCAAAATAGTATGAAAATGTGTAAATGAGACATGAGCAGCTCAAAGACTAAACTCAAACCACCAACAACTATAAAAAGATACTTGATGCACTAGAAATTAGGAAATGGGAAATACAACAGGTTATCATATCAAAACCACCAGCTTGACCAAGGTTAAATGGTTGCCAGTGCCCAGTGCTGGTGAAAATCCAGCCACTGTGAGGAGGGCAAGCTGACATGCCATCTGAGAGGGCACTGGCGATATCTCATAAAGTTGAAGATGCTGGTCCCAATTTGCCCTCTGGGAATACACTTTGGGGGAGAGCTCCGGGGAGTGGGTGAGCTCTTAACACTGCCACTCCTGAGCCACCTCACCTACCAAGGTGAAGACAGGATCCTCTGCACGCGCCACGATGTGGCAAAGGCTGGGAAACGTGTGCAAGGGAGAATGTTCAGGAGCACTAACATTCTTCATGGTGGACGCTGAAAGCAATGCATACAGCCACTAACAGCATGTGGCTCTGTCGCCTTCCCCAAGTTTCTAGAATGGAAATCCACCACAGGGAAATGATCAAACTCCATGGTTCCAAGTCACAAGCATAATGTTGAATAAGCAAAAGCAAAGAAAGACACACACAGTACACCGTTTATATGATATTTTAAAGCACACCAGCAGGACGTTGTATAGGGACAAACAGCTGTAGTAAAATACCTAGAGAGAGCCACACCTGTGGTCCCCAACCCTGTACAGTAGTGTCCTCTGGAGAGCTCCTCAAGGTCTCAACGCCCCTGCAATACTTGGCTCTCTGGGCCAGGACCCAGGTATCAGTATTGAAGTCCTTGGATGACAAGGTTAAGATCCATCAGTGACCCTTAAGAGGTCACCTCTGGCGGGGAGACAGGTGAACAGACCAGTGGGGACAGGGCCCATCAGAACAGGTGGCACTTTCTACCTGTTGCGTGGTTTCCTAGGGCTCTTCTTCAATCTAGCTCATGCGMTCCCTAATTCCAAGAGCACTAGGCGAGACCCAAACCATGTGGTGGGAGGAGTGCCACACCAAGGYGCAGGGACCTCAGGCGACTGCAGGACAGTGCCAACACGAAATCTAATTCTTACTAGGAAAGGCACCACAAATCCACAGGACCCGGTGAGGCTGACAAGAGCTCAGGTAAAAATCACAGCACTGCGGGGTACAGCCTGCTGTCTGCCACAGTGGCCTCTCAGAAAAGCCACCTCCTGTAAGCAACTAGAGCACACCACTCCTGAAGGCCAAGGTGGGCCATCCCCTCCTACTCTGCTTCTCTTCAGCGGGTTCTTCCCTCTTCTCTCTACACCCCCACCCCAGGGAGGACTAAGGCCATCAATAATGTCAATGTGATACCCGTTGATCATTTTTTTTCAATTTAGCTGGCACTGCATTTTTTTTTCCAGTACTGAGGATTAAAACCAGAGTCCAGTGCATGCTAAGCAGATGCTGTACCACTGAGCTACACCGAAGCCCCCCGTCCCCCTTTTTTGAGACAGGTTCTCATTTAAGTTGTTGAGGCTGGCCTCGAACTGCTCACCCTCCTGCTTCAGCCTCCTGAGTAGCTGGTATTACAGGTGTGGGCCACCATGCCCAGCCTCGAGCGTCTTCTAACATCCCCATTCAATCCCCGTAGCCCTGCAAAGCATCATCCCCAGCATTGCAAAATGAGGAAAGAGGATAAGAGAAAAGGCCACTTGCCCCATGTCACAATTCCAATAAATGGCAAATAGTCAAAATGAGCACAAAATGCCTGACACTTGGAAATAACTCCCTCAATGTCAGCTGTGATTGTTATCATGTGGCAGAGCCAGGACTCAGACGCAGGTCTAACTCCCACCCACGTTCTTCTGTTCAGGAATTACCTGTACATGGTTCACAGCTCCAACAGGCAGATGGCCAGAGAGCAAAGGGGGATGGAGGCTCCCCCACACACCCAGATGGAGCCCAGGTCCTCTCCTGAAACAGCCACTCTCTCAGGCATCCTTCACAGATGTCCGGCTACATGATACCGCACTGCTCTGGACCTTCAAAGCCCCTGTTCTTTCCTAGGCAACAGAGTCTAGCAGTAGAGCTTGCTAATCGAGTGCACTTGACATTGCTGTTTGTGGCAAACTTCTCTACAGCTGACGGCTGCCCCCAGGCCAGGGTGAAGCTGTAAGATGCAGGAAGTGTATTCCCTTGTGCCCAAGAGGGCTTCCCACACGACAAGCAGGCCCCGGGTCAGGTGTGCAGGGTTTTCTCTGGGGCAACAGGATTGCTTTGCCTGATGGGGATGATGGCCGAGGACCAAATACTCCACCTGACAGCTCAGGCCCTCACAGGGCCCCTGAAGGGCTTTAGCACAAAACCAGCCCGTGACCCATAAGGCTGCCACACACTCCAGTGGTCTGACTGGGGACCCAGGCCCGTGTCAAACCACAGGCAGCAGATGTCATGAGAGTGAGTCCTGGGGCGGGCATTTGCCTTTCCGGCCTCATAGCATTTTTTTTTTTTTCAGTTGTAGTGGGACACAACACCTTTATTGCACTTCTTTATTTTTATGTGGTGCTGAGGATCGAACCCGGGTCCCGCCTGTACAAGGTGAGTGCTCCACCACTGAGCCCAGCCCAGCCTGCCCATAGCTTTTGAAAAAAGCATTTTTACTTGCGATGCCAATTCCCCCCTTGGAAAGGCAGCCTCGATTTCCAGATCACTCAAAGGGTCACAATGAGGATAATGAAATAACACCCATAAAATGCCATGCCAAGAGCTTTTTCTTGGTAAGAGGGACTCATTATGACGTATGTGACCRGTGTGTCAGAGATGACACTGCTTCTCCTGAGGTGCTGGGCTTTGCAGGCAGCACTGGGCRAGGCTGTTCCTCGGCAGCGTCTCTAGGAGCAGTCCTGCTGGCACTGTCATGCTCTGTGCAACTGAGGGATGGGGCAGGAGACTCCATCTCATTTGCAACGTGGCCACAGACTGCCCAGGTGAGGGCTTTCTAGAAGAGCTTCCACTTGGCCTTCAAGTGGCTCAGCAGTTCTTCCTAAGCCCCGCCCAGGAGACTGGGCAGGGCCCAAGGAAAACCATAAGAATCTGGGTTCTCAGATCCTCTGCTTCCTCCTGCTGCTTGGGGGTTATTGTCTAGATTTCCCAGGCAATGCAGGGTGTGGCCAGCCAGGGGAGCCGCCCACTCATAAAACACCAAGCTTTTTCCGGTGAGGTACAACAGTGGCCCTGGGGCTCTGATTTACCTGCTGCTTGACGGGAAACCCAAGTTCACGGGGAAGCAGAGCCAGTGCCCCGCCCCACTCCCGTCTGGCCTTCTCCAAGGTGCAGTGGGAAACACCTGACTGGCCAGCTGTCCCCACTAAGGTCAGACAGTGAGACGTGGCATGCCAGGCTTAGGGTCTCGGTCTCACAGGTCCAAACTCTCCCACTCTCCCAAGCCACATCCCTGAAAGTGGGGAGTGGGGAAAACTGGCACAGAAGGCCGGTCTCAGAAACATAAGCTATGCTGTGGCCTGGCCTAGTCTAGTCTAAAGCATTCTCAAGTCAAGGAATGAAGGATGAGGGTGTTTTGAAACTTCATATAACCTACCAACCAGGTAAGGACATACGCCTGCTAGGTGCTTAGTTTCATTCAGGTGGAACACTTTTAAAATTTTATTTTTTATTAACAGGACTTCCCATAAAAAAAGCAGCACATACACTGAACATCATGTTCCAGATCCTTCCTGTGGGCCAACAGCCCCCACACTGAGGGCTGGGCATTGATAAGGAAAAAGGCATCAGAAGGCTCAGCCGCTTGGTGAGGATCGCTGAATACCAATGGAGGGGCCAGGGCTGCAATCCAGGCCTGTGAGTTTTTGTCAGGACAAATGCTTTTGTCCTAGGAGGATGGGGGTCCAGAGAAAGTACTTATGCCTCTTCCAGGAATGACTGTCACTCTGAAGTCATAGGACAGGAAGAGAACCATGGAGGACAGCTAGGCTAACCTCCACTTTGCAAACAATCGAGCCAAAGCCTGGCCCGAGGAGAGGTTTTCTCAAAGGCACACAGCAAAGCAACAACCAGGTGGAGACTCTAAGAGTCCCTGCCCAGGTGACTCCTATTCATCAGGTCTCAGCTCCAATGTCACTTCCTAGGGAAGTCTMACCTTGACCACTCCCCACAAACTAGATGGGTTTCCCTGGGACTCTCAGGGCTCCCTGCACACTCTGAGAACGCTAAACACAGCTGCAAGTCTATTTGTGTGTGCAACTGCCCATTTACTATTGGTCTTCTGAAGCAGACAGAGGTCCCCAACCACATACACGCACGCACAATCAGAAGCGGCCAGCCGGCTGGTGGCTTACCTTCACTGTCSGTGAGCACCTCCATGCGCCCACTGAACATGGCTTTCAGCATGGTGTCCTGCTTGGTCAGGGTCTGCATGGTGGTGTAGTAGAGGGCTCCCCCGACATTCAGCTTCACGTACTTGGAGCTGGGACTTGTGCCCTTGAAGGAAGTGGTGCGGGTAGCAGCCGCTGGCACCGCTGAGCTCACCACACTTTCTCCTGACATCTCTTCCTGCCAGTGGAGAAGACACAGGTCACCCCATCACCCCTTTCAGCCCAGGGGCTAAATCTGGACTCCAGGTGGGTTCTGCATGGTGCTCCCAATGTTAGCAACTCAGAGCTCACCGCAAAAATCTGAATTTCTGACTTCTCTTAAAGTCAGAGGCCAACTGGGTCAGGAGGGCAACCACTGGTGGGAACTGGGGCACTGGCTGTCCCATGGAGAGGGGCACGCACCTCCTGGTCTGCACTAACCTGCACACAGAGAGTCTCACGCACTGGCCTTGGCTGCTGACTCCACAGGCTTGGGTCTGTCCTGACCCTGTGTTACAGGGACTGCCTAATACCCCTACAAATAAATGCCCTCACTGTATCCCAAACTGGCCCCCAACACTGCCTGGGTCTCTCTACCTGTCCTACTGCCACACACCAACAAGCAATTACAGATGAAGGAAGCTCACAAGAAGTTGAGTGGGATCCCAACTCCCAGCCTAACACTTCTGGGGTAGAGGGAGTGTTTCCGAGCACTAAACCACAGAAACTCTTGGAAGCAGGTTTCTACGGAATGAGAGGCTTCCTGGACTAGTGCTGTCCTCAAAAGAAGAACTTGTGAGTCTTCTCGACAGCACTGCCAGCTCCTGTGCACACTCAGCCAAAGAAATGGACAGACAAATGTCTGAGCTAAGCAGGCCTGGGAAGAGAGACTGCAGCCCGGATGCAGGGACTCCAAGAAAACATTTTTTTTTTTTTTAAGAGAGAGTGAGAGAGAGGAGAGAGAGAGAGAGAGGGAGGACAGAGAGAATTTTTAATATTTATTTATTAGTTCTCGGCGGACACAACATCTTTGTTGGTATGTGGTGCTGAGGATCGAACCCGGGCCGCACGCATGCCAGGCGAGCGCGCTACCGCTTGAGCCACATCCCCAGCCCCCAAGAAAACATTTTTTGAACGAATAGATAGAGCTGGGTATGATGCCCAATCTGGGGCCCAGCACTGAGAAAGAGAAAGCRGCCCTGACCTCCAGACGCTGGCCTGGCCCTCACAGGGAGGCTTCAGTGTTCCCACGGCACATGACCAGGTTTACAGCACTTCACTGTGAGGAGACCATTCTGTGAGTATGTTGCCGCAAGACAAGAACAAAACCATTCCACACTCATGTTTGGAGACAACAACATGAACATCATCCACATCAAAMGACCAAACATCCCCCATCCAGCCTAATGCAGGTAACTACTGCTTCCTTACCAAGGGCAGACCTGGCCCAGTTCTGTTCTCCCACCTCCAGGACAGGAGTCTCTGAGACCTAATCACAGAATTAGCCACTTGCAACACAGAGCAGGGCAGAGTCCCACTTGCTCTTTCTGAGATGCCTTAGCTCTTCCTCAGTGCCACAAACACGCAAACCCAAACACAGCTGTGTGTGACCTCAGGTATGCTCCTGGTGAGTTCTGACTGGAGGGCACTGAGGCCACAGAACTTTTTTGAACTAAACTGAAAAAATGATCATTTTTATGTTCTTTATGCCTTCTATTTTTTCCAGGGAGATTCCACAGTAACGTGTTTTTTACGTTTACACTTAGAACAGAAATGCTGGGTTTTTTGTTTGTTTTTATAAATGGGATAGGGAATGAAACAATGCCGACCTATAATAGCAGAGGCCATGACTGAGCTATAGCCACAGGCAACATGCCAACCAAGGTTGCCCAACTCTTCTGACCAACCCTCCCCAACTCCAGCCGCACAAGAGGGGCCGGGGAACTTGCGTGAGGTTCCTGCAGAGCAAAACAAAACAGCCTCCTGCAAGTAAGTGTTTTCTTAAACTGTTCATGCTCCTTCAAGTGAAAACATACAAGAAGGGAAGTCTTCAAAGGTCAGGATGAGCTCACCTGGGGTCTCTGTGGCCWGTGCCAGACATAAAAAGAGGCAACAAGGAAGCAATGACCTCTCCCTTCTAGCTTCCCTTTGAAATCAGTCCCCAGAGACTCTACACTAACAGTGATGGCCACCATATCCTCCAGAAAATCTCTGTCCATATGATGACAGAAGTAGCTTATAGGAATAACGAGTTTCCCCAAATTTTGAAGACTTGGAGAGAAAGAGGCTTATGTGGCTTTGAGGAGTCTTTTTTTTTGGGGGGGGGGGTAAGGGAAATTTGCCCCAAAATGGAAATACTTTTCTAGTATCCCCAAATATGTTTATGGAAAATGGACTAACATCTTACAAGGCAGCTACTATGAAGAAAAAAGTCAAAGTATACTTCGTACACTTTTCCTGGATGTCCAGTACCTTCATAARGGTAATCTGTGTATAATGAAGTGTATTTTAAGCGTACAGCTGGTTGACGTGTAATCAATTTGTATGTCTGTGCTGTCCTGGTCCAGTCAAAACAGAATACTCCAGGGCTCTAGAAGGACCCTCCAAGCCCCCTCAGCAATTCATTTCTATCACCTCGTGACTTTTTGAAATGTTAGTAGACAGCTGTGATTTTTTTTTTTTCCATTTTGTGGATTCAGATACCACTGTCCAGAGATAGTTGGTCTCTTCTCAAAGCCAGAAGGTGCATCAGTGATGAACAAGGGAAGGACATGGGCAAATCCTGGCTGGCCTGGGGCCCATCACCTGTGATATACTTAGAGCTAAGGCCCACCCCTTCCTTAAATGTATAATATAGATCTATGAAAAAAGGTGGAAGGCAATGTGTGGTTACAGGTTAGGAGCCAGACCTGAGTTTCAGTGCCCAGCCCAGCCACGTGGTGGTGATGGGAACACAAGCAGATGCATGAATCCAGTTCTACCTATCAAACAGGGGCACCAGTCTCGCCTCCCTGCCACAGGAAAGACACAAAGCTCTCAGCACAACCCGGCTCAGAGTCATCACACAAACAGGAAACACTTAAATTGTGATTATTTGGGAATGCTCACAAAGGCTCAAATTATCTTCTCTCCAGAGACCCTTTCTAGCTTTAATGACAGACTGAATTACTATAAGATAAAGGCAGAAGCCACCCTGATGGAGCCGGAGACTCTAGATTAATCAAGGAGAGCTCTCATCAGTCAGCCCAATACCAGGAGAGGTCTTGGAGAGAGGGCCTGAGCTTTGTTCATGTCCCTGAGCTCGAGTTTCAGTGAACTGGGGACACAAGCAGTGGACAATAAACCTCTCACAGCAACCCTCTCTACTGCCAGGTCTCCCCTTGCATCTCTACAGGGACCCTGCTGTTTTGCTCCTTTCAAAACTTTTGATTTCATTATTAATGAGGTTGGGGACGTGRAACGGGAGAAAACAAAACTGGTTACAAGGCAGAGAGGTAATTAATACTTGAGATATTGGTTTGGGACTCTATTCAATCAGAAGTTTATTCCAGTTAGATGGGTAAGTCTAGGCTTCTCTCCTTCCCATCTGCCCTGAATATACTGTTGCAGATTCTAAACAGTGGCTCTCTATCTAGTCACACATTAGAATCACCAAGGGAGTTTACAAATACTGATGTCTGGGTCCAACCTATGGTAATTAAAAAAATCCCCAAATGATTCTAAGGTGCAGCCAAGAATTGCAAGCCACTATTTTAAGATGTTCTAGACCCTTAATTAGGCTATAATTAAGTCTTAGAAAAGCTCTCCAACTTCTGGCTCTATTGGCCCCGTGAATTTCTGACCCTCACTTAAAAACAAACCAAAGCACCCTAAATAAAAGCAAGGCCCCCTTCCCACTTCAGAGCTACAAGCAAGAAGTAACTGTATGCATGCTTGAAAAAAATAAAAATCAGCTAAGGGGAAGAAAATCATTGTCTTGAACGGAGACCCAAGCAAGTACAGTATGAAAAAAAAAAAGTACCAAATTCCTGTATTACTATCTCATTCGTGTGTATAGGGAAACAAACCTGGATGGCAATCCCAGTCCACTGCCTGCATGATGTTCAGATGAGCCATTTAACCMAAGTTTCTGTTTCCTAACTTGTAAAATGGAGTGTTAAAGTCATAATCTTCAAAAATCCCCACAGGGAATGAAAGTAAAGCACTTGGCACCTAGTCCTTAGTTTCCCTCCTACCCTTCAAGCTTTAAGACGAGTTGTTCCTAACCCTGGCTAATAGAACCCATCTCCTGGGTGTACTTAATAAACAMTGGTATCTGCCTGGGATAATCAGAATCTTTGAGAAGGGTAGAGGTGGCAGCTCTGTAACTAGAGTGTAAAAATTTCTTCAGGTGATTCAGATCTCAAACGATATCAAAAGTTCTTCAGGAGCTACCAGAGCTCAACCATTAAGTAAAGTGTTTAATCAGCTTGATCTAAGAATCAAGGGGGTTGTGAAGAAAAAATATGTGTGGGGATCCTTACAGCAGGGAAATTTAAGAAACTTCATTTAGATTAGGCCTGATACTTCTCTAAACYGAGGGCATTACTACAACTCAAGAAAGTCTGCTGTACCATTTCAACCAAACTAAGTTGAATCAATCACATAACTGTGGCGTTATTTTGCATCCAAAACTTGCTTATAAGACAGTTACTGCCAATTCCAAGTGTCCCGTGGAATGTGTTCCCATTTAGCACACAAACATGAACCATCTTTAGTTTAATGAGAGACTGTTTTCTCAACAGTCTAGTGAGGAAGATTTTACCATCAATGCCACGTTTTAGGGGAGAAAACTATTATAATCAAAACCATAAGCCCTCTGACTCCAACTCACACACCCTTTTCATTTCAGAGCTCAAATCAGGAAATCATTACTCTAAATCCCTATAGTGTTTAAGAGAACAGATCAATGGGCCTTGGCCCTGGACCATCTTGATAGGGCTCGAAAATTTGGTCATTTTTAACAAGTTCCCAGGGAGTGATGCTGTTGTTGGTCTGGGGACCAGTTTAAGAACCACTGGCTCAGATGGCCCTTATTTTGCACAAAATAGAGCACATCGAAAAGGAACACAGATTGACTCATTTTTCTTCAGGGAGTGATATTCCCTAAAGATGGCAATGTTCTAGGGAAGTGACAAACAAGGAAAAAGAGGATCTGAGCTGATCTTTGGTCACCCCCACCCAAGGACAAGGAACAGACCCTGGAGGATCCCAAGTAAAAACAGAAACCTTCTCACAGGTGAGACAGCAATGTGAGACACACTCGGCTCCTGAGGTGTGGCCAYCTAGGGCCTCAAAGGAAATGACTGGATAGGTGCCCAAGTGCCAGTTCAGGCTCCACTGCATGGTGAAGGTACCCTGACCTCAGACCCTGGCATCCCTGCCTGGAATTCCAAGCAATGACCTGTACACCCGCCTGCCGGCTCCCTGTTGCCTGTGCCCTTAGACCAACCTGGGAGCCCCTTCTCCACTTCCTCCAAACCCAGCGACTCTAGCTACCACTTCAAAGACCCCCAAACGCTCTACTCCAAGGACTCCCACTTCACCCTCTCCGAACCCCACCACTGACCTTCGCAATGCCCCAAGTTCTCATTTTCCACCTCAAATGTGTTTACAATGACACCTCTTTGTTCCCATAGTACTCTATTCCCGTGTTCAAACAGCACCCAGACACCAGCACCCCAGACGCCACCTTCCACTCAGCCACATACGCATCTACTCCCCAAGCCCAAGCAGCCTGTCCCGGATCCGCGACAGCCAGAGACCCCCCCCCCCCGCCCCTGCCAACTCGCCACCAAGGCCCTTCCCCCATCCGGCCTCGCCCCCATCCCACCCCCCACGGCCGCTTCTCCTCTCACGGCCACAGCACCCGCTCCCCGCGATCCCTTCCCCCTCGGCCGTTGTCCGGCTCCCTTGGCCGTCCAGAGACCCTACAGGATGGGCACCGCCCTCCTTACCATGAAAAGTCGGAGGACGACGGAGTCTCCAAATCCGGACTGAGAGAGGCAGGAAACACCCAGCTTACATGAGCCGGGGGCGGAGGCGGGGCTGGGCGGGAACTTCCGCTGTCGACACCCCACTTCCGCCCCGCAGAGGGCACCTACCTAAAGCGTCCGTCGGGGCCCCAGACGTCGACCACGTTCTTTGCCATCTCCTCAAACAGAATAGCTTCCATCTTCTCTCCTCTGGGACAGGCATTTATCCAACTCCTGAATGTGCAGCTTTTTCAGCTGCCAGAAGAGAGGACAAGACAAAAAAAAAAAACACCTAAACTGGAGTTTTTTTYCCCCCCGGGCAAATAAGCTCGGGGGAACTGTTGTTTCCAGGAACCGGATACTGGCTTCCAGGCGGAGTTCGGAGAGCGAACACCCCGGGGCAAGATGGCGGTCGGGGTTCGGCCGCTGCCCCGGGTCTGGCAGAATTTTGGGGTGTTGGGTTGAGGCGGCGGCAGCTGTGGCCCGGACTCAGAGCGCTGGGGCCTCGAGCGGATAAAGGTCTACGACCTGCGGGTAGCGAGTAGAAACAGGGTCATCGGTTCTCTGGGCGGTGGGGCCGGGGACTTTGAGGGAGGTGTTCTGGGGCCGAGTCCATGCTTGGACAGGTCGGAGGGGCGGGTTCTGCAGCTGCTCTGGGGGCTCCAGGGTGTTCCCCCCGTCCCTGTGGCTCTTTCCACTTGTTATCGAGGCGATAGGCGTTTATAAAGATAGTAATTATTGGCGAAAAGTGTGATTGTTGGTATTAAGGGAACGTGCTGGGCCTCAGGGGTCGGTCACCTAAACTGGAATTCGAACCCGATTCGCTTGTGGTGTGACTTTGTATGAGTCCACTCACCTCTGTGATCCTCATTTTCCTTCTCTGTAAAACGTAGTAATTGTTTCACAAGAGTGTTTTATATTACCTTTTAGTATCCTGCTTGACACTCAGCTCTGAATAAAGAGAAACCTGGTTATAATTGGACTCTAGTTTAGCCCCATGGGCAGCTCCCATTCTCAACCTCTCTTTACTTTGTTTTTGTGTAAATGGGGAGGCCTGGATCTTGTCTACTTACCAATAACTATTGCTTTGGGGTTCAAATAAAGGATCCCAGAGGCTCTGGCAGGTCATGTCCCCTCTGTACATTTTCTCCCCCCCACACACACACACACAGGAAGGTTGGATTGATAATAGCATCCCACCTAGGCTATTAGTTTAGGCAATAGGCTGTAGCTTTCAGTAAATAATACCCAGTATTATTAATATTTTCTCCAAGTTTTGTTGAGTATTCTTGGATTTCAGAAATTATACTATTGAGGCAGGCATGGTAGCGCCTGCCAGTAATCCCAGCAACTGAGGAGTCTGACCCAGAAAGATGGCAAGTTTGAGGCCAATCTAAGCAACTTAGTGAGACCCTAACTCAAAATTAAAAAGACCAGGGAATGTAGTTAAGTAGTAAAGTGCCCCTGAATTCAATCCCCAGTTTTAAAAAGAAAAAAAAATAAGATTATGGAGACCAATAAGAAGCAGCTGTTGAAGATACAGGGTTGATAAATATCTGTATATTTAGTATAGTGGCTTCCCTTAACAAATGGTCATTAAACTTGGCAGCCCAGCTATTTCCACCATTCAGGAAAAAAATCACTCAGCAGTTGGCACTTATAGTACTTCAACTTGGGAATGATACTTTCTGGACTGTCATGTGCTTTTGTGGTTCTCCATGAAGTTGACCTCATCCAGGAAACACTAATTTTGAGCAAGTCTCGTGGAAATATAGAGGTAGTGCAGAATCAGAACCCTATTGGTATTAAAACCGTGATACTGCCATTTACTAGTGATCTAAGCTGGACTTTCCTGTAATTGTTGTCTTTTAGATGAGATACTTAGAAAGGACTGGTACATGGGCTGGGGTTATGGCTCAGCAGTAAAGCGTTTGCCTAGCGCATGTGAGGCCCTGGGTTTGATCCTCAGCACCACATAAAAATAAATAAATAAATAAATAAAGGTACTATGTCCAACTACAACAAAAAAAAWAAATTTAAAAAAAGAAGAAAGGACTTGATACATAGAGGGCACTTAACTTTGCTTTTTGAATGATCTTGGTTATCTATAACTTCCTTTTTTCTTATATTTTTCCCCTCTGTTATTTTTGTTTCCTTAACTGGATTATAAGATTCATGACAATACAGTAAAACTCATACGTGTTTTGAGATACCTCTTGAAAATATTTTCTTATTTATTCTAATCATGTTGCATACATCTTTTTAAATTATTATCTGTACCATTTGTCAAAATAAGTACCTAATACTTGATTGTTTTCTTTGACTAATGAGCTATAGTACACACCATGCAAATGGAAGAGGAATACAGGAAAGAGTGAGGAAAACTGTAATAGACTGTTACACAGCGTAAACAGAAACAAACTAGTGACATTGCTGAGAGGATAATCTCAAGGAAGGGATTTAATCTTGGGAGACCTCCCCCCAGAGAAGTGAAAGTTCTGAGAAAGTCTGATAGATACTTAAGCACAATTTGCATGCAAATTTTTGTTTGTCCACTGTGAAGAGACGCCCTCTCCTGATCCCTGTGTCTCCCCTGTTAATAAAGAACATGGGGAGAACACACCATTGTGCTCATGGCTTTGACCTGCTTTCTTTTTCCTATCAAGGATGAACCCAGGGTTGTTTAACTGCTGAGTCACATCCCCAACCTTTTTTTTTTTTTTTTAAGACAAGGTCTCACTAAGTTGCTTAGGGCCTCATTAAATTACTGAGGCTGGCCTTGAACTTGAAATCCTCCTGCCTCCACTTCCCAAACTGCTGTGATAACAGGTGAGCACCACACCCAGTCTAAGCAATTTTTTCACTTCTATGGCATAAAAATTTATGTATTGTTCAGAAATGTCAACGTTCAATAGCTTTTGGGGAGGCAGGACTGAATCTAGGGTACTTTGCCACGGAGCTACATCCCCAGTCCTTTTACATTTTTTATTTTGAAACAGTGTCTTGCTAAGTCACTAAGGCTGGCCTGGAACCTATGCTTCTCCTGCCTCAGTTTACCAAGTCACAGGCATCATAGGCATGCGCTAACATGCCCAGCTTCAGTGATTTGTTAACATTCCATCACCTCTCTCTGTTATTTTTGCTTAACATCACAGARCATGGAAAACTTTGATTCAACAACTTCTTTGAGATTGTTTTCAATCTATTTCCTACAAATTGTGAGGACTGGGGAAAGAGTCTTAACATTTGGATGAGACAGAAGTATTTCTTTTTTAAACCAGTGGGCACTGTATTATACTCAGTGAGGAAGATATATGATGCCACACCTATGAAATTTGACTCTAACCCTGGATTTTGTTGTTGTTGTTTATCTTAGCAAGCTCCTCTGAAGCATCCTCGCCTGTGTGTCCTTCGGGAGATCACTAATGGTTACCTAGCATTTCTGCTACACAGGCGGGTCCTCAGGTGAGCTCTCCAGATTGGTGGGAAGAGAGAGTGATGCAGAAGACAGCAGGTGCTGTTGATTGTTTAGCAGAGTGGTTGGGCAGGCTTTGTTCATTGTTTCAGGAGTTGCTGGTGATAGACCCACATGCTAGCAGAGCCCTGAAGTTGTTTGACAAGTGTGAATCAGTGTTGAAAGGGGGCTTCAGAAGTCCCTGGATATGTTCTCGTGACAGGGACTTAGCCTGAACTTTTTAATTCTGGATGATATTTCTTCATGGGTACTGCTTTGAGCGAAACTGGTAAAGAGATGGTTTTCCAAAAGTCTGGGTTTCTGAGTCATTCGTTTCTTATTAGTTTATGCATTTCTTATCTTTGTTTATTGTAGAATGACAAGAGTTGTCAAGCTGTAAAGATGCCACCTCAGTATGGGAGGCTCCATGGGTCCCTGCTGTGTGCTTTTGACTGCTAGCCAAAGCCACCCATTGGGGGATGGACAGTCATGGTCAGATGATAGTTATCATATAAACTTTAAAGCCTCTGTCCAGGAAAGCACCTGTCAGTGGACAGGAGAAATTCTGCTCAAAGTCTTCATTGGTTCTTGGCAGTATGAGAACAGTAAGGACCACAGAATAARTGACACATGATGTCAGATGTGTTCAATTTAGTGGACTATCATGCATTCTGAAGTCATGTACAGTCCCTTTCACTTTTTTAATGTTAAAATGTCCCTTTCTTTAAAAATGAAACTTCTTTGTGCTGGGACCACATAGGCACCAGGAATCATTTGTTTAGTGAATAGGTAACTAAAATAACAGTGACTATAATCATATTTGATTTTTCCCTTAAGTCTTGGCAAAATAGGAGTTTACTGCTTGTTGTTGGCTTCCCAAACATGATGGATTGCTCTAGAAAATTCAAATATCTGGAAATATTCAACTTAAAGGCTCCCTGGTGTGAATTGGACCTTTATGGATGGGATTGTTTACTTGTTAAACTTATACAGAGCCTGCCTGTACTGCATGCCAGGCACTGAGCTCTTTCTCTGAAGAAAATTAATACAGGATATAACACCCCTGGTGTTGGTGAGTTGTATGAAATGAAATGATATGAAGTTGAAACTTGTGCCAGGAGAGGTATGAACCCCTTGGAAGGTGTTAGAGGATCCCAAGTATCTCTCTCCTGCTGCCCAGGTCCTTGCCCACCCTTTGCACTTGAGCCCTTTCTGTTCGAGCCCTTTCTTGTGTGTGTGTCTTTCACACAGTCTACCACAGCTTCTTGCTATTTCCTTGCAGGGTTTGTGCAAGTTTGCAAACATGTTCACTGTCTCTCAGACCTCGAGAGCGTGGTTCATTGATAGAGCCCGTCAGGCACGAGAAGAAAGGCTGGTGCAGAAAGAGCGAGAGCGAGCCGCTGTGGAGATTCAGGCCCACGTCCGGAGTTTCCTCTGTCGGAATMGACTGCACAAAGACATCAGGTGGGGTTCAGAAACTCCCCCGCATATTTCTCTCACTCCCAACCAACAGGAAATAGATAAGTTTTCTCTTATGGGTTTTGAGGAGCCTTCCAGATGCTGTGAATTTTAAAATGCCTTTTTTTTTTTTTTTTAAATCCTTCCCTCCGTAGGAGAGAGATTGATGAGTTTTTTAAAGCAGATGACTCTGGGTCCAGTAAAAGAAGCGCACTTGGTATTTTCAAGATTGCCAGGAAACTGCTGTTCTTGTTCAAAATGAGAGAGGATAATGAGGTAAATATTAATAACAAACATACATAGTGCTCCCCACATGCCAGGACTTTTTGTAAGTATTTTATAAACGTCAACTCATTCTTACAGCAGCTCTGTGAGGTGCTTATTTTTGCCCACTTTGTTTTCTTGGGACCTATTTTGTAGGGATTATGAACAGTGCTTCTGGGACCTTTTTTGCATTGGCTGTCCCAAGCACAGGTTGGATCAAATGCATACAGGAGCCAGGATATGAGTGATGGCTGCTCTACGTGGGACAAAACATAGTCTGAAATACAAATCATAATAAGCAGTGACTGACAGGCTGCTCTAGCTAGGACATCCAAGAGAGCATTGCTACCAGGCGCCCACTAGTGGTTGACCCATACTCTGATTTTTTTTTTTTTTAAGAGATGCTGGAGATATGGGTCATTATGCTTAATGCTAAATTTGTAAAACTTGGTAGCTAATTTTAAATTTTTTAAATATCCCACAAACCAAACAAAACACACTACTTGGTGCCTTGGGATTGGAATGATCAGCTGGAAAATATAATCCCAGTAAAGCAGTAGTGACAGTGGAGACAGTACTAAGGATACCACTGGGGCCCTAGAAGGAAACAATACAGTCAGAGTGTCTACTCTTGAGGTGCTCTCAGCCCAGCAGGAGAGAGGGTGCATAGGCAGCGAACCCCTGTCTCATGGATGAGGACAGACAAGCCTGTGGAGAGGGGGTCCCCATCTTACAGAGGAGGAACCCTGAGGTCATGCCGTTCTTAAGGACGGGTCTGGTGTAAGCTGTTTTCTGGTTTCCACTTTTCTCCCTTTTGCATATCAGGGATGGTACAACAAAGCAGACGTCCGTGTCCACGGTGCTCCCCTAACGGCCAATTGGCAGGCCCAAATTAGGAGGAAGCCGCTAGTCTGCATGACTCCAAGCCCAGTTTTCCAGATGGAATTTGGTTTTCAAAAGAAGCTTCATTCTGGATTTTTATGTCAAAGACACAAACCTTTAAGCACATCTGTAGAGCTCAGCCATCCTCTGGGCCACTCATTAAGAGCCTGTCTTTTGCCTTTCTGGTCCTCAGTTTCCACATCTGTAAGAAGCTGCACAAGCCAGGTGCCCACCAAATGTGTGCTCCCCTCTGTTCCTCACTTTTTGTAGTTGTGGGACTTTATAAGCTCATTTCTGCCTCTGCAGAGACTCGAGAAGTTGTGCCGTTGTATCCTGAGCAGCATGGATCTTGAGAATGAACCTAAGGTATGTGGGTTGGGGGCTAGAAAATCTCCTTAAACTCCTGGGGGCTAGCTCATTTGGCTCTGAAAATTCCTGTTGAATGTTTGGGCTTTTGTTTGCACATGCAAATAAGAAATAGATCGGAAAACACTGATAAAGTGCAAATGATTCCTTTGTCCTTGTTATCCAAGAAGCTATTTTCTGCTCTTGCATCTTACTCAGGATAGTGAATTCCCTTCCTAAGCTATTTTATCTTTGAGTTTGGTATAAAAATAMGTCCTACATGCTGCTTATTTTTCCGTTCTTCTCCATTGTCCTATCTGGCACTAGACCTAGCTCATAGACCCAGTTCTAGTTGTTACGCCATATGTAGAATGACTGCTGTAACTGCCCGTGACATCCTTTTTTTTTTCCCCTGCTTGTAGGTGTGGTATGTATCCCTCGCTCTTTCCAAGGATCTCACTCTCCTATGGATTAAACAAATCAAGGACATTCTGTGGTATTGCTGTGAGTTTCTTGAGCAGCTCAAGGTAAAACACAGACACACAAACTAAAACTCAATCTGTCATTCTTCCCTGCAGCCTTTAGTGTGTACTTTCTAGCTCCCATCATTTCCTCATTGGTTATAGCTTTGAAGATCTATCAGAGTCTAGCAAAGAAGTTTTAGTTGAGCCATTGTCCTGGGAGAGCCATGTAATCATTTTGAGCCCTTCTTGGGTATGATATGTTGGACACTGACTCATTAATTGCCTCAGTCTTGATGCCGGGGAATCCTATCATCTTTCCCATCCTTTTGATACTGTGACTATTTTGTGGTCTGTCATTGTACTAGTTGGGCCTCCTGTTAAAAGTAATAGAAGCCCAACATGAGTGCAGCGGGCAATCCAATAGGCTAAGCAAGGAAAAGGATGTTTGGTTGTAGTCTATTGTAAAATAGCAGCAAGCCACCTGCATCTTGTCAGGTGAGGCATTAGGATGTGGAGCAGAGGTCTTCAGCCTCTGGTGCTTGGGGTCCTGGGTTTCCACTGAAGTGCCTCAGGGCTAAGCAGATGGACTATCCCCTGCCTCCACTGGAGCAGGCAGACCTTCCTACTGCTGTCTGTGTCTGTGTCCCACAGCAGCTTTCTCTTTGAAATGAAACCCTTCTACTTTGAAAACATAACTTTATGTGCAAAAGCAGATGCTGGGAGAAAAGCCACTGGATCTGGAGCCAGAAGTTCTGTGATTTAGTCCTAACTCGGCTGCTGAATTCCCATGTGACCCTGAACACGCCCTGCCCTGCCCAGTGAACTATCATTGTAACAACAACAGTACATAGAATTATCTGTGTGCCAGGCACTGTTCTTGGAGTGTTGTGTGCATTAATACATTTATCCTCATAACAACTCTCTGAGGAAAATAAATATTATTATCTCTAGTCATAGATAAGGAAACCAAGACAGAGAGGTTAAGGAATGCCCGGAGTCCCACAGCCAGTGAGCCATGGACCAGGGCAGAGCCTGTTAGGCCTGGTTCGGTGTCTGCTGTTTGCTGAGTGTTCAAACACACAGGCAGAGATGCCCTTAGGACAAGCCATGCCTTGTCGCCTTGTTGCCCAAAGGCAACTCTGGGTTCCCAGGAGTATTTGATACTGTGGTCAAGCAGTAGTGTGCTGAAGACTACGGTGGTCCCGCTCCAAGAGAAAAGAACAGCCGTGAAATTCTGACTCCTTCCTGTCTGAGGGCACCTAGGGAAGCTGTGACATGGATGCTCCGCCGTTCGGGGCTGGAGGCCCCGTGTCAGTCTTGCCCCTTTTGTTGTTTCCAGCCTGAAATCTTACAAGACTCCAGACTCATCACACTGTACCTCACGATGCTTGTCACCTTCACGGACACTTCAACATGGAAAATCCTCCGGGGAAAAGGTCTGTAGAACTTATTTTCAAATTTTTCCCAGTTGTCATTTCCATAGTGAGTGCAGAGCACCTTTTCTCCTTCATAAGAAGCATTTTTGCCACCACAAGCCCCAAAAGACCTTGGTAGGAATGCCCCTGACAGTGTGTTAGTAGTGTGTGTCACACTCTTCTCCTGTCTGAATTTATTTTTAGAGACATTGTACCTCTGATCTCATTTTTTGTAACTTCCCCAGTGCTTCAGCCTGCAAAGGATGGTAGTCACATGAACCTTATCATTTCATTTTGGAAAATCGTTAGCAAATAATTGTGTTTTGCCCATGAAACCTGCTTTGTAAAGCTGCCTCCTTATCTGGAAACTGCTCCCTAAGTGCTTCATATATTCATGTCATCTGTCCACTCAGCAAGTAACCTGCTATGTGCCAGACAACATGCTAGGCATTGGCCATGTAGTGATAAGCAAAACAGAAACGATCACTGCCCTCTGGGGACTTCAGGTGCTCGTGCTGAGTGTGGTGATGAAACATAATGAATAGAAGTCACTCGTGTACAGTTTACTCTCCGTATCTCATATTCCATATTGTGGACTCACCCAAACTTGGGTCAGAAATACTTGAAAAAATTCCATCTGTACTGAGCACATACAGACTTCTTTTCTTGTCATTATTCCTTAGTAATGCATTGTAACAACTATTTACGTAGGACTGACATTGTATTAGGTCTTGTAAGTAATCTACAGGTGATTTAAAGTATACAGGAGCAAGTGTGTAGGTTATATGTGAGTGCTGTGCCATTTTATGTAAGGGATTTGGGCACCCACAAATTTTCATGTCGAAGGGGGGTTTTGGAACCAATCCCCCATAAATACCAGGAAATAACCGTATGTAAAATGACAATAAATATGGTAGTACTCAGAAGAGTCCAGAGGGGATGAAAGTGTTCAGAGGGATTGGGAAGGGTTCCACCTGGGACCCTGGGGCTCAGATTCTCCTAAGGGAGTGATGTCTGAGCTTAGAGCTGGGGAGAGGTGGAGTTCGGTGGAGAGGGGTAGAAACTAGAAACAGAAGACTGCAAAAACCCCAGGTAAGCAAGGAGAACCTATTTTAGGAACATTCTGGACTCTGGGAGGAGTCTAAAAATTGTTGAGTTCTGAACTTGGCCAGGAAGCTTGTGTCCYAGTGGGCACAGGAGGCACCCAGGGAAAGCATAAAGTGCCACGCCATGGGACACGGTTGGAGAAGGTGTGACAGGAGCTCAGCAATGTGCCTTCTCACTAAGGGAAGGGAAGGACCAGCTCCCAAGAGGTAGAACTTGAGTCATGCCTTCCAGGAGAGAGAGAGTTCCAGATAGTGCCTTCCTGTGCTCTGGTTCAGACCCAAGGGAATGGGACAGCAAGCCAGAGATTACTGTGTTTCCTCATGGCCTTCGGACTAGGGCATACATTTTCTGTCCCACATAAACAGGTCACAATATGCAAGAAACTTTTTAATTTTTTCTTCATTTAGGTGAGAACCTTCGACCAGCCATGAACCATATCTGTGCAAATATAATGGGACATCTCAACCAGCATGGGTTTTACTCTGTGCTGCAGGTGTGTGGCCCCCTCCCTAATATGTGAGCTCCCACCCTCCAATCCTGACCTGGGATTTTTACATTGGTTTCTGCACGTCTTACACCCTCCTCACAGAAATACTTTTTGCAGGAAGAGCTAATGCCCAGTGTCCTCTGTATCTTCCACCTACTGTGGGTCACCTGTGGTTTAAGTTTAGGGAGGACAGTGACCTAGGATCTTTTTAATGCTCCATATTTTTGGCTGCAGAGAAAATCAATTCTCTTGAAATCTAAACTCAAGAAGGCCTCAGGGCTTCTTCCGTCAGGTTCCTGCTTTGTTGGTATCTGGAATTATATTTCTAGCTCTGTGTCCTCAAATGGCCTTCTGTCCACTCTGCACCTTATTGTGCCAAATTATACTCCCAAGAATTATCAAAAGCCCAGTTGCCATTGAGAAATACTGTGAAATTCTTGTGAAAAGTGACGTTGGTTTGGCCCGCCCTTCTGCCTGCCACTGCGATGGGCCATTTCCTGAGTTGGTCACATGTTCTCATGACAACCTTGCGAGGTGGTGTACCAGCAAAAGGTGGTCTGTCAACAGTTTATCTCAGGAGAGGAGGCTTCTCCTCGACACTGTAACTCTGAACTGCTTCTAACTGCCATGGCATCTTGAAATTTAAGCCAGGTATTCTTTTTATTAACTGTAATTTTTTTTTTTTTTTAATGACCTGGAGTCTTGCTGTGTTGCCCAGGCTGGTCCTGACTCCTGGGCTCAAGGGCTCCTTTTGCCTCAGCCGCCCAAATAGCTGAGACCACAGGTGCATACCTCCATGCCCAGCTCGCCACATTTTTATTTTTATTTTTGGTACTGAGGATTGAACCCAGAGGTAAGTTACCACTAAGCTACAACCCCAGCCCTTTTTATTTTTTGTTTTGAGTTGGAGTCTCACTCAGTTGCTGAGGCTAACCTTGAACTTGTGATTCTCCTGCCTCAGCCTCCGAGTCACTGGGATTACAGGCGTATGCCACTGTGCCCAGCTTAGCTATTAAAAATTTTAACTGTGTATTTTTTTTTTATATTAACATTTAAAGCAGGGAGAGTAGAGAAAACAACCTCCATGCCCAACACCTTTTCTCCTTCCTTTTCAGGAGACATTGCAAATCAGTGTTTTTATCAGAAGCACTCATTTTTGTTTTTTAAATATACAAACTCACATAAAGTTGGTACTGTCCCCTAACCAGTTAAATGTTCTTTTCAGGTGTTGCTCACCAGAGGCCTGGCCAGACCCCGGCCTTGTCTGTCCAAGGGCACCTTAACAGCAGCCTTTTCTCTGGCACTGCGGTAAGAAGTGGGGCGAGAGGGCGGCTGCTTCTGACTGTGCCTCCTCTCGACTCTTCTCTGGTGGCGGGGTTTAAGGTGTGGCCTTGTCCACCTCGTCAGGGTTCACAGGAAGTGCTGTTCTTTCTGAGCATAATGCATGTGTGACAGCCCAGGATTTTTCTTGGACTTTAGTCTTTACCCATAAATAATTTTCTAGTGTGATCTGAGGGGAAACAAATTGTGTTCATTCTGCCAGCGGTTGAGATACGATCACTTTTGAGTTCTTAATTGTTAAAAAGAGAAAAAGCCTATGAGAGCTGGAGGAGGTCCAGCTGGGAGCAGAGGAAAAGGGCCAAGGGAATGGTTTTAGGAGCAGAGGCTGGAAATGCTGGCATCAAGAGGAGTAGAGAAGTATGACATCTGTGTTCACTTAACTGAATATGTCCCATTGTCCTACATAAGGGACACCTATAAAAATCAATAAAAATTTTATGGGACACCTATAAATGGATCAGCATAAGTTTTTGTAGGTGTGTCACATGTAAAAGACAATGGGACATAATGGGTTAATTGGTTTGTCGATGTGAAATACATAAGAAAGATTTCCTTGTTGAGATTACACCTGCTGTGTCATTGATGGGTCCAGAATATTCCTAAACTGTTGAGGGGTTACTGACTTAGGGAGAGGTCCATCAGCTTGGGAAGAGCCACGGCCCTCACGTTCCTGCTAACCCCTGCCCACCTTCCTGCCGAAAGCTCTGAGGAGTCCTGTGGTTGTCACCAGGAGTCCTGATCCTGTTTAACCTGATGTTAGTCCAGGCATATCTGCACTGAATGTCCCTGCCTCTTGTTTGGATGCAGAGCATGTCAAACTCCCAGGGAGCACCACTTTGGGAATGATGGTATACAGCATGTGCTGGCATATGTTTTCTATAGACAGGTAGTAAATATGTCCCACTCTGTGGGCCACATGGCCTGTCATGACCACACTGCCATCGTAGTTCCCAGTGTGGCTAGTCAACGCGGTCATAACTGATCCTTTTACCACATTTCTTCTCCGTTAAGCTGTAACAGAGTATCCCTGCCTCACACAGTGTTCACATTCTTATAGTCTAAGAACAATATGCACACCTTGAATAAATGGGAGCCTTTCCAGAGCCTGAGCCCCACCAGGTGCACTGCCACGGGCCTGCCGGCTCTGGCTTCTGCTTCTCCTGCGGGTCTGCCCAGCTCCAGGAATAAGGTGGACTTTATGGCCGACCTCGTTTTCACCCTGCAGTCCTTCAGGTGTCCTCCTGCACCTTGCCCTGGTCTCCCTGGTCTTGGCAGGTTGAGTGACTTGGAGCAGAGGTTTCTGTAGGTGGAGTCTTGGGTTTCTGCATGAGCCCCAGAGAAGGCACTGTCCTTTCTGGCCCTGTCATGGTGCTTCCTGTCCCTGTGGATTCCTCTCCTGGATATTTCACACACTGGAACCCCACAGTGGGCAGTCTTTTGTTACTAGCTTTTTTCACGTTGCATAATGTGTCCGAGGCTTGTCCTGTGCTGTAGCATGAGTCCACACATCCTTCCTGTTTATGGCCAAATAATCTGTTGTATGGGCTGTAYCATGCTGAGTTGTTTGTGCTTTTGCACTGTTATGAATTTTGCTGCTGTGAACATTTCCATATAGGTTCTTGTGCACACGTGAGCTTTCATTTCTCTTGACAGTATTTCTAGAGTAGAATGGTGGGTTCGTGGAACGACTGCCAAACTGCTTTCCAGAGTGGCTGTGGCAGCGTGTACAGGTTCAGCTTCGCCATGTGCTCACCACACTGTCGTCATCTGTCTTTTTGAGGATGGCTATCCTAGTGGGGTTGCAGCAAAACCTCACTTTGATATGGTTGCAGTTCCCTGATGGGTAATATGTTGACCGCTTTTTTGGGTGATTATTAACCACTTGTATATCTTCTCTAAAGAAATGTCCCTCTAGGGGCTGGAGTTGTAGCTCAGCGGTACAGTGCTTGCCTCATACGTGTGAGGCACTGGGTTCGATTCCCAGCACCATATATATAAATAAGCAAATAAAATAAAGGCCCATCAACAACTAAAATATATTAAAAAAAAAAAAAAAGAAATGTCCCTCTAGATTCTTTGTCCATTTTTAAAAGGGGTTGTTTGTTTTTATTGCCGAGTTGTGTGAGCTCCCATCAGGTACATGATATACAAATATTTCCTCGCACTCTGTGTAGGAGAAAATATTGGGAAGAGCCGAGGCCCTCAGGTTCCTGCTAACCCCAGCCCACCTTCCTGCTGAAAGCTCTGAGGAGTTCTGTGGTTGTTGCCAGGAGGTTTTTGCTTTCTTGATAGTGTCTTTTGAATCCCAAAACTTTTATCTGTGTTTTTCCTGTTGTCTCTGTTTTGCGTGTCATACTAAGAAGTCATTGTATCACCTTAGACTTCTGTGCTTTCTACTGAGAATTTTATAATTTTAGCTATAAAATTTAGGTCATTTAGATCATTGAAACTTGTGATCTGCTTTTAATTCATTTTTGGATATGTTTTGAGAAAGAAGTCATGATCTTATTTTAACATTTATCTTTTTCTAATTATGGAGGTAATAAATGTTTATGGCTGAAAACCTAAGTAACACAGAAAAGTGTAAGGAAGAAAAAATTCCTCATGATTCTACAACCCAGAGATGCATCGTTAACATTTTTTGATCTGTCTCCTTGGAGTTTGATCTGACTCTCTTTGGAGTTTCCCCCMAAACCAATTTTTTTGAATTAATATAACTTTTGTATTGTGCCTATATTTTTAAATGTTAATATCAGACCATATGTATTCTTTTAAATAAGCTGCTTAGTTGGTGAGTTCTTGGTGTTGTCACCTAGTGGACCCCTGGGTAAGCAGTGCTTGATTGAGGAAATGGGTTACACTGGGACTCTAGAAGCCCTTTTGTGTGTCCTTCCCATCATGAGCCCCTCTTCTCCCATTTATGTTGTTTTGTATCTTGCTTTACTTTGTAATTTTTATATATGGGCATTTTCTTATGCCAGTAAAACTTTAAGGCTCCTTTTTTCATGGCTGTAAAGTGCTGCATCATGTGACTGCACCGTCACTGACTTAACCATTCTTTCGGTGTGTCCCCGTTTTCACCTTTTAGTTTTCCTAGAAGCCCCGGGAAGCGGTTCTGGGGGTCGGAGGGCATTGGCAGGCTTGCTCTTTAGCTCAGGTGTGCCCGCGTACCTGTCTCAGTAAGCCCATCTGTCTGTGTCTAGCCCTGTGATTGCTGCACAATTTTCAGACAATCTGATTCGGCCGTTCCTCATCCACATCATGTCTGTGCCTGCGCTTGTGACTCATCTCAGCACAGTGACCCCTGAGGTAAGTGGGCTCTGTGAGTTTCCCCCCAAACCAATTCTGGTTTTGCTTTTTTCCTCACAATTTAGTAAAAGGATTGCTATGTTAGTTCTCACTCCTCCTGATTTCTCTTCTAAACTAATAGCCAGCGTAGACACGCTCAGGTTAGTAGCCCAGAGAAGCAGCTTCCTCTGCTTGGTGCTTGAGGACCTGTTCTGCTGTTTGGGGAACAGTCTGCGTGTGATCAAGCTCGTGCTGTGCTGGGAAATGTCCTTGCAGTTTTCACTTTAACTGTTTGCCGTTGTTTACAGCGTCTCACTGTTTTAGAATCTCATGACATGCTTCGCAAATTCATCGTATTTTTAAGAGACAGAGACCGATGCCGGGACATTTGTGAAAGTTTAGAAGGCTGCCACACACTGTGCCTGATGGGTGAGTGCCCCACAGCAGCGGGGTTTAACTGGTGCTGGCCATCAAGGGAAGCCTGGGTGTAACTTARTAACAACTAGACATGATTACCATAAAAAGCATGTACACAGATGCAGCAGGTTAAAATATTCATGTAAAGTTAAAAATCACACGGAACATATCCCTAGCAAACTAGGTAAGTGATCATAAGTGAACCTTGGATTTCAGCCCTGGGCTTTCCAAGGAAAAAATGAAAATATGGTGAATTGCCTCTGTGGGTCTTACCTCCAGAGAGAAGGGAGGCCGTGCTCAGGCAGGGCTTAGGGCGAGTTGTGCCTCATCACCTGCTCTCCAGTGCTATCACTGCAGATGGAGAAGGGGTTTGTGGATGGAAGCACTTGGAAACAGTGGAGATGCATGATTCGCATTGCCTGACGGGAAGAAATTTACCTAGGAAAAGTCCTTGGGGCCAAATTTTAATGGGAATATCCTGTACAAGTCTTCACACAATGATAATGAGGAACTCTGYGAAACCTTGAAGAACAGTGATTTCCCCAGGACATTCAGTTACTGTCATTTCTTGGCTCTCTCTTGATTTTTAAATATTAGTATGATATTAAAGTGTCCCCTAACTAACTATCGTGTGCCTCTGTGTGCATGATGTCTGTCGTTACGTCATGTAGTCTTCATAGAAAGGAGACCATGTTCTAGTCTTAGAGGTGATGAGACAAAGGAGAGGCGGTCGAGAGCCACACAGCTCACCTGTGCAGAGCCAGAATTTGAAGAAAGGGTGGCCTGTTTCTAGCCTCCACACTGCAGCCCCCGGCACTGGCAAGAGCCCTTCCCTGGAATCTTCCTGCATATGCAGCAGGGCTGCCCAAGCCACAGAGAGCAGGACTAGGAGGCACCGAAGTGCTTCTGTCTGTCCCTTCACACTTGGCCTTCTTTCCTCATAGGCAACCTCACACTTGGCCTTCTTTCCTCATAGGCAACCTCCTGCAGTTGGGCTCCCTCAGCCCCCGAGTGTTAGAGGAGGAGACGGATGGCTTTGTGAGCTTGCTCACCCAGATGCTGTGCTACTGTCAGAAGTACGTGTCCCAGAAGAAATCCAACCTGACCCACTGGCACCCTGTCCTTGGCTGGTTCTCCCAGTCTGTGGATTATGGGTAAGTCCTGGAGACATGGTGCTGCCTTCTGGCTCTTTCCACGTCACCTCCCCTCCTTCCTTCTGTCTGTCAGCTTCTGTTTTGCTTCTTACTGCAAAAATAAGATGTATTTATTGAACAAAACAGGGATGCGATCATGAGAACAAAACATCCCATAATCTTACTATCCAAAGATGACCTGAACGAACATCAATAGTTTTGTATAAAAATGAGATCATATGATTTTGTCCTTTTCATTAAAAATTTATGAATCTTATCAATAGTTTTTCTTCTTCAATATCACTTTTATTGATTTACTAGACAGCCATATTTTGGAGATGCTGAAACAAGACAAATGACTTAAAAGGATAAAATCACCTCCTTTTCAAGAGATTGGAATATGAATTTAAAAGTTTTAAATTAAGAACTTAAAAGCAGGTCTGGGGTACGGCTCAGTGGTAGAACATTTTCCTAGTGTGCCCAAGGCCCTGGGTTGAATCCCCAGCACTGAAAACAAACAAACTCAAAAACCTTAGGAACACTAGAGTAGAAGACTAGAGATCAAGAAGGGAGCATCTCAAACGTGGAGAGAGTGCCTGGGCTCAGCTCCTTCCTCTCAGGTGTCCACCCCTGCATGGTGTCCACCCCTGCATGGTGACCATGGCAGATACTCTTGAGGCAGAAAACTGAGGTCTCAGAGAAGGGCTCCCTCTTCCTTGTGCCTGAGTGGTATTTTTGAGTCCTGACTAGTTAAAATGATCGTTGCCGAGGAACCTGCCCCAACAGCCCACCTGAGCAGCGAGGCACCTGTGCCTGGAGCCTGGAGGCTGTTCCGGGCGGGGTGTAGGCAGAGAGCCACTGGTGGCCACTGCTCTTCTCTGAGGGCCTTTGAACAACTTGTCTCATCTCAGTTTCTTCATCAGAGATGTGGGGGGATCACAGTCCATCCATTAGGGCTGTCTTAAAGGACTGAACAAGGTGACGCGTGCCCACTGCTTAGCCTGGCGGATGCCCAGTGACTGGTGGCTGTCGCTTCCATGACGCTGTGGTAGGAGCCGTCTTAGGGTCTTCAGTGGCAGGGGCATGCCAGTAGATGCCAGGCATGGGGTGGTGCTGGGGTGCAGCCTGAAGTGGGGACAGAAGCTCCGGAGGCAAGGGAGCACTCGGGTGTCATGTCTGCTGGATGTGAAGCCGCTGGCTGCAGCCAGCCCGGAGGAAKCAGGCAGTGCAGCTACTTGAGATAGCTTTTGCCTACTGGGTGGTGGGTGTCCAAGATGACCGTGGCGTGTGGAGCCTGGGGACCTGGGGAAGCAGTAATGCTGATGGCAGCACAGGTTTGGGTGTAGTGACAGACAAGGTTCAGTGCCTTCACCACACTTGGACCTTGGTGATGGTTTACGGGATCCACTTTTTTTTTTTTTTTTTTTTTTTTTTTAATTTTCTGCTTTGTCAAGTCCAGGCCTGAGCTACACCTCAAGAGCATGGCCTTGAGGGGAGCTGAGCAGGCCTGTCCTGGCCAGCAGAGGCACTAATGCACTGTTCTCTTGCTCTCCCCTAGCCTCAATGAGTCAATGTATTTGATCACCAAACAGCTGCAATTCCTGTGGGGGGTGCCTCTCATCCGCATCTTCTTCAGTGACATCCTAAGCAAGAAGCTGTTGGAGCACCAGGAGCCAGCCCCCGCCCAGCCGGCATCCCCACAGAACGTGCTCCCAGTGAAGAGTGAGTGGCCAGGGCTCTGCTGGGCCAGAAGGCAGCCCCTGCTTCTGCGTAGGGGGATGCTCTGTGTTGGGGGTGTTCCATCTTCTCCCACAGAGGTCCTAAATCTGCTTAAATCAGGTCCACATTTTGCAGAACAGTCCCAGGAACCCCGTACAAGTGGAAAGCAAGGGCCAGGGAGATATAACTAGGTAACGGTGTGTAGAATGTTCACAGGTACACATTCCATGAGGGCCACTTCAGTTTGGCTGTGAATCTTCTAGTAGCCAGAGAGAACGGGTCGTGCAGTCCCATTGAACTTTCATATTGCCAGAAGAGGGAAAGGAGCCATGTCTTAAGGGACATAGAGCTGTTTTAAGGTCCTAATTATAAAATAAATCTCCCATGTGGAGCTCCTTATAAAACACCTCAACAGTACCCAACTGTAGGGTCAGAAGTGGGTACCATGGAAGGCTTTCTGCTGCCTGCTCTGATCAAAGTTAAGGAAATGACACCAACACAGAATCTACAAATAAAGTTACTTGCCCACAGCAGTTTCTCGGTACAGGGTGGCTTTTCTTCTGCCTCCCATGCACTACACATCCATGTCTTGTAGCTAGTTAGTGGGCACAGGCTCAGTAGATATAACTTCAGCAGGATGTAAATGGGAAGGCTTAACAAAGTAGAATACTGTTCAGAACCAAATGTCAGCACTTGAGGAGGTTATGCCTCACTTCCCTCCCAAAGCTCAGAAAATTCAAACTCAGCTGGCCCCCTACCCTGCACCCTCTTCCCCTAATATAGTCCTCTGAACTTTTCCTTTTGCAACTTMTGAAATTAGGTAATACAGTCAAAGAATCCCATGGTATATTCAGAGTTGAATATATCTGGCTTAATCAGAAATTTTCTGATGTTCTGAGAAGGTACCAAAATCCAATCATTAATGTTTTTCTAAGTTATCCCAGAGAAATGTCTTGGGTCCAAGCACCAGCCTCACTGCCTGGCCCTGCTATACATTTGGAATTTTGTCAAAATGCTGTTCCCTTGACCAGATGAGGTTTGGCAGATGGCTGAGCTTCTGCTCACAGTGCTCTTCTCCACGCCAGGTCTCCTCAAGCGTGCATTTCAGAAGTCTGCATCGGTTCGGAATATCCTCAGGCCTGTTGGGGGCAAACGCGTTGACTCTGCAGAGGTTCAGCAGGTCTGCAACATCTGTGTCCTCTACCAGACTTCGCTGACCACGCTCACCCAGATCCGCCTGCAGATTCTCACAGGTTTGGAGGCCCAAGACTGCTGCTTCCATCTTGCCAATTTGCTAGACAAGTTTTCTTAGAAAAAGTTGATTTTCTTTCCTGGCTTCCTCATGCAGAAGATAGATGTTGAAGGAGGGTGTTTCTGAGTTTTTTCTTCCTAGAGATTGGTACACCTTGGTTAAATAGCTCAAGCCAGTCCTAGTCATAGTACGTCCATCTTGTTCCTGTCACCTGGCTCTTATTTTAGTTATGAAGTATAACTTTTAAAATGTTATTTTTTTCTGAGTAGAAAACTAGAAAACGAGGGGCTGGGGATGTGGCTCAAGCTGTAGCATGCTCACCTGGCGTGCGCGGGGCGCTGGGTTTGATCCTCAGCACCACATAAAAATAAAATAAAGATGTTGTGTCCACCAAAAACTAAAAAAAAAATATATATATATATATATATATATATATATTAAAAATTTTTTTTTAAAAACTAGAAAATGTAGGGAGACAGGAAAAATACCACTCCTAATCCCACAATTCATGCCCAAGCATGTCATACATAAGTTATAAATATGTTGAAACTGATATATTTTATCCTTCCTTTTCCATTAATCATTTTACAAACATTTTATCATGTCAACAACTCTTCAAAAACCTCATTTTTATTGGCTGCATAATACCTCATTGCATGGGGACGCTCAACACTTTATTTTCTACCTGAGCAAGGAAGAAAGTGCTTTGTGAGCACAGAGCAGCAAGGACTTTGAGGGATTCGTTAGTGTACATCAGAACCACAAGTCCAGAGGGTCCTTGTGAGCCATGAAAACTGGTAACTGCAGAAGGATCAGAACTTCTCCGCTGCACTGTATGACGTTTTAAAATCTTAAGTTGCTGCTGCTTCTGGCTTTCATACATTTTATTCACTCTTCAAATACTTATAGAGCACTCATATGTGCAAAGCACTGAGGATACAGAGGTGAACAAGACAGCCAAGGTCTCTGTCCCTGAGAGAATCATATTCTAGCAGTAGGGAGACCAGCAGTACCCAAAAGTCGACTGTATAAAATTGGCTCCATGAAAATGAGAAGGCATGATGCTGGCTTGGGCTAGGACTGGGTTTCCCTGCCTCAGTGTCGTTGATATTCGGGGCTGGATGATCTTTGTCGTAGAGGCTCTCGTTCATCATAGGATGCTCACCAGCCCCTGGCCCAGCAGCACCTTCCTCCCCAGTTGTGACAGCCAAACATGTCTCCAAACATGGGCAAATGCCCCCGAGGCCGAGGTTATTGTGGTCAAGTGCTCTGGCCTAATGGTGGTAGTGAAGATGGAAGCAGATGTGCTGGAGAGGGACCTCTATGGGTCCTACTGGGGGACTGGACTTGATGCATGAGGACCAAAGATTCCAAAGGTGTTGCCTGTGTGGATGGTGACACCATTTGCAGAGCTGGGGAAGCATGGGACAGGGCAGCGGGAGTGAGGACTGTGGAAAGTTGGAAGTTGTGCTAGGCTGTGGCGAGTGTGAGCTGCTGGCTAGGCTTGCAGGCAGAGGTGTCCAGAGGCCTTTGAGGACAGAGGGGGGCCATCAGCAGAGGGATAGAATGAAGGCTTTCCGAAGGTTCCAGACCCTGCCTGGCCCCACAGCACCTGAGGGCTTGGGAGCATCCTGGGTGAGAGGATTTCGAGGTTAACATCCACGTCCAGCTTTTAAGATGAGCTCACAACTAAGCTCATTTTCCCAAGTGAGAGAATCCAAAACTTAGGTTTCTTGGCTAATATGAAAATACACATTTTCAAAAATAAAAATAAACTAGTCTGAAGTGTATGGATGACATTCAGTCTATTAGCTGTACACATCTTAAATCAGATTATAGAAAGTAACATTTGTTATGTTGACCATATTGTTTTTCTGTTCTACTTTATGAAGACCTTTGTTCCTCTTCCCCACATGCCCTGAGGCCCTGGAGCTCCTGACACCACTCTCTGGGCATAGCTTCCCCTTTTCTGTCTCAGCTGCCCAGGATGCAGCCCTGTTGAGTCAGTGTATGAGGCTGAGTTTTAGTCTATATCATGAGTCCCATCATAGAATGTGAGGATAGCTGTTTTTCTCCTTTTGCCCAGGAGGAGCATATTTATGACCTCTACAGTGTAATTACTTACTGTTTCTCTATTTTTAACCTGTGAGGTTCCTGTGTTCTTTGGTATGAATAACTTGGGCTACCTAAAAACTAATTATAAGCTAGGAACCTATGCAACCACTAACCTGGGCAAGGAACTTTTACTTTTTAAAGGTTTCTTTATAACAATACCCTCCTTCCCTTGCAAGTGTAAGGTCAAACCTTTAAGAATAGTAACTTGCTTGATGGTACATTTCTTTGACTCCCGTACAGTTCCTTGAGTTCACCTCTCAGTATCCTAAGTAGCATTGATGGAACCCCACACCCTTCCCAGGCTCTTGTATCCTCCCCAGATAGCCCTTTATTCAAACTAAATTACAGACAGTGCCCTGTAAAATGAGAGGCATTATAAGGGCTCCAGTGTAGGTGACTGCATTTCTGAGGAACACACCATATATTCAGGGACATGTAGAATTTTAGATCCAGACTTTCTAAGTCACTAGCTGCATTATTAGAATTAAAATCTACTAGTGATGTAGGCCTTGGAAAGCAGGCTTAGAACGTCCTCTGCTTCACCTTTTGCTTCCCCTGGGTTGATTTTGTGCGGTACTTCAGAGTGTCTCTGCTACAGTCATTCACTGCTTTCTTATTTGTAATGTAGAGGAATAGAAGTTGATGGGAGGAGAACTTTGCTAAATGTGGGTGAGCCTGCAAATTGTAAATAAACTTTTATTAGAACACCACCAAATCCATTCATTTGTGTAATATCAACTGCTGTGGTGCTACAGCAGTAGCATTGAGTAGCTGTGACTGTTGAACTAAAACTTGGACAGAGGAGGCCACCATACATTGAACCGTACATATCCTAACTTAATATATAAACTAACGGAAAGCCTGACTTGGGAAAATACTTTGGTAACAAATTGCTGATTCTAAGCCAATCATAGCTACAATCTTCAGTCAACCACAGCAGCCAACTGATCAGAAGGTGTTCAAATAAGGAATAGCTGAGTCGTAATAAATCCTGCCTGCCTGCTTTCAAAGCAGAGCTTTCTGAAGCTCTTCTGGTCCTGTGGCCTGCCCCATGTGCTAGTCGTTCTTTGCTCAATTAAACTGCTAAATTTTATTTGTCTCAACAGAGGCCATCTGGCCTACAAACCTAAAAATATTTACTCTTTAGCCCTTTCCAGAAAAAAAACCTTGCTGATCCCTGATTTAAAATATAATTGCTAAATCAGACCTGGGTTCTTTTCTTGGCTCTAACACTTGCTGGCTGTGAGTTGGGGCAAATTATTTAACCTGGCTGTGCTTCGATTTCCTCCCTTATAAAACAAAGATGACACTGGACTTCACAGGCAGAAAGGAGACGATGTGTGCAAAGTGTTGAGCCTGTTATCTGCACTCAGGAAGCACCATTAAACGTTGGCTGTTACTATCATTGTGATTCTCAGGGTGACACCGCTTTCCTGATTGCACCTTCTTCTCATGCACAGTAAATGTTCACTAATAGCTTAAGTGTTTCCTTTTCCCAATGGAAGGAGAAATAACAGACCAGATGGAACCCCCACCTGAAGCTTGGGTTTCTCTATCCTTTTCCAGGTCTCACTTACCTTGATGACCTGCTGCCCAAACTGTGGGCGTTTATCTGTGAGCTGGGGCCCCACGGAGGGTTAAAGCTCTTCTTGGAATGCCTGAACAATGACACTGAAGAGTCCAAGCAGCTCTTGGCCATGCTGATGCTGTTCTGTGACTGTTCCCGGCACCTCATCACGTAGGTTGACTGCTGGGGGGCGGAATACTTTCCTAGGATTCAGGACACCAAACTACGATGTCAGGAGGCAAGGAACTGCTGATAGGATCACTACATACATCTGGGCCTGCGTGGCAGGGTCAGTATAAGCATTAGACAAGAGCCAGGCATGGGGGCATATGACTGTAGTGACAGCTATTTGGGAGGCTGAGGCAGGAGAATCACTTGAGCCCAGGAGGTCAAGACCACCTAGATGACACAGCAAGAACACACCAAAAAAAATGTAGACAACAAAACATTGACAAAGCAGGCAGCATGCATGGGGTGTGCAGCAGTTGTTAGTTCTCATCCTTTCAGGACAACTGGGTGGGACCCCAAAGTGTGAACTCTGGGGTCTCCTGGAGATGGGTTCAAATCATAGCTCCACTGTTTATTTACTATACTAGTTAGATTAATGGAAAATTCCAGAGTCAACCAGGGAGCAAAATCTGGCTCAGCAATTTACTACGATACCCTGGGCAAGGGATCAAGGAATTCAATCTCTCTGCTACTCATTTTCCTCATGTATACATGTAGGCATTTCAGGGAGGATTTAGAGGTAATCAATGCCAAGTGCATCACACAGTCCCTGGCACAGAGGAGAAGCTCAGTGTATGTCGGCTGATATTGTTGTCATTGTTACCTAACTAGCTCTGGGAAGGTTGCCTAACCTCTGTGAGCCTCGCTAGGAGCATGGAGACACTATTACCAATCTGAAAGAGCAAATGAGAAAAGGAGTGTCAGGTAGTACAGCACTAGATGTGAGTGGAGAACTAATAAGAGGCTCATCCAGTTCCTTGACTGTTCTGGCTTTTGTGTCTCCTGGTGTCCTTGGCATTCCTCTAATCCCACGTTCTCTTAATTTAATATAGACTGGACCTCAAGCAATGAATTTCAGCCTAGAAGACCATAGCAGGAAGGGTTAGGGGACTCGTAAGTGGCAGTTTGGGCAACGTGAGGAGGCTGAGTGAGCAGGTGGAGGTGAGAGTGGTGTCTGTAAGGAACAGGAAAGACACCTTTAATGGTTAGTCACTGAGTACAGGGTAATCTGATAGTAAGTCACATTCTGAAGGTGCATGGAGTGGTTTTAGTAAATTTTCTTTTAGAACTGTGTCTCGTGTTCATTCATCCATTTATTCTTTCAAGCATTCTTTCACTCACGTATACTTAATAAGTACCACCAGTGTCTGTCCTCAATGTGGAATGAAGCTCTGCAGCCTTCCTGAGGAGGAACAGACACTCAGTCAAGAGCCCTTCATATCAGACAGGAATTTGGCACATTGAGGCAGGAATTTAGGCTTGAAAGAAGGAAGTGTCCCAGCCAGTTCCTTGTAAGAAAGAAAAACTGCAAGAGTGGGGCTTTTTTTCCCCCTTTAATTGTATTTTATCTTTTTAGTATAGACAATTTCAAATAAATAGAAAGTAGAAGCAATAACGAACTCTCGTGGCCATCACCAGCTTTAGCTCATGGCCAGTTTTGCTTCATCCGAACCCCTCCCTGTCCTCCTCTTCCAGTGTCTTTGAAGCCCATCTTAGACATTAGATCATTTTAACTTTACAGGAAGTGTCTCTGAAAGTTAGAACTTATTTCTTAACCTGATTGTATTGTCTGATAAGCAGAAAGATCTTATTTCTTTCCCTTTCTCTGTGGGAAATTCTAAATAATTTTGTCTGATTTAGGATCCTTGATGACATTGAAGTTTATGAAGAACAAATTTCATTCAAACTAGAAGAGCTGGTCACCATCTCCTCTTTCCTGAATTCCTTCGTGTTTAAGATGATCTGGGATGGAATTGTAGGTAAGGTGGAGGTGCTTGCCAACATTTTATTGAGGCTGCTCCCAGGGAGGCTTTTCTATTATGTACCAAAGTTAATAAAAATTCACATTTAAGCCAGGCATGGTAGCTCACACCTGTAAACCCAGCAACTTGCGAGGCTGAGGCAGGAAGACCACAAGTTTGATGCCAGCCTCAGAAATACAGCGAGACCCTATCTCAAAAAATAAAAAGGACTGGGGGTGTGGCTTAGTGATAGAGCATCCCAGGTTCATTCCCCAGTAGCACTCCAAAAGACCCAATTTGTTCACATAACTGGAAGTTTTCTCTCTTACTAAGACCTCTTTAAGAGAGGAAGCATAAGCAATGCGTGCCAGTTCACACTGCAGATGAGCGCCCCCTCCTGTGGCGTTCCCAGGTGTTCAGTGCAAAGGACCTTTGGACAGTGACTAGTGAGAGCCAGCGTGAGGGTCTGAGACACCAAGGCCCTGCAGACACTTAGGACCTTCCCAGGGACCTTTTTATTCCTTTCATTCTATAGAAATTCAGAGCAAGAGAGGTCAGGGTTTGCTGGGGACCGTAGGAAACAAGCCGTCCTCCAGCTCTGACCCTTCTCCTGCGAGTGTGACTCTCCTGTGTGTTGCCCTGCAGAGAACGCCAAGGGCGAGACCTTGGAGCTGTTCCAGTCTGTGCATGGGTGGCTGATGGTGCTCTATGAGCGGGACTGCCGCCGCCGCTTCGCGCCTGAGGACCACTGGCTGCGAAAGTGAGCACCATGGGGCTGGGGAGGCTCACCGCAGCCAGGGGCCTCCATTTCTGTCTGTCTGTCTCAGTCTCTCCCTCCCTCCCTCTCTCCCTCCCCCCGCCATGTCTGTCTGTCTCACAGTCTGTCTCTCTCTCTCACACACACACACACACACACAACATACACACAGCAGGTGCCCGAGCACTTGCCACTCCTGTTCCAGGATGGAGGGCCTTTTCTTTCTTCTCCGTGTTGGCCATTCATCTGTGGAAAGAGCTGCTGTTCTGTAAAGCTCCTGTTGGGACGCATCCCCCCCCCAGCAGCCACTTCTGTTACACCAGGAGGATCAGTTAATTAATGGCAACAAAGCCAGATCACATTCGGCCGCTGTTTCTTATTCAGACTGGGACGAGAGGGTCTTCAGCTGCCCTGAACAATGCGGTGGTAAAAAGTGCTTGAGGGTTTGGATGGGGGAGGGCTCGAGGCAGCAGTCCTCCAGCAGCACCTAAACTTAAGAGCATGTCCGCATTTTTATCAGGGATGCATCAACTTTTAGGTTACCATTGCAGCTCTGGTACTAGAGCAAAGCTTCGCAGACTTTGGCATAGAGGGACAAATGGCTCTAGGCCCTGTGGACTCACGTCTCTGTTGCAGCCACTACCTCTGCTCTTGTAGCATGAGGCAGCCATAGGCAGTACGTGCTGCTCCCACAGAACTTTACAAAGGCAGGCAGCCAGCTTGGCCTGCATGCTGTGGTTTGTGAACCCTGCACTAGTGTACGGTTTTCATAACCCCAGACCTGTCTTTCTTCTTAAGGGATCTCAAGCCTAGTGTACTCTTCCAAGAACTCGATAAGGACCGAAAACGGGCACAGTTGATCCTGCAGTACATCCCACATGTCATTCCTCACAAAAACGTGAGTTGCCCTCAGCTGGGCTCCTGGTATGTTGCTGTCCCGCGTGRTCCCCGACTCCCTTGTTGTTATAGCGGTGCGGAACGCTGGAATGAGGTGGTTGATTTTGCAAGTGCAGCGATGGCATTTCTTTCTCTGTGGCAGGTTACACCAAGTGCTGAGGGTGCCGGGTGGAGAAGGCAACGTGAAGTGGCATTTAGGTGGAGTGGGATGTGTGCCACGGGGCTAGGTGCCATGGGAGCCCAGGCATAGGAACCTGACTCCTCTCAGTAAGGGGAAGGGATTAGAGAGGGCTCCAAGGCAGAAGTGGACAGGACTTAAAGGTCCAGGGTGAGAGAGAAGCCAAACAGCTGGTCTGGCTGGAAGAAGTMAAAAAACAGCTGAGGAGTTAACAGGAGTTAGAGCAGGAAGGGCCTTGTAAACTGAGGCTAGGAGCTTAGATTTTAGCCAACGTCATTGCAGGGTTTTAAGCTTAGAAGGTGCCAAGACAGAGCTGGAGAGGTGACTGGAGGTAGAGGGCATTAAAGCCAGCTGGCCTACATTAGAAAGAGGCCTCCAGAGTAGATAGATGACCAAGGCAAGAGACTTTTAAGGAGCCAGCACCTAAGACCTTGGAGCCTGATTACATTCAGAGAGCAAGGAAAGGAGAAATGGAGATACTCTTGARCTCTGGCTTGGTGCCTGAAGCTTGGTGCTTGGTGCTTGGGTGGGCTGCTCCCTGAGGGAGAAACAGGTGAGGGCAGGTCTGGGATATGGTGGTGCATTCAGTTCTGAGTGAGTGGGTGCATGTGGCTGTGGCTCCTGATGGCTCTGACGCTCAGGAGGGAGGCCTGAGTTGGAGAAAGCCTTCCCGCCTGAGCTTGCAGTGTGGAAAGGCAGGTAGGGAATCAGATAGGTCCTGAGAGGAGAGAAGGAGGAATCTGAGGAAACAGGGATCCAGGAGAGTGTGGTGTCACTCCAGGGGACAAGAGAGAATTGGGAAAGCTTGCGTACTGTGGCAAGAGCTTCCAGGCCATATGGGCAACGTGGCTTGCATCCCTGGGAAGGAGCTGGCACTCAGCAGTACTGCTGGTGGGTGACAATACTGTGCCTGTCTCAGGAGAGACTCCTCAGAGTCCAGAGGTACCTTTCTTTTCTTACTCCTTTTTTTGATTCTTTCTTTTAAAATAGACATAATTTTAGAGAGCATAAATCCCATTTTTGTATATTAAATCTCAGAATTCAGAGATACTTAATTCTCACTGCTCTGATACTGTTATTTGTTTTTTAATATTTATTTTTTAGTTGTACACAATACCTTTATTTTGTGTTGAGAGCCACAGCCAAGTTGGAATGGCACCTAGGATTTTRCCAGTACTTTTGAGTTCTTGCAGAGTTCCCGTTGAGTTCCGGTTGAGCTCTTGCGGGGATTCATGCAGAGTTCGCAGTTGAGCTCTGGGGGATTCCTGGCAGGTTGGTTGGTGAAGTTCCGGTGGAGGGAGTTCCGGTTGGTGTGTGGTGTGTTCCTGGAGGAGCCGGTGGCGTTCGGGGGGAGTTCCTGGGGAGTGTGCTGATGGAGTTCGGAAATGAAGTTTGTTCCTGCTTGAGTGGCTTGTGATTTGTGCCCAGCCAGACGGCGGCAATTTTGTTTATTTATTTTTATGTGGTGCTGAGGATTGAACCCAGGCCCTTGCACATGCTAGGTGAGCGCCCTACCACTAAGCCACAACTCCAGCCCTCTTTTTATTTACTTATTTAATTTTTAAAATATTTATCCTTTAGTTCTAGTTCTATCTTTATTTTATTTTTATGTGATGGATGCTGAAGATCGAATCCAGTGCCCCAGGCGTGCTAGGCAAGCGCTCTACCACTTAAACCACAACACCCCCCCCCCATACCGTTTTGACCTTGACTTTAATGTCTGTGGTTGCTATTCATTCCCCTCAGGCAGTGATGTGCAAACAGTGTGGCTGTTAAAATTCTTATTGCACCTGACAGACTCTCAGGAATGAGGGACCTTCCTTGAGGGAATCCCTCAGCAGGACCCCTGAGCCTGTCTCCCATAGGGAAGGCACAGCCCTGCAGACCATTCTGTGGCTGTACTCTTCTAAGTGATGGGACAGTCTCCCTCATCTGAAGCTGATCTACTTCTAACTTCTACTCTTGGTCTCTGAACCACCCGCAGGGGTGGCATCTTTAATCTGTGGAATAAATCTCTTGAGATTTGCACACAGGTCCTGCTTCTGAGTCCTCTGTTTTCCTAGTGGCTTTAGCTGCTCCAGCTGTTCCTCATTTAAAGCAGTCTCTGACCTCTCATCTCCTGGTTGGTGGTGGCTGATTTAAAACAAAGCACCTCAGCTTGTCCCTGTGTCTGTGAACTCAGGCTTTGATCCTGGCATTGTGTATTGCATAGACTGGAGTCTTCTTGTTGCATGTCTATGTCCACAGACGGCGTGCTGGGGCACTGGAGTTACCGAAAGATGTGTTAAGTATTCCAGAATGCAGTGGAACACCCATGAACTACTAGTTCGAGGTAGCTTATGATTTCAACATTCACTCACACTACATTCTTTTCCATGATGTCATATTTGCAAAGTTAGGTTTTCAGAATGAGATAAAAATGTTTTATATTTCAATTTATGTGCATTTCTCAAATACAACTACAAATTTCTTAGAATAGAAATACTTTTTAAGTTGTTAGCACCTAACTACCTAATGAACTGGTCTAGTAGGCATTTTTGGTCTAGGAGGGCCAAAAAAAAAAAAAAAAATACTGCCATCCTAGGGGTGCCRTGAACAACCTAGTGTGGGAATGCTGAGGTGAGCGGAGTGACTTGTGAGTCCAAGCCATATGCTGACCTTTTTTTTTGGGGGGGGGGGGGATTTTGCTTAAGTTCATCATTAAGGTTATCTGTCCGTGGATCCTAAAGTTTCCTCCCTTTGAAGGGAAAGGAGAAATACTGGGGAATGATATTGACCGTATTATATTGTTGTGTCATGCATATAACATGATGTTATATTTGCAGCCTATACTCCCAAAATCAAGTGGGAAGTGAGGCTGCAGATGGGAGGAGACAGCAGGGGAATGTAGTGTAACTAGATGTTGAAATTAAAGCTACCTTGAACTATATACATAGTGTATGTACAAATACGTAACAGTGATTATTAGATATAATAATAATGTACTGATGAAATAATAATGCACTGGGCTGGGCTGGGGCTCAGCCATAGAGCGCTCACCTGGCAGCTGCGAGGCCCTGGGTTCGATCCTCAGCACCACATAGAAATGAATAAATAAAATAAAGGTATTGTGTCCAACTACAACTAAAAAATAATTTTTTAAATAATAATAATAATGCACAACTATTATGTATAATTACAACATACCAATAAAAAAAATGGAAAAAAAAATTTCCTCCTTGGGAGGACAGGACCCTTCCTCATCTCCTGGTCCCTGTCCTGCCCCCAGCAGTCCTGGGAGGGTCAGGCATGCTGTGTTCCAAGTGGCAAGGGCTCTCCTGCTGTCTCCTCCCATCTGCAGCCTCACTTCCCACTTGACTTGGGAGTGTAGGCTGCCCTCTGCCACTGGCATGGTCTTGCTGGGGTGCCAGGAGGGAAGCAGGATCTCAGCTTTGCCATTGTGCCATCGCCCTTTGACACTGCACCCCTCCCTCTTTTTCTTACTCCAGTGGGTGACTTGCTGTTTCCCTTAACGTTTTTCAAAGACTCAGCTCTGCCTTGCTCACACCCAGCATTTCACTCTCTGTCCTCACCGTCTTGCTTTCACCTATTTACCTGTGACTCATCTCCCAACTGGTATGTGAGACTTTGCCTTCTTGTTTTAGCCCAGAAAACCTWAGTGAGGTGGGGGGCCAGGCTGTGTGGGGTGGTGGTCTGTGAGTGGGCTCTGGATTTGAATCTGGCCATATGACCTTGGTTGAGTCCACACCCTCATCTGCAAAATGGGGGTGGTGTCTACCCAGATGTCTGCTGAGGATTCTGAGGCCTCCCAGCCCCTTGAAGCTGGATAAGGGTGCCTCAGGCCACACCCTGAGGAAATCGAGAGCTTCCCAGGTGGAAGGAACTCCAGAGGCCACTACTGATGTGGCCAGCTTAGTGTTGAGTCATGCCGTAGGCCACACTGGTTTGACTGGAGGAGACCCGCATTTTCACCTCATGTTCCCTGGAAGAGCCCCTGTTCAGGTGGTCATGCTGGAGATTCAGGTCACTGGAAGCAGTGTGTCACAAACCACATGACTCCATATGACCTCAGAACCTGTTATAGAAAGTCCCACAGCAGCTCCACCACAGAAGGGAGAGGTGGGCATGTTCTTTGGCCATATCGAGGGCCCCCCTCACTGGGTTTTTCCCTTCTATGGGCCCTGGAGCCCTTAAGGCTTTTGGTGCTGCTCAGAGCACTTCGGTCCTTATTTCTAAACCCAGGGTGCCAGGGTGAACGGCAGCCCCACCCCACCCCCGCGTGCCTCCCATCCTGTGCTGCCCCTGGCAGTTGCTCTTTCTGTTAACAACTCTGTTTATAAATTTCTAGCATTAATAAAAGGGTTGAATAACACTAACTAACCTGCCCCTGGTGGATCCTGTACCATTGTTACAATTGTTTGTGTTCTTTTTTATATTTACTGAACTCCAGATTTTTAGGAAAATTCCAAATTATTAAAAAAGCAGGTGTGAAGCCAGGTGTGCTGGTGTATACCTGTAATCCTAGCGATTGAGGAGGCTGAGGCAGGAGAATTGCAAGTTTGACACCAGCCTCAGTAATTTAGTCCCTAACCATCTTATTGAGATGGTGTCTCAAAATAAAATTTAAAAAAATTAAAAGGGGTGGGGATCCTGTCTTGAATCCCTGGTGAAGAAAGACAGAGAGACAGAGACAGAGACAGAGAGAGAGAGAGAGAGAGAGAGAGGGGGAGGGAGNGAGGGAGGGAGGGAGGGAGGGAGAGGGGGAGGGAGAGGGGGAGGGGGAGGGAGGCAGGCGGGGAGGGAGGAAAGAACAAGGAAAAACCCACTGTGATTGGTGTGTATATCCATTCAGCTGACTTCAGGTGAATGCTGACATGAATTATGCTGTTCTGAAGGGGCTCATTGCCAGGCACAGTGGAGGGTGCCTGTGGTCCCAGCTACTTGAGAGGCTGAGAGACAGGATTGATTGAGCCCAGAAGTTCAAGCAGTTTAGCCAACATAGTGAGATCCTATTTCTTTAAAGCAAAAAATACAGTCAGCTGGGCACAGTGGTGCCCACCTATAATCCCAGTGACTCAAGGAGCTGAGGCCGGAAGATCACAAGTTCCAAGCCAGTCTCAGCAATAGCTGGACCCTGTCTTGAAATAGAAAATAAGAAGGGATGGGGATGTGGCTCAGTGATAGAATGCTCCTGGGTTCTGTCCCCAGTACTAGGGGGAAAAATACAATAAAGGGGTTCATCACAATCTTCAGGCTGAGGAGAAAGGGTTCTAGTTAAGTGATAATTGAGAAATATTACTGGTGGGACAGTGCTGTGTGCTTGAGGGCACAGAGGAGGCAGGCAGTGGGCCAGGGACCTTTTACTGAAGGATCATTTTTTACATTCTGACAGTAGGAAAAATTGTCTTTGAATTGTTGCTGTGTTTTAAATTCATAGTATTGATTTCCTCTGAGGCAGGTGCSGCTGTAGAAAGCAGCCTCTCACTTGTTCTGCCGCCAGATTCCTGCTGTGGATTATTGACTGCAGGAGAATAATCTTCTCCTGCTCTGCTCCTCTCTGGACTACAGCATTAGACACACCACTCCTCCCTTGGCCCAAGTTCTGCCATATTTCTAATTCCCAAAAGTGCTATTGGGGACATTTCCCGTCTCACAGGACTCCCCTGACCAGCAGCACACACCAAGCCATCCCATTATGGTTGAATTTTGTGTGACTTAAATTTCAGTAATTTTGTGGAGTGGTTTTTATGGAAACATTAGTTGTTGATTCTTTTTCTGGTCTCACCTTTGCTCATTTCAGAGAGTTCTCCTGTTCCGAAACATGGTTACTAAGGAGAAAGAGAAACTGGGGCTTGTGGAAACCAGCTCCGCTTCCCCCCATGTCACTCACATAACTATCCGTCGTTCCCGGATGTTGGAGGTGAGTGGCGAGTCCTGCAGAGGCTGATCACAGAAGTGTGCTCCCATCAAAGAGGGTTTCCGGTGGATGGCCGACTGCCTCAGAACTGTTGTGATCACTTCTTGGTCTCATGGCTCTGAAATCAAGACTCCAAGAGTGGGAAAGGGGTCGTTTCTCCTGTTGACTGCTCAGAACAGCTGCTCAATTAAACATGTCCTCAGGGCTGGGGACCCATAGTGAGGGTCCCTGTGAGGGTCTCTAGCTAGAGCATCAGACTCCTGGTGTCTCTGAAATGAGGACAGATCTCAGCTGCAGCGACCACCCCACCATCCTCAGACTTCATCATCCCAGCAGGTACAGTGCCCAGGCCACTACCTGTGAATACAGCAGAGGGGGAGAGGCTGTGACACACCCACTGAGCCACACAGAGTTGGGGGTCTTTGTAAAAGCATCGTTGCCCTCCTTAGTCCTTAACTCTGGACTCCAGAGTTAAGCAGAGACTTCATATAATTTAGAGCCTGGTACTCTGTCCTCAAGTACTTTACCTGTGTGTCAGGAAATTATAGGATGATTTGTTAGGATGAGAGTGGCAAGGCCTGTGGAAGCCTGTCACAAAGAAATATGCCCTGCAAAACAGGACTCTTAACACTGACTGCAGACTGCTGGAGCACTGTCGTGGTCAGTGGGCCTCCCCGTCACAGCTGTGCTGTCGGAGCTCACCCTCCCCTGGGTCGCATGTGTGCATCCTGCCTGTGTGTGCTGGTCCTGCCAGCAAGGGCACTGATGGCTGAGCTGCCAGTCTCCATTCCCAGGAGGGCTTGGCTTGATTTATTTGCTGTTTGCTCTGTAGACTTTTATCACACTCTGGCCGCAGTTCCTCATTTGCATGTTCTGCCAGAGTGAGACAGTCAAGGGGTCCCACCATAGCCAGGCCACATAGCCAGCCACCAGCACATGGCGTCAAACAGCAGCCCTTCCTCCCATGTCTTTATTTCCTCCAGCAGTGTGTTTGCACCACATTTGTGTCACTCCTTACGAGCAAGCCTACTTTAGCTCCCTGACCGCTGATGATTGACACCAGGAGCGGTTAGAAAAGGCAGTGGGTGTCAAACAGTTGATGTTTTTAACATTCTTAAAAGTAGAGATAAGGAACTTAAGTGCCCACAGGGACCCTGTATGGGTCCTGTGCATGAACAGAGCTGGCCACGGGCGTCTCATCCCAGGATTGTTTTGTTTGCCTGCTGAACAAATGGAAATACCCTCCATTTTCACTCCCATTTTTTCTAAAACATGACCGCTCACTCTGAGCACCTCTACCTAAGGAAAACAACCCTCCCGAGTGACAAGTTTCATCCAGCTTAGTGTCAGGGAGCAGTAGACATGGGTGGGCAAGTGGGAGCAGGTACCTCTCCCCACAGAGGCCCTCTCTGCTCCAGCCTTCCTGGCTCACCACGTGGAGGTGTGGGCTCCAGAATGCTCTGAAGTTTTGAGACCAAAATTCAGGGTTTCATTTGTGACCCTCAGATCTCTTATGCTGTGAACTGATTAGATTCTACCGGGGGCTCAGAAGAACAGATGTTTCCTACTGAACTCAGCCTGTGGCCACCAGTTTTCTGCCTCTGCTTTGGCTTGAAGAAGCAACCTTGTCATGCTACAAAACTCCCTTCTCCAGCACTTCTTTGTCAGACCCAGATGCGGCTCCCCTGGCTGTAGGAGGGTCGTGCCCAGTCAATTGTGGCCAGCACCCACCCCTGGAGGAGTTAAGTRAGACTAGTGTCTCCTGAGAGGGATGAGTTCTTCAGTTCTCTGCTCGAGCCTCCTGGCTCGTAGAAATTCACTCGGCATCCTGGTTCTGCAGGACCCATTTCTTAAAATACGTCCCTCAGAGGGACCAGAGGAGAAAGGCTATCTTAGTTCTAGGCATGGTCCTTTTTCTCTTTCCTTTCCATGAGATCATATTTTGTCATGAAATCCAGTTACGAAAGGAGAGGAGTGTTTATTCAGTCACCCCTTCGTTTTCCTGGTGTGATAGTTTGGTTATTAGCATACGAGCGCCCAGTGGACCTTACTTGATACGGACACAAGGGGGCATCAGGAGGCTGCTGTCAGACTCATGCTGTCCTGAGCTTTTATCCGCCTCCTCCTCCAGAGACTCTGGACGGCCACCTGAGAGGTGTCCAGGGTTAGTCCAGGACCCGCAGGAAGCTCCCCACAGAGTGAGCCTGGGCTGGAGCGCTGGGATTTCAGAACTGGAGAACCTCACGCAGACTCCTCCAACCTTTCCCCTTCCCCTGTCAAAGGCAGAAATGAGGCCAGAGAAATTGAGATTCTCAGTCAAGATCATTTGGGAATCAGTGACAGAGCCAGGCCCGGGAACCAGGTCTCCCTTTCCCAGCTCAGTGTTTTCTGCATCTGCCCATTGAGATGCAGTGGAGAGAGGAGCTCCAGGCTCCCCTCATCTCCCCGGGAGGCATATGTGTCATCTCGCACAAACACCCCAGTTCCTGAAAGGCAGAACTGTTCCAGAGGAGGAGGCTGTGAATTCCTCTCTACAGCTTTTCCTTTTCTTTCTTTCTTTTTTTTTTTTTGTACTGGGTATTGAACCCAGGGATGCTTTGCCACTGAGCCACATCCCCAACCCTTATTTTTTATACCTTTATTTTATTTATTTATTTTTACTTGGTTCTGAGGATTGAACCCAGGGCCTCACCTGCACTAGGCAAGCACCAGGCTAAGCTTTTTGGAAAGAGTGGCTAATGCGGGGCTCACGAAGCAAGCCTGAGGTCTGGATCCAGCAGACGTTCCCGGAGCACGGCCACATGCAGAAGGCGAAGGCCTCCCAGTACCATCCTGGTCAGTCCCTGTGGCCCTGCACACACCTGCTGACGAAGGTTCAGTTAGGAAGCTGGCTTTAAAGCAGAATGGAAAGACCCTGCCACTCCCCAGGACCATGTTGGAGTCTCCCCACCTCCTTCATTCACTGCAGGGCGCAGCTGTCAAGGTGGACACGGTGCTGCTGCAGCTTCACTGCGATGTCCTAGTTCCCCCTTTTTTTCATCTACCTTAATGGTTCTCAGACTTTATATGCATAGAAAGTACTTTTCAAGTATGCGTGCACAAAACTGTGTTCCTATTCCTACTGGTGACCGTTGGGACTTAAGAGGTCATTTCTTCCTGACTCACACTTTGGAGCCTAGGACCCCTGATAGGATTTGAGACACATATAGGGCAGTCCTTTGGATCTCTAAATGAGTATGGCGGGAAGGCACCAAGGGTTCCCCAGAACAAGTCTTGCCATTCTAGCAGATTGCTCTTTTGCATTGTGACCAGGTGAGCAGACTGATAGATGGGTGGATGGCTGGGTGCTGCGGAGATGGTCTGTACAAATGTCAGGAAAGCGTGGGACATGGCTACAGCAGTGACTGTGGCATGGCCTCAGGAGCATGTTAAGGTTGTCTTGTAACTCATTGTGTGACAGTATGTAAAGACATCAGCTTCACTCTGATGATGGGTCCTCTTGTGCTGGGCGTCTCCTTCCCGGGCCCTGTCCTCTGTTTTATAAACACTTCTTTGAAATAAAAACCTCAGCGCTCTGATACGAGGAATTCACTGAATGACCGAGTTAGAAGCTGGGACGACCTCGACAGGTGAGAATCCAGAGAGAGAGAAAACAAAATAGCCCAGTAGGAGAACTCTGACACTCTGTCCTGGGGCCACACTTGCTGAGTTCTGGATGAGGGATATGGGCTAAGTGACTGAGTGACGGCTTTTTTTTTTTTTTTTTTTTTTTTGGTTGTTTGGTTTTTTCCTGGTCCTGGGGATAAAACCCAGGGCCATGCAAGTGCTAAGCCACACTTTATACCACTGAGCTACACCCAGCAGGTGCCTGTGTGTTGAGGGAGCTGACCGCAAGGCAGAGATATGCTGGCGCTTCTCCCCACGGCCCCTGCCCTCACTGATGCCCAGCAGCTTTCCTGTACCCTTGTCTCTGCCTCCCACCTTGTCCTCTGCCATCTGCCTGCTCTGCTGCCAGTAGATCTTTCTTTCTTTTTTTTTTTTTTTGGAATCTTTATTTATTTTTATTTTTTTGTAATGGGGATTGAACTGAAGGACACTTGACCACTGAGTTACATTCCCAGTCCTTTATTTTTTTATTTTATTTTTTTTAAGAGAGAGAGAGAATTTTAATATTTATTTTTTAGTTATCAGCGGACACAACATCTTTGTTTGTATGTGGTGCTGAGGATCAAACCTGGGCCGCGCGCATGCCAGATGGTCGCACTACCGCTTGAGCCACATCCCCAGCCCCGCCAGTAGATCTTTCTAAAACAGAAAACCAGACTCTCTCTTTCTCTCTCTCTCTCTCTCTCTCTCTCTCTCTCTCTCTCTCTCTCTTTCTCTCTCTCTCTCTCTCTCTCTCTCTCTCTCTCTCTCTCTYTCTYTCTCTCTCTCTCTCTCTCTCTCTCTCTCTCTCTCTCTCTCTTTCTCTCTCTCTCTCTCTCTCTCTCTCTCTCTCTCTCTCTCTCTCTTTCTCTCTCTCTCTCTCTCTCTCTCTCTCTCTCTCTCTCTCTCTCTCTCTTTCAGTTGGTTCTGGGGATTGAATCCAGCGGTGCTTTCCCACTGAACCACATCCCCAGCCCTTTTGATTTTTTTCTTTTTCATTTTGAGACAGGGTCTCACCGAGTTGCTTAGGGCCTCACTGAGTTGCTGAGGCTGACTCTGTACTTGCAGTCCCCTTCCTCAGCCACCTGAGCTGCTGGGATTACAGGCGTGCATTGCTGCACCTGACTCAGCCTTGTTTCTTCCTGACTAAATTCTTTGCCCCCCCCACCACCCCAGTTGCCCTCAGGATATAACCTTGATTCCTCAGCAAAATTCACAAGGTCCTGTGTGATCTCAGGAAAAGCACCAGAGCTGAGCGACGTGGGAACTGCATTTTTCATTTTATAGTGTTTCATAAGTTTAGATTTTTGCCCATGAACTAAAAGATACTCTTAGCATTAAAAGGAAAGAGAGAACTATCTTGTGCCAGTTTTTTCATCCTTTGTCTGATGGCCAAGAGCTTGTCATGACTCATTTTGTCTAATTCCCTGTCTGGCTGCTGTGTGTCCTCTTGAGGGCAGTCTCCCCTGGCCAGAGAGCAAAGCCATCACATCCTCCTAATAGATCTTTCCTTTTAGCAGGCTCTCATTCAAAAGCCAGCGAGGACCGTTCTTCCCGTGTCCTGCAGTTCCATCGGGAAAGCTTCCTGCAGGGGGGAGGAGCCCTGAACTGTGCAGCAAGCCGTGGGTTCCTAAGAGCCGCGGTTCTGTCTTGGCAGGATGGCTATGAGCAGCTCCGGCAGCTCTCCCAGCACGCCATGAAGGGCGTGATCCGCGTGAAGTTCGTCAACGACCTCGGGGTGGACGAGGCTGGGATCGACCAGGATGGCGTTTTCAAGGAGTTCTTGGAAGAGATCATCAAGAGGGTGTTTGACCCAGCACTTAATCTGTTCAAGGTGGCTGGGGCTGCGGGTGGGGTTGGCAGCAGCCAGACCTGGGATGAGAAATGAGAACAGGGCACTGACCTCTGCACCCCCTGTCCTTTTGCTTAACAGACCACCAGTGGGGATGAGAGGCTGTACCCCTCGCCCACATCCTATATTCACGAGAATTACCTGCAGCTCTTCGAGTTCGTGGGGAAGATGCTGGGGAAGGCTGTGTATGAGGTAGGCACAGTAGGGAGCGGGAGACAGCATGGGAAACGAGGTGTGAGAGGACAGGGGCTTCACGTACATCCATGTTGTCAGCCCCGCTATGGGAACAGCCTGTCATCAGGGTGGATTCCAGGAAAGGGGCAGGAACCAGGGGGTTGACATAAATGCTGGGTTTCTGCATGTGTTGTCTCTTCGAATCCTCAGCAGCCCTGTGTTGTGCTCTGCGTCCTCTTTATTGAAGGATGAGAGGACTGAGGCTTGAGAAGCCCTTGTCCAGATGGTGGTAGGAGCAGAATTCGACCCAGGCCAGCTCCGTTCCCTGAGGTGTGAGGGGTGATGTGCCGAGCCCGACTGCCCTGGGAAGCTTGGTCTGTGTTGTAGGAAAGCAGCATTTTATGGGCTTTGATAGTTTTTTGGTTTTGGTTTTGTGGTGCTGGGGATGGAACCCAGGACCTTGTATGCTAGTGATTACTCCCTACTGCCGAGCGACACCTCCAGCCCAGTTTTTAAATCTTTTATGATTTGAGCAAGTACTGCAGAGCCACCCAAGGCTCCTGGAGTTGGCCTGCAGGCTTGAGTGAGAAGGCTGGGTGTGCCTGTGGTCCCAGGATTGGGGCCCTCTGTAGTGAGTTAGCACGGGTGAAGCCCTCCCCTCCTTCAGCGCCAGCACCCTACCCTGGCCCCTTTATCATTGAGAGGAATCCTGAGTTTCTGCTGCTCAGGCTCCTGGGGTAAGGGCTGTGGTGGCTTCTGCTGGCTTCAGGGGAGGCCCCCGCACAGCTCCTGATCCCCATCTGTTGACAACAAGTCGGGAGAGGCTGGACTTTCTCCAGCTTTCTCTAGGCTTTGAGAGACCTGCTCCCCAGGAGGGAGGATAATTCAGCAGCAGCCAGTCTTTTTGGCCTCATCACAAGCCCTGGCCCTGGGGAGCTTGGTGTGGCACAAAGACGTGAGCTGCCCGAGCTGCCTCATCTCCCCCGTGACTCTAGACCACCACCCTCGACAGCTGGGCAAGTTGCGGGAGGGAGGCCTCATGGGGAAACTGCTTTGACTCCGTGCCTCTGTTCCACCTCTCTCCTTGAACACCTCTGTGGTCCCAGACCCCAGCCATCTGAGTCCCTGTGCAGACACCATCCAGTCCTCCTGCCCTGTGCTGGGGGGTGGCCTGGGTTTTCTTTGCCTCTTATTCCTTGTCTGCAAAATGGGAGCAGTTACTCAGTGGCTTCCCATCTTAAAAACAGACATTAGAGGCCACCTGGGCACATGCCATGACTTTGCTTGTAGCTAATCCAGGCTAGCCAAGAAGCTGGGCCTCTGCCTTTTCTGAGCAGCCTCCCCATGTCCCAGGCCTCACCTGTGTCGCCTTCTCCCTTCCCTCTGACAGTCACAGCAGTGATGAGATCAGTTAGATCTCATCAGGTCATTGTCACAATCTGAGTGACCCTACCTTCTGAATCTCTGCAGTCCACATGCCTCTCTCCATTCCTTTCAGCCTTTGTCAGAGTTCAGTCTGTACATGTTTCTTGTGGCATTATACAGTGGCTGCCCAGCTGTGTCCCTGCCTCCTGTCCTCCTCCAGTCCATTTCCCACGTAAAGTGCAAACCTGTCATTTCCCTGCTTGGAGCCTAGAGATAGAACACAGATGGCAGTGAGCTTACAGGGCCTTCCTGTCTGGCCTCGTGGCTCGCCTGCCCTCCCCCCAGGCAGGGCTGTGACCAGATAAACCCACACGGCGTGCCTGTGGCCTCACACGAGGGCCTGGCGCTCCTCTAGTCCTAACTTAGAATCTCCTCTTCCTGGAAGCTTCCCTGCCAGCATCTGAGAGCTTGTCTCTGTGCCCTCTGCCTGTGCCCACGGCCCAGCTCTGTCCCTGCAGCTGCAGAGAGCCTGGCAGAGGTTGAGGCTGTGCTTCAGTGCTGTACTGAGAGACTTACTCTGAGCCCATTCACAGTAGAGAAAGCCAACACATGGCCTGGCGTGGCCAAGCTGGGATCTCATCCCTGGGCTGTGTGGCTTCAAAGCCTGCACTCGAAGTCCCCAGGGGCCCTCAGCTGTGTTTGTTAAATGATGGAGAGGCATAGCTCTCCAGTTGAAGACTGAGGTGGGACCTAGAGATGCTATAGTCTGGTCACTGAGCCAGAATCCTGGATAGTGAAGTCACAAGTTTCATGTCTTTTGTCCCACAGGGAATCGTGGTGGATGTGCCCTTCGCCTCCTTCTTCCTGAGCCAGCTGCTCGGGCACCACCATAGCATCTTCTACAGCTCCGTGGATGAACTTCCCTCTCTGGACTCAGAGTTCTATAAAAACCTCACCTCTATTAAGGTTGGTGCAGAATGGCTGGTGACTCAGCCAAGCTCCCAGGGCTCAGCCTCACCCTGACGTCATGGTCTCTCCCTGTAACTGCTGGGGGCCCCACTTCCTCTTCTGGCACCCCGTCTCAAGGGGTGATGAGTGGCCCTCGCTCCCAGCTGGTTGTTAATGTTGCTCTAGCAGCACCTCAGGGAAGGCTCCTGGAACTCTTCGAGAGGCATAGGCCTCCTTGACTCTGACATCTCCCCTTCTCTGTTCCCTTAGCGCTATGATGGGGACATCGCTGACCTGGGMCTGACACTATCCTATGATGAGGACGTCATGGGTCAGGTAGGTTACCTTCCTGACTGGCCTCCTTCCTGCCCTCCATGGGCTTCCTGAGACCCGCCCAGCTTGTGATTCCCTCAGAAAGACATCCAGGAACCAAGGTCTGCCCATTAGCTGGTCTCTTGTCCCCTCCCACATCCCTTCTCCCACCTGGTCAGGTGGGAAGGCTCCCCCTTTCCTTCCCTGTGGACCTTGTGTGCTCATCCCTTGAGGAGGTCCCCACACTTAATGTTGCTTTTCCACGCTGAGGACTGGCCATTGCAAAGGGAGCTTTATGGCCTGAAGCTGGGAGATGCCACCAAAGAAGTGTCTCCAGGAGCAGCCCTGTCCTTGTTTGCATTCATTAAGAGGAAGAGGAAATCGTGGCATTGGGCTTGTTCCTGCCACAGATGCTCCTTTTGGCTTGTCTCTGAAGTGTCCTCTGCCCATTCCAGTAGTGTCCAGTGGAGACACCTGTGAGGCTCTCTGTGCACAAGGTCTGAGGGCTGCTCTGGAGACACACCATGAGCTAGTTAGTGCAGAGCTGGCTTCTTGGACTTGAGGCTTGTGTCACCTCAGAGAGGTCACTCCATGTCCCTGAGCCATATTTTGCTTATCTTGCAAAAGTATCATCTACCAAACATGAATCCTGACTGGACTGTGGGAGCCTGCATGCCCACCCTCCCCGCAGAGGCCCTGAGCATGCTGCTGGGCAAGGGTCTCAGGAGCCTGGGAGACCGGAACCCTGGTTCTGTGTGTGGGCCTTCAGTCCCCACAGTCACTTGGCCACTGAACTCTTCTTTGAAAGAAAGAAGTTGCTGTCTAACAGAATGATTCTCCCAGCTGGCTTTCAGTCAGGGTGTTCCCTAAAACCCTCTGTGGGAAACAGGTGAAACGTGACCCAGAAATTCAACTGTAATATGAACATGAAGATAAGAACCACCTAGAACACAGAGCCTGGAGGGGCTCCCTGCAGGCCTATGTCCCCCCTGGACTTTTTCCCATGGGCATATATATGAGTATTTTTTCACACCATGTATACTGGCATACCGTCTGTTTGTCCCTTTTCAATAAATATACACTCCCCATCTCTTTTAATAGCTGCACAGTATTCCCAAGTGTGGTTTACCAATATTTATTTAACATCCTGCCGGGGCCCACCAGATTTTCTTCTGTGACATGCCGCAGCCTTCATACAAATATTGAAAGATCAGACGAGAAGAACACTTTTATATTGCCGTGCAGTTGATGTTTAGCCTGAAGGTTTTGTGAGAAATGATCGCTACCAAACACATACCATCTTAATTCCATCATTATTATGGAYTTTGGTGTCGGGCCCTTTCAGCTTTACTTCCACATTAGAATTCTCTCTAGTAATTACTCCATCTTCTCCCCAGCTTGTTTGCCATGAACTGATTCCTGGAGGGAAGACCATTCCTGTTACAAATGAAAATAAGTGAGTATAGCAATTAGATTTTAAGGTCACCACTTGAAAAGACTTCATTCTGGCTCTCTGGGCTTACATGAGAATTTATTAAGATAGATTGAAGTAGAAGGAGGCCATAAATATCATAATGGAATTTACTGGTTACAGTTCATAGGCCAGAATTGTATTAAATTCGATTTGCAAAATAAGAATTGACGATTTATTTTTTGCGGTAGCTCTTCTAAGGTCAGGGGCACCCAGGCCATGGCGTTGGTGGGAGTGTGATGGTAGCCCTGGGTGCAGTCAGAGGAGTTCTGAGGCACACGCTCCTGAACCTGGAGTGCACAGAGGCAGGGATACCTTGGAGAGACAGCTCACACTGGGGAATGACAGCCTGTGACAGTTGTAGAAAATGCTGTTCTTGAGAAGACGCAGTGATGAATTCAGATGCAGCAGACACGTACTTAGACATGGGGGACCAAGGGAGAGCTGAGGCCCCGAAGCTGTTGTCTCAGATAACGTGCTTTTTAGGAATCTGTCAGAAATGTCAAACCTTTGGGTCCCTAGAAGCAAAATCCCTCAGTGCACTCTCGTCCACCCAGCCCTGTTCTTGCCTAATTAAACAGTGGGACCTGCCAGGAGGAGTAGACGTCGGCCCTCTTGTCAGTCTTCGTGCCATCTCAGCTGGGATTGAACTGTTAATCTGGGCATGAGTCTCTTCAGTGACAGGTGAGGGCTCAGTCCCACCTGGTGAGTCATCTGGATCGGATGGCTGTTACAGCCCAGTGTTCCCAAGCATCCTGTTCTCTCAGATTAGGTGCTTCCGTCAGTCTGCATGTTTGGGGAATTTTTTATCTCAACTGTCAGAATAGTCAGAAGAACAGACTCCTGATTCATCATGATTGAAATACACCAGCTTTGCCGCTTGGCCACGGGGCACCAGTTTGAAAACTTTGAAAGAACCAAGAGCCCAGGTTGAAGGGACTTCCCTGGGGAGGAGACTGGACCAGACTGGAGAGTCACCAAGAGCAGGGGGTCCTGGTCCTGCCTGCACGCCACCTGTAACCATTTCTTGAGAGGCTACCTGAGAAATGTCTGCCTACAACAGCTTCCAGAATGTCTGGCTGAAAAGAAAGACTTGTCAGTGACAGCCATGGTCACATGGTATGGGTTGGGGTGTGGCCCCCCAGGGGGCCACCTTTGCTGGGAGCCATAGCATAGGGACAATGGTTTGAGCTGTGTGTACACGTGGCGTACAGACACTGGCCAAGAAGGTAGGTCTGTGCAGGCTGAGTTGGAGTGAGACTCCTCCCTTGCTGTGAAGCCTAACGTGAAACTCATTTCACCAACTCCTGTGTTCTAAGCCTGAAGCCTAAGTCTGCAGACTGACCAGAAACTTCCCCTGCTCACTTACTGGGTGTTGAAGTCTCCCATGCTCCCGCCTTCACCCGCCCCAGAAACTGAAACAGTATCAGTAGCCTGCTTCACAGACTGCCTGGGAGGAGTGGCAGTGATAGGAAGACTCATATTTTAATGTGTGAGTGTTCAGGTGTGCTACCAGATTTTTTAAAATAGGAATGTTTTCAGTGTTATTGTCTCACACCTGAGCATGATGGGGCAAAACCAATTTATTTGAACTATGCTTACTTGCAATTTGTGAGAGTCATAGCTGGGCTGGATTCATGTTCTTTAAGCCCTGAGTCACTGGTGCCAGCCAGCTTGTTGGAGTACATTCAGCCTGCTCAGATCACCCCCTGCGGTGCTGGATGAACCAGGTGTTCATAAACGCCAACCCGTGAGACCCCCTCAGCTGGGCAGTTGCTCTGATTTCCAGGTTGAACTGAGGTGTAACTTGACTGCATCTGTGGGAAGTGTCCTGCAGGTCTGCCTTCTCATGACTTTAGACTCTTGGGCCGGATCAGCAAGTTTGCACTAAGGTTTCAACATGAAACCGTTTAAGGTTTGTTGCAGAACTTAATCATATCATACTTGGTTGTGTCCAGGAGGCTGAGATTAAATAGAAGTCCAAAAAGTACCTTTGGTACAAAAGGACCCTCTTCTTACCTGTGAGAATCTCACTTCAATTCCTGATGTAGTGGGAGGGGCCTCCGGGTGAGTGAATGGGAGCATGCCCTTGGGTGCACTCAGAGTGGCACAGAGTGTACTGTTCAGGAGAACTGTCACCATGGTTGTCACTGTTACTGGTCTGGAGAAATGCTCTGGTGTTTTTTGTGTTTTGTAAGATGGTTCAGAAATGACCAGACTCATCCTTGAGTGCATTGATTACAGCCTGCCATGTCCTCTAATTCCTGTTCTTTTCTCTTCCTTGTTAACAGAATTAGTTACATCCATCTGATGGCACACTTTCGAATGCACACCCAAATCAAAAACCAGACAGCCGCCCTCATTAGTGGTTTCCGTTCCATTATCAAACCCGAGTGGATCCGGATGTTCTCTACCCCTGAGCTGCAGCGTCTCATCTCCGGTGACAACGCAGAGATTGATCTGGAAGATTTAAAGTAAGGGTGGTGGGAAGGGAAAGCTGAAATTCTTAGGCCTTCTAGAAGGCAAGCAGTTCCTTCACTGGGTTCCTCTTGGAGAGAATTCCAGAGCCCCTTGCCACACTGCCACCTCCTCCCTGCACTGGTGGGGCCGCTTTGGAGGAAAGCCCACCCACGTGTCTGCCCAGGTACTAGGCTTTCCGGAGCTCTAGAGCATGGTGTCCTGGGATCTCAGGTGGCTTCCACTGGGCTTCTGGGATTCTCTGTGCCCGTCGAGCTTCCAGGGAGCTGGGGTCACCAAGGCGTGAACTTGTGCTCTGCCGAGGCTTGCTGTGCGGCTGTGCCACTCGCCTGCGTTGCCCTGCCTGCCTGTGTTGACGGTGCCGACTGCGTGCTGCTGAGCCCTCTCTGGTTGTTTTCAGGAAGCACACGGTGTACTACGGTGGCTTTCATGGAAGTCACAGGGTCATCATCTGGCTCTGGGATATTCTGGCCTCTGATTTCACACCTGAGGAGAGAGCCATGTTTCTGAAGGTACTTTATTATTACCTGTATTTTATTATTCCTGGGGGCATGGATAGTCTCATAAACCCAGGGCAGCTGATACCAGTTTACACTGGAACAGGTGGGATTTTAGGAGGACCTCATGTCACCAGCTCCTCCTTTCCCCAGGCAGCCTACCAAGCAGTAACCAGAGAGGGGTTTAGAGTCGAGGCCTGTGGAACAGTCCCTGCACGGGCCACCAATGTACCTTCTGGGCTCAGGGCTTCCTCTTCCCTTCATCTGCGCTGGCCTCGCTGACATCATTTTTCCTTTTTCCTTTCAGTGTAGAAGTAAATGACGCTTATTACCTTAAGGAAAGACGGACAAGGGATGTTTAAAAAGCCCTACAGTCCTGAACAGTCCAGTAATGTAGGATTTTAAATGGTCTACATTCCTGCCTCCCCAGGATGACCTCTTTGTCCCCTTCTTCTCAGTAGTGAAACATGTACATGCAACACACTCGGTGTCCCCAGGGAACACTCTCCTCAGTCTGGTATCAGTATATATTTTGCAAACAGAGGGACTGACCTTGGCCAGTTCCCTGCTCTGGTGCCTGTGAACATTGGGAATGCTCACAGTGTTCCCTCCAGGCCCACCGCACTGTGTTTTGGTAACTGACATCCGCAGAGTGTAGGTGCTTTAGAACACTGGGTGGCACACAGACTTGTTCTGTGTTATGTAGGTATGTTTTTATGAAAACGGAGTCATTGTTTGGCTTCCTGTGTTTCTGTCTGGCAGCATACTGTGAACACCTTGCCAGACTCTGGCAGTAAATTAAGTGCCTTGAAATATTTTCCTCTAGGCATTTGGGTCTCAGTCAGTCTTTAGTTTTTAATATTTTTATTAGTTATTGATGGACCTTTATTTATTTATTTGTTTATATGTGGTGCTGAGAATTGAACCCAGTGCCTCACACATACTAGGCAAGTGTTCCACAACCCCAGCCCCTCTCAGACAGTCTTGTGTGGCCCCATTGGTGAGGCTTGTGGCACTGTCGCCACCAACTCAAATGGCTGCTGGTCGGTCCGTTTCAGGGAAAGTTCATTCCTGCTGAGACCTTCCCACCTACTCCATTCTCATTCAGGGGCTCGGGACWGAAGGCGGACATGACTCCAGAAGTTGACTCTGGGAGCTTTGGCTCACGTTCCCATGCTTTGGCTTCCGGTGTGCGGGGCTTCACGCCCTGCCTCTTCTGGGGAGAGGACAGCCGGGGGCTCTTTGCTGTGCAGTCACTGGCCCACACTGTGGGCATGAGTGTGCGTTTGAGTAGCCTGTCACCAGACCTGCACTCCTGGTTGCGTGTGAGCCTCCCTCGCAGGGACTGCACACAGGCTGCAGAGCCAGGTGGGGGAAATGGGACTTGCACTCTGCAATGATGGGACTCTGCGTTTTGCTTCTCTATTTTTTTTTTTTTTTTGTACTGGGAATTGAGACCAGCCATGTTTTACCGATGAGCTATACTCCCACCCTTTTTTTAAATTTTATTTTGAAACAACTTCTAAGATGCCCAGGCTGGCCTTGAATTCATACCCCAGCCTCCTGAGTCACAAGGATCACACTTGTGCACCACCGCGCCCGGCTGACTGTGTGTCTTTTAACGTTGTTAGAGCCGAATACCAGGGCCTTCCTGTGGCAGCCAGCCCCGGCTTGCAGCAGGCAGCAGTGCTGAGCCCCCCTGGCTGGATGTGCGGATGCTGTGTGTCCCTCATCCTTAGCACAGGACCACCTGCATTCTGGAAGTGCAGTGTCCCTGGAGTGAGGGGATGAGGTTGTGTTGGGAGTGCCTGGGACAGCATGGGGAGACAGCAGGGAAGCACAGCAATGCAGTCCACATACGAGCAGCAGCAGCTGCTRTGGTAGTTTTATAGATAAAACAGAATAGAAATATATTCAAGACCTTTACCCATTTGAAGTATGACATACATAAAACTGTCTTTGCATGATCTCAGGAATCTCACAACCCTGCATTACGTTGTTTAAGTGGTCATATTTATAAGACCCAAACTCCAAAATGGCCACTGAATTTTGGAGCCAGGCTTGGTGTCATAAGTAGCCTATGCCTGTATCCTCTAGAAAATAGCATTTTGATCACTGTTGAATTAAGGAGGGGCCAGTTCCCTCATGGACTTCCAGGTTGTTCTGATGCATCTGTCCAGACAGGAGCCAGTGCGGTTGGGGCTCTAACACAGGTGCTGCTGTCTGGAGAATGCCTGGAGTCTGGGCTGTGGAGGGAAGTGTGGCTGCCCTCCGAAGGGCCCACAGCCAGTGCCGGGTACCCTGTCCGCTCCTCAGCCTTGCTGGCTCCAGAGCCATGGTCCTTCCCAGTGTGCTAAGAGCAGATGAGTGTCTTGGAGGGGGACCGCAGAGCCCCACTCAGACCACTGTGCATGCCAGCAGGCCAGAGCATTCAGGTGAGCAGCCCACRGTCTCCTTGTGTGGCTGAGAACCCAGCAGGACACTGAGGGTGTCCATTGAGTGCCATTGAGTAAAGCACTGGTACCACTCACACCAGGCTGCCCAGCTCTGAGGCCCCAACTCGGGGGCACCCACGGAGCACCATCAGTTTCAGCCTGGCCCTTCTCAGTGCTGCCATTGTATGGTCTAAGGAAGGGTGTCGGTCACCATTCTGTTCCTGGCTGCGTGACAATCTTCTTTGAGCCCTGCCTCCTGGGGATGTCACACCAGTTTCCTGAGTGGGAGTTGGCGCTGTTCCTAAGCTCCCTTTAGTCACCCGTCCTCCCAGTGCTGTCTGGTGAGGAGGATTTCATGTGCTTTCATCCCAGAGAGCAGCACCCTGTCACCCCTCCCTTGGTTCAACAGTGGTCAGTGATGCAGTGACCAAGAGGGTACACGTGCCCAGGTGACTGGGAGCAGGTGCTCCTGTGCCCTCTGACCCCAGCTTCTCTTGCAGTTTGTGACCAGCTGCTCCAGACCCCCGCTCCTGGGATTTGCCTACCTCAAGCCCCCTTTCTCCATCCGCTGCGTAGAAGTGTCTGATGATCAGGTACCGCAACGGGGGAAAGAGCTGTCTGGGGCGCTGCTCMCTGACCTCCCCCTGGTCTGCTGTGTTCGCTGTGTGGGGCCCTCCCCTGCTGTGCACGTCAGCAAGGTGACGGCTGGGCTCCTGGGAGCTGGTGAGGTTTCAYAGGTCTCATGGCCTGAGGGCCAGAGGCCGCCCGCAGACCTAGGCTGCGGTGGGACCCAACCATCTGGAAGTCCTTTCTCTCCCTTCCTTGGTGATGGGCACCTGGGTGGAGGTGGGGACGTGCTGTTTTTAGTGGCTGCTGGTCTGGCCAGGGCTCCATGTCTGAGGGGCAGTGTGGGTGAGGACGGATGCTCAGGACGTGGACAGGTACAGGCTAGCACACCGGCTTCTCTGCCTGCTGGCCATATGTATCTGGGCAAGTGGCCTCATTTCTTTTGCTGTTGAAAAAGAGTGGCCTGGGGTCAGCTGCTCTGTGTCGTGAGTCTGCCCACTGTGTGTGTCTAATGGGATCCCATTCCATAAAAGCCCCGTGGCCTCTGGGTGTGGCCGCTTCTCCTCATGCACAGTCTGAGCACCTGTCCCTTCTTCATGTAGGACAGATGCAGTCCTCAGCCTGCATACGTAAGGGAAAGCTGATGCACGTTCTCGCCTGCCATGGGCCACAGTCCTGGTGAGGCCAGGCAGGAGATGTCAGTCTGCATTTAGAAATGTTCTGCTCCCAGGCACTCCCAACACAACCTCATCCCCTCACTCCAGGGACACTGCACTTCCAGAATGCAGGTGGTCCTGTGCTAAGGATGAGGGACACACAGCATCCGCACATCCAGCTCCCTAGAGTAATTGTGCAGTGTTCTGCTCTTTGAGAATTGGCTAAGTGGTCATCGGCCGGCAGCAGAGGGCCCATTTCTGAGAGCTAAGTCAGAAGGATTCCCCTGGAGCCCTGGGAGCTGGGCCTGCTTCCGGATCCTCGGCCTCTCAACTCGGTTGTCCTGAGTTTGGGGCTTGACCTAGGGCAGTGTTTTCCCGCCCAGAGGACAGCACCCATTTCTACCCCAGTACTTGGGGACTGCCCAGGTCCCCTCCCTGCTATGGGCCCTGCCAGGTGCCTCTCGACCCAGGACTATGGTGTGTGCTTACAGGACACTGGAGACACCCTGGGCAGTGTCCTTCGGGGCTTCTTCACTATCCGCAAGCGGGAGCCCGGGGGCCGCCTGCCCACCTCCTCCACCTGCTTCAACCTGCTCAAGCTGCCCAACTACAGCAAGAAGAGCGTCCTCCGGGAGAAGCTGCGCTACGCCATCAGCATGAACACGGGCTTTGAGCTTTCCTAGCTCCCACCCAGCCCTGCCCGCCTGCCCTCTCGGGCTCCTGGAGGCAGCACACCCTGGGAACAGGAGCAACACACCAGGTGACATCGGCCCCCAAACCCTCTATAGCCATGAGGCTCCCCTGTGGCCTCAAGAACTCTAGATGCACAGGGTGATGCTACCAGCGCTCTCGGCAATGCCAAGGAGAAGGGGGTGTGGAGAATAAACCTCCCGATTCTGCCTACGTGGGTCCTCTTTCCTACTTTCCAGGGGCCTGAGGCCCAGGCCTGGTGATTGCAAAGGGGCTTCTTTTTGATAGTTTGGTCTCTTTGGAGTCTTTCCCCTCTTAACCCTCTGAGTGAGCTGCGTGTGGAGCAGCCCCAGGAACTGAGTCTGGAGTGGTTTCATGGGTCTGAGCACACGACGCCCCTACACAGGAGATCCTCTCCTTCCTTTCTGGGAACCCTACTCAGGTAAGGCCTTGCCAAGCCTCTATGCACCCCACAGAGTCTCTGCCCAGGCGCCTGGGCCCAGCTGCTGCCCCAGGAGGCCCAGAGCACCGGGAGTCCAGGTGCTCCCAACTCCCAGCTGAAGCCACACGCCCGCGCGGCCTTCCYGGGAGTCCTCAGCAGGCCGCTGTTAGGGAGCCTCGCTGGCGGGCTCCTGTCCTATGCATTCACCTGGCCTCCTGGCTTGGGAGAGAGCCCACTGGCCCTGAGAGCTGCTTCGTTCTGTTGCCCACGGCTGTCACATGGCCTTCTTGGCCCAGAGGTCCATGGCTTCTTCCCTGCTTCCCGGCCCACTTGTTACCTAATGAGGAAGCACACCCTGGCCTAAGGGACTCCTCCCATCGGCAGGGGCAGTGGCTTTGCTCCTGAGCATCTGGGTCCTGCCGCCCCTCGTCCTCGGCAGGGAGCGCAGCCTGTGCACTGAGGGCTCGGGAGGCGAGGATGTCACTCACCTCTTCACCGCCTCTGTGTGGACTTCCCTGTTTCCTTTCTGTTTCCATTTCATTTTCTTACTTCATTTCCTCTTCCAGCTGCTGTGCTCCTCTGCCTGCCTCTCCCCTTTATCCCGAGAACTTTCTCCAGATCCAGGGAATTGAGGCCAAGGCCCTGTGAGTGGTCTGTGGTGACAGCCCCCCACCCTCCCACCTCCTCACGTTCCTCTTGCGTCCCCACCACCCAGTTGAAGCCAGAGTAGAAGCCAGGAGCACCCGGGCCCTCTGCTCCAGGCGCTGGCTTAGTGCCGACCCGCTCAGCGCCATCCTGCACATTGGTAGCAAAGCAGGCACGGCCTTCTCCCGGCACCTGCCCGCCCTGAGGGTTTCCGCAGGTGCTGCTTCAGGCCTGCAGGAGCCCCGGGCTTCTGGGGGACAGGCTTCTGGGGGACGGTGTGTGCTTCACTTTGGTGAAAAGGTGGTGGGGAATTTTAAGACACAAAGTTGTCATCATGGCTTAAGACTAGTTGGTGATCTCTGTTCCTGTGGACCTGATGCCTTCAGAGCTGTGCCCTGTTTGTGGAGGTGCTGGGTGGCGTGTCGCCTGCCCAGGGAGACGGGGCCCACCTTGTTTGCACTGAGAACCAGAGTAGGGGCTTGAAGAGTGGTCCATAAGCACCAGTGTCAACTTCACGTGTTTGTGTGACGAGGAGGGTACTTGGTGGTTCCACTTAAACGTTCCTCCTCAGCAGCTGGGACATTGCACTATCTAAAACACTGAGTCTACTTTTATAGCTGGTGTCACTGGCACCTTGATGGCTCTTGATGGCTCTAAAATGTTGTGGGTCTTTGTTTTTGTAGGTAACTTATTAAGACATGTCAGAGGCTTTATTAAATTTGTACTTGAGCACATGATGCCTGTTGTGCTTTTTATCTAGCCGGGTGCCTGGGTGGCTCAAGAGGGTCGCTGGGCCCCAGAAGCACAAACATCCCACATGACGGGAAGACGCCTGGTAGGAGCGTTGGCCCCTTGTCCTGCCTACCTCCAGTTCTGCTAGCGGAGGTGACCCGTGCAGAGGAGCACCCTCAGGGCCTGTTCCTCTGCCTCCTTCCTGAAGGCCACCATCACCCTGGACTGGGTGTGTGTCCTTGCAGTGACAGAAACTTACAAAAGCTGAAATGCTTGTTGAAAAAAAGTCCAGACACCTCAGGTGCAGGCGGGCTGAGATTTGGCAGCCTCTCCCRGGAGCTGCCCAGCCAGGCCCGTGCTCGCTGCCCTCCCCTGTGCCGCCCGCGCTCAGCCCAAGGAGCCTGTTCTAACCTGTGGCTTTCCTGACTCTGTTTGGGTGGCTCCTCCCCTCACCCGGCTCTGGATCCCAGCGAGTTCTCTCTGCCCTCCTGGCCGGGGAGCACCTCAGGACTGGACACCCGGGCAGGGCCTCGAGAGGCAGGCGCCGCCCTCCCCAAGGAGTGTTCTCCCACAGAACATCAGCACCTGGTGGGAAGCAGCTGCAGAGCCCCCGACACGGCAGCAGCTTCCAGTCAAAAGCCCGCCTCTATTCTGTCATGCTGGGGCTTCCCTTGCAAGCCATCTCTGCAAAGAGGAAGTTTGTCTTCCTAACTGGGGAAAATGAGTGGGGTTTTGTCTCAGTATGCTGACGGGACTATAGTGCCTCCCAGCAGCCAGGCAGAACACAGTTTGAGAACCGCTGGCCCCGCTGTGGCCTGAGGTGGCCGTGTGGGCGAGCGGGTGGGCACTCTGGGAGCTTGGTTAATGCATAAATCCAGGGCACCCTTAGGTCTCAGGATTACTTCCTGGAACTTCTTAAAACTTCTTAAATTCACCTAAAAACTTAAGTCGCTCTTCAAACTCCAGAATGACTGAGAGACTCTAGAAAATGGTTCATTCCGTGCACTGGGCCTGGAGTCAGAGAGGTGCAGACCTCCTCCCCACTCCTGGTCCCACGACCTGCAAGCCCAGCTCAGTGCTGTTGCCTTATGCCTTGGGCCTGATCAGGAGCGCTGGAGTTGGATCAGGTAGATGTAAGACTGCCCAACTCAGTTCCTGGGCCAGACGAGCGTCTCCAGGACAGTCTTCCTGCCCCTTCTCCCTTCAGGAGGCCCGGGCTGCCGTGGCCCTGTCCATCAGGCTCTGACCACGCCTCCAGGGCAGCTCTCGTCGCTACCCCCAGCCACAGCAGAGCAGTGGAGAAAGTCCTCTGTGATGTCTCCTTGGGATTCATGAGGACGGAGGGACGTCACACCCCTCCCTGCACTGCCCACGGCATCATCTGAGTGGACACATAAGCAGGGGCGCTTCGGCCCAATGCAGGCTCGTGCGGCCCTGGGGCGCCTCACTGCTGCCCCCCACACCCTCGGGTTAGATTGACATAGAAGATGCTGAGCTGAGGCTCAGGCTGGACCCCCTGCTTCCCAGCCCTTGGAGCAGGGGTCAGAATGAAGTCGTTTCCATATTGCCCTCGTCTGAGCTGACATTTGTTAAGACGTGTGCGTAACAGCACGCTCTGGCTCCAGAGCACCCGCTGAGGGTTCGGGTGCGCAGGCCTCAGAGCAGGGCATCTGGAGCACCCGCAGCTGGCTCCTGGGCAGGCCCTGCTCCTTGCGCTGCCCTTTCCTCTCCCATGAGCAGGCCCAGTGGCAGCCACCATGCGGCCATGCTGTGACAGTAGGAAAGGGCCAAGAAGCCCCGGCTGTGCTATTGGTAGGCCGCCAGTGATCGTAGCTGCCAATACTGTCACCAGTACTGTCATCACAGGAGCCAAATAGACATCCTCTCTGCTTTGTTTTTCCCATGCCTTGGTGGGACAGCAGGACGTCCTGGGGAGCTTCTGCCGAGCTCCACTAAATCCCAGGTTTGTGGGTCCCCTGTGCCTTAGCCCTGCTGTGCCCTGAACTCCCAGCACCTCTCCTTCATGCTTCTCCAAGACCCTGGCAGCCAGTGGTCCTGAGGTCCTCGGGAGGRGAGCAGGGTCCTGGGGCAGTTGACAGACCTCCCACCAAGGCAGCAGGACAGTCCCCCAGTGACCACGCCAGAAACCCCRTGCTCCAAGGTGGCAGTGGAGGAGGCAGAGGCTTGAGCCCCACTGCTGAGAGTTCTGCTCCGGATCCACAAATGTCCCTGTCACAGCTCTGTGAGCAGGGCCGCGGCAGGCCTCCTTCTCTGAGGGCCTCTTTCTAAGGCTGGTGCTTTCTGGGCGAGGGAAGTGGACACGGGAGAAAGGAAGATGCTCGTCTGGGTGGCCGATGATCTTAAAACCTCCATGTGCTGGAAATGGGTGCCTTGGCCTCCAGGCCTCGGTGTGTGAAGGAGGCTGTTCTGAGGCCGCGCTCCGCCCGTTCAGGAGCCGACCCTCCTGCAGCACCCCCGGCCAACCTGTCAGGAGGTCCGCGTCACCAGAGCTTGTGCAGTGCCAGGAGCAGGACCCCCAGGCTGGATGGCAGAGGGGAGAAGGCACTGGGGTCGCTCTCGGAAGCCAGTCAGGAAGCGCGGGTGGGCGGAGCCTGAGGGCCACCAGGGGCAAGGTGGGCCGTTCCTCTCTGGCCACAAGAGCCCTTCCTGCTTCTCTCTGGTTCTTTGTCCCTGAGGATCCCTCCAAGGCCACCATCTTTGCAACTCAAGCCTCACGACCAAAAAGGGACCTCACTCACTGCCTCCCCGTGACCAGAGGTCCTGGAGGAAGTGTGGGGGGCAGGCAGTGACTCTGCCCCCAGAGGCCCATCTGCTGGGAGCTTGGAGTCCTGGGGTTGTGTCACACTGGTGCAGAACATGGCCTGCCCAGGCTCATGGGACAGTCCTCCTCTTCTCAGTACGGCCAAGCCCCAGTCCCCCTCTCTGGGGTGTTTGGGGCAGTGTTGCTCAAATACCCAAGCGCACCCGAGTCACAGGGCGACCCCGGCTCACTGGGATCCACATGTGACAGGCTCGGTGCTGCTGCGCACAGCCACACTTGGAGAACCAAGGGTGGCCCGGCGTTCTGGCTGGTTATTCAGGAACCGGGGATAAACCCTGAATGTGGCATCATAAACTGGCTCAGTTCAACTGAGTGACCCTGGGACAGTTTCTAACTCCCAGAGCCTTATTCCCTCAGTACTTGGTAACAGCACCTGTCCGCTGCTGCACAGCATGGGGTAGTGGTGGAGATGTCCCTGTGGACTCAGCCAGGCTCCTCGTCTGAGGAAAGGTGAACAAGGGTCTCTACTGGCCGGGTGCACAGCATACATCTGTCATCCTGGTGACTCGGGAGGCGGAGGCCAGAGGATCGCAAGTTCTCATCCCTCACTCTGAGTTCACTGCCTTGGGGAAGGGTCTGTGCTGGATGTTGGGGAACCTGGGGTGCCCTCTCCAAGCTGGACTTTAGAAGTCAATGGAAACGGGCAGAGAGCGGTCCCCCTGGACAGGCGGGCGCGTCTAGAGTTGGGGGAGGAAGACACGCTGTGACGCTTTCCTGCTGGGATTCCAGGCGTGAGCCACCACACCTGAGCGTCAGCCTCACCATCCTGGCCCCATAAATGCTGCCCCATGGCCAGCCTTGACCTGTCCTGTCCACCCAGGACCCTGCCCCAAGGAGGGAGCAGCACCCTGTGTGGGGCACTCAAGGGTTTGGCGTGCCGCCTGCTGATGGCTGTGTCGTGTCACAGATGGTGCCAGATGGGCCGGGCAGCTGGCAAGAGTTCCAGCCAGGAGCCAGCCCAGGGAGCCCAGGCTCGCCTTCAGTCATCCAAAAAATGAACATGGAGGCCTCCCCCCTCCAGGCCGTGCTGGCTGCTAGGGCCGCGAACACCCTGGGCACCAGGGATGGCATCTGTCGTCGGGGATCCCAGAGGCAGTGAATGGCGGAGCCTGGGTCCAAACCCTGGGCTGCTCCACTGAGACCCCCACCTGGTGTCTGCTGAGTGCACACAGAGGTGACGGCCTTCTAGGCAAGGGCCAGCTGGGGCGCAGCCCGGGCTGCTCTCTCCCTTGTCTGGAGCCCACAGATCTGCAGCACACCCCCGACCCGCCGGCCCTCGGGAGGGCTGCTGGCGACCCGCATTACGCCCATGGTTCCCACAGGATCTCAAAGGACTTGCCGAGGACCCCAGAGCTCTGGTCTCCCAGGTCCTGTGAAACCAGGAGAGGTGGCAGAGGAGCCGTGGTCCCCGGTTACTCAGCTGAAAGGCCCAGTTGGACTTGGGATGTGCCTGAGYACAGGGCCCCCCTTCTCTGCTGCACCCCTCCCACCCACCCTGTAAAGCTCAGCGGGTGCCGGGAGGGACAGGGACCCAGGAGGGACAAAGTCGGAGTCCACTGCAGACTCCGACTTCTCTGCTGCACACGGGGACACCACAGGGGTCTCCTCTACGAATGCCTTGTCCCTCCGCCCCCAGGCACCGTAACAGTGACAGTGCATGTGCCACTGCTCAGTGGCCTGAGTCCCTGGCCTTCCCTCGTGGTTGCTAGAACAGTGGTCTCTGGTGAATGGGCTGGGTGGCCTGTCCCGGAAGCTCACCACGTGCACCAGGAGGGGCTCAAATTATTAAGCTGGATGTTTGGACGCCTGCACCCCAAACCTCCACGAGGGCCTTCTGTTAGATGGGGTCCCCGGCTGCCGGCAGCTTGGCCCCTCAGAAAAGAAATGTATGGGCAGATGAGGGCCGGAGGCCAGGCCATGGGCAGAGGGTCGCCAGGGACCCTGGGGAGCAGAGACAGAGCTGGGCTCAGGACAACCAGTGACCTGTCCTCCCTCAGCGCACCCAGGAGTCTTCAAGAGAACCCAGGAAGAAAGGGGCTGATGAATCTGTATTTTACTCATTATTTATATGTGGTGCTGAGAATYGAGCCCAGGGCTCACACATTCGAGGCAAGCGCTCTGCCCTGAGCCCTGTGCCATTCCTTCACATTCATTC